ATACCTAATTATTTTATTCGGATTTTTGCGTCTCCACCAGATATCTTTTGTATTTGATCTTGAATGATCCAATATGCGTGCAATCTCTGATGGGTGGAGGGATGTTATTCCAACACTTTGATGCCGAATACCTAAAACTGCCGCGAAACGCCGCTGTACTGTACGTTGGGCACATTAGTCTATCATTCATGCGAGATTTTCGTTTAGTGAACTGTAATTTTTTAAACAAATATGACGGGTTCCCCTCTTTTATAACACCAAAAAGCAAAGTTGCAAAATGTAGCTTACGTCGTGTTTCCATCTTCATCAAATTATTGCTGTTTAGATACGGCGTTATGTGAGATCTACGGGGTATGGAGAAACAAAAACGAGCGCAAGAATTTTGAAGACGTTGAATAACTTTTTTTGTACGGGCTAGTAGACACAGTCCAATCAAAGAATCCGCATAGTTCATCTTTGACAGTATGAGCGATTCGCAAAGGTAAATTCGCATCTCTGTGTTCAGGTACTGCCTTACCTGGTATAAAACTCTCAGTCTATAGTAGCACTGCTTAACAACAGCACCAATATGCCTTTCAAACTTCAGACCGCCATCCATCCAGACACCGAGATTCCTAGCTTCGTCTACTTGTTCAATGTTGGTGTTTTTCAATTTAATTTCTAAAGCACAAGTATTGATTTGGTTGACTTGATACTTTGAACCCAAAATCAAGAACTTGGTTTTATCCGGATTCAACACTAAGTTATTTTCTTCAGACCATTCAGCTATATTTTGAAGTTCTTGGTTGATTTTACATACGGCTTCGCTAGTTTCCGACGGCTTAAAAGAAATGTGTATCTGCAGGTCATCTGCATATAAATGATGTTTGGTATGCATTATTGTTTGTGGCAGGTCAGCAGTATAAATAATGAAGAGTAAAGGTCCGAGTATGGAGCCCTGTGGGACACCCCTATTTACAGGGGAAGTACTAGATACATGTCTTACACCACTACTAGATATAACTTCTACTTGCTGCGAACGATCAAATAAATAAGTTGAAAACCACTTAAGTGCAATATCGTCAAATCCGTAGTATTTTAGTTTTGCAATAAGCAATTGCGTGTTAATAGTGTCGAATGCCCTGGAATAGTCTAACAGCACCAAAGCCGATCCCCGCCCTACGTCCTGTCCTGCCAAAATGTCATCAACAACGTCAAGTAAAGCTGTCACCGTACTCCGTCCTTTACGAAAGCCCGACTGCTTCTCTGGTAAGATGTCATTACCACGCAGGTACTCATTAATTTGTATGTTTACTGCCTTTTCTACTATTTTCGACATGAATGGTAAAATACTAATTGGCCGAAGATCTTTTAGTTGTGTGGGATTATTGATTTTAGGTAGCGGCTTAACTATCGCATTTTTCCAAGTATCTGGGAAAATACCTGTTTTAAGGGATTTATTTATGATAGCAGTAATGAGGTTCAAAGTACGCGGTAAGGTTAAAAGTATCATGTTAAGCGTTATCCCATCCACACCTTGAGCGTTGGTCGTGATGCTTTTTATAATCTTGAAAACCACTTCCTCATGCACTTGTCCAAATGAAAATACCGAATCGTTAAAACGCTGAGAAGTGAAATATGCAATCCGAGAATTATTAACCCTATCATCACCGGGGACATTCAAAAAATGATCATTAATGACACCATTGTTCTCAAATATCAATGATTTACATTCTTATTGTATTCCTTACAAGACTGACAAGGAAAAGCGGAATGTTCATTCTAAGACCTAATTAAAATCCTTCAAATACTCCTAATAGTATTTTTAAGCTCTGCCACAGTAAACGCTCTACCCACGAACTATTTAATGCCATCATAACACAATGAAATAACCGCTAGGCATTTCTTTTCAAGGAAAGATCCTGTAAATCAGTAATTTCCGCAATCAGTTCCTTATAATAATTGAATGCAACAAAATTCGAAAGTGCAATAGAAGATGTGAATGAACCAGGAAATTTCGTAACGTAATTCTCATGAAATTAATTCTATAGCCACTTAACAACTTATAAATGTAATGACAAACTGTCGTCGTAGCCATTAAGAGCTGCTTCCATGCGGTAGCTGCACTCGGGAACATGTCATGTCACTGAACTTCTTTTTGCGCGAATACGATACTTGAAGTCTAATGAGTTGTGTTGATCGAAGATTAAAAGGTTGTACAAGTAAAATGATGTTGGACATGGAGGAGTTCATGTCTACAAATTAGCAACTTTGCCCGTTGTAAAGAGCATAATAAAGGTGGCCAGAGTGTAAATGACTCGAGACTTCCGTAGGAATCTTTGTGATGGCTCGTTCATTAGCGGCGGGCCCTCGGGAAAACAAAGGACGGTAAACAAAACAATGGTACATCGAAGCAGTAATTCGAGGCACGTCGATTGTCCCCACAGTGAACAGTGTTGAGTTTCAGCGGTTAGCCGGTCGGGTGCGCGGCGGGCGATACGACTGACAAGTGCACATGTTGTGGTATCGATTACCGAGATTGTTCCGAGATTGTTACGATCTAATGCGTTTGCGCTGATCTGTTATGGCGCTTGAAGGATTGTACCTACTTTGAAATAATAGCGTTTATAGAGCCAGTTTCTTCTGTTAAATAATCTTCTTTTGAAATTAATTATGTTTTTGATTTTTTCTCAACGGATATCTCTACCAATTCAAAGACTCCACTTTGAGCGAAATGTGATTGGTTTCTCAAAAATATTGTCTATCAAATCCGCTGTTTGTTTATACTTCGTACTACAGATATTGTCCGTTATCATTGCGACCTTCCAGCCCAGTGGCCTAGTGTGCCCTTACATAAGCCACTCAAGACTCGCTCCTCCGAGTGCAGTCGAACATGCGCTGCGAGTGGTGCGCGATAAGGCGAGCGTCACCAGCGCAGCGCCGATTACGGCTGCAATAATACAATAACAATACTACGTGACCGCCAATAAGGTTTCCTTCCTTGTTTTCATCTTTGTGTCACTTGTTTCAAAATGGTCATAATTTAACCGGAAATTTCATCTCTATCCAAGCCGTAAAAAGGCATTTCTTATCTTATTTAACTACCTTTAAAAATGCAAGATGATTGAAATCATAAAACGTGTCTTTTTTAGATTTTCTCAATAGATGTCGTAAATGGTCGTATGTTATCTTTTATACCTATCATGATTTTAGCGATATCCTAACTTATGGGCTTTGATAAAATCTGTGGGTTGATACATACAAAGTTACATATTCGCATAATATTTCCTACTATTTTTTTTGCTATATCCCAGTACACATAATCATGCCTTCTCTAAAAAAAAATTTTTCCCTAACTACGATTTTCTTTTCAGCATTTTTCTAAACCGAGTAGGAATGCCAACGTGTTGCTTTATACATAGTATTTATAAGATTACTTGGAGACTGAATCATGCAATTCCGATCATCTTACAAAAAGTAAAAAGCATGTTGATAGTCGTCCAATTATGAACGCTCGCAGTCCGAAAACCTAAAATACCATTCATACTACGTAATAGACATTTCATAATAATGGTCCCATAAGTGAAATTCATAACAGGATATGGTACATGGAAAAAAATTGTGCTAAGTAGCCCTTCAAACTTAATAATTGTACTTATAATAGGTAAACATAATTTTCTTTATAGCGATCATTCGCGTGGCATTGCTTGTTTTTGATGTTTATCAAAATTACGTGTCTAAGAATAACTTGGGCAGCTACCTATCTAATCTATAAATGTTACGCATATTCAAAGTCCGGCTACCTATTTACATTAAACACACATGTTGCTCAGTGTAGTTGCAATCAAGGGTCCGCATTCAAGGGTCAATCTGTCCAGTATGACCGGTGTCCCGTAATATTCCGAATGCATTTATGAACCTTGAGGTTTTCGTTCCCAGAGAAATGCTCGCACCAACCTGAAAGTAAAACTAATGTGGTGTCGTTATCGAGGCGCACGTGCGCTGTGTGAGCACGCGCACGCGCAAGCAAACGCGTCCACACGGCGCTCGTGTAAACATTACCATTTCGGGCCAACCACAGACACATGTGTCATTCAAACGGCCCCTGTTCCGAGGAAGTTGGTATTCTTGGATTAATTGTAGGAACTGTTTACATTATGAACGCTCGTAGCTGGTTACGGACAAATCATTAGAATTATGAAAGAAACTAGCCAAGCTAGTGCACGGATTAGCGCTGGCGATGGTGGATACCGGCGGAAACCAATTTAACTCTACCAATCACTTTCTGTTAACTTGACCGCTTATTACTGAATTGCGTTTAAGGATTAAAGCTGTAGCTTCATAATACCTGTGCTAAAAGTCGAAAAAAGGGAAGGTTTTAAAATCGGTACATTATGTGTAGGTATTGTGCATCAAAGTTACGACTTTGTTTATTTACTATTACTGCGCTTCCGAAACATCGAATCGGAATGTCGACTCTTATTTGACCAACTTACCGTGCTGGGTTTCCGACATACTTCTTCGAACGCCTCGCTGGAACGAATTGACGCATAGGCGGAAACACCAACTAAATGCTTCATTGGACACAGTTATAACTTTTCTGGCTTACTAATTATAACCTAATTTATTTTCCACGCATTTGTACACGTTTGTTTTCAGAGTCCCACTAACGGCCAGTTCATAAGCACTACATTTACGACTACTTACTCATCTCGATTTAAGCCCTATCCATTTCAAGACTAGCCTATGCCCACGGCTCCACTCCACTGGCGTGAATTTTGCTCACAGAAACTATCGTGCATACCAGATGCACATAATAGTTTCAATTAGTAAGGAAATGTCTATTTGGTGATTATCACGATGATTGAAATAACAACGTTAGAATTTTTTTGTTCTTGTGTCGGTAGCATTGGGCGTAGCATCGTCACGTCAATTCCATAAGTGTTATCTGAATTTTTATAACGGTAATCCACGATAGTGTTCGTTCGCGTTAATCCCTGATTGCGGTAATGCGCCCGCGCAGCCCTCGCCAGTGGCCCGCGCGAGGCTCGTCGTTGCCGGCTGAAATTGCTTTCTTGTGCCTACAGTGATATATGCGGTTATGTTCACTGTAAGATGTTTCTCGCGCGATACTCATCGTTTTTCATGCAAAAGGTACAGTTATTGATTTGGATTGTTTAAGCTTGCCACGCTGACTGAAGCGCTGCTATCGAATCATTTTTGCCTCCACTATAATTTGTATGTCTGAACTAAGAGCAGTGTGTAACACAATTTGAAGATTTCGATGCTACCGATTCCACTGGCTTGACCTGACAAGGTGATAATTTCTCACATAAAGCTGTCTCACGTAAAACACTCGATGCAATATAAGATGCGCGGGCGCAGAGAGTGCTGGCAGCTAATTATAGCCGAAACTAATGATGCACGGCAATTAGCCGATCGGACGATCACTTGCTTATTAATATAGAAAACGCCTTTTAATAATGCGAAAATAATCACCAACAAGAGTGGCCAGTGTGAAATTATTATGACAGAAGTGGAACGGAATAAAGAGTTAGATGGTAGAGAATATAGTGGAGACGCGATTATTGCTAAGCCAACAAAGCCAGTCAAGTCACGTCACAGCACAGCAAAAGGCGGTAGAACTATATTTTGACTCGCATATCTCCTCGTAATTTACGTAGGTCCCTTTTGGATATCCAGGGTGGACATGCGCAGCTGTCTGTACATATATTTTTCTGAATCCTGCAGATATAACGCCTGGAATGGAACAGGCTTGCCACCTTCAATATCAGTTCAAATGAGTGCGAAACTTTCTACTTTCAATTCTAATAGGTAGGATACGCTCTTATATTTCTGATAATAGGAATTTTCTGGTAAAACAAAATAATAATCCCTGACAATACCGATTACAAAATCGTTACCTAAGTTATATAAACAATGCATCGAAACAAACCGGCTCTAATATAAATATTATTTTATACCTACTGTCGTTTATTTTATAGTTATTTATATTATGAACTAGCTTTCCGCCCGCGGCTTCGCCCGCGTGGAATTTTGTCTGTCACAGAAAAACTATATCGCGCGCGTCCCTGTTTCAAAAACCGGGATAAAAACTATCCTATGTTCTTTCCCGGGACTCAAACTATCTCTATGCCAAATTTCATCAAAATCGGTTGCGAGGTTTAAGCGGGAAAGCGTAACAGACAGACAGACAGACAGACAGACAGAGTTACTTTCGCATTTATAATATTAGTTGGGATAATAGTTGCTGAACTCGAATTTAATCCCAATAACAACCGTAACCAGGACAATGCACTGTAAATTAATTATCATGAGGAAAATTGCAATAATGTTTAAAATATTCCTCTTCTATTAATGGAACTATAACGTTAGAAATACCAACATTTGCCCGCGTTACATTTAAGCTACGTAAACAGAACTATAGTAATTGCACAAGTGCGCATTCCTCTTGGCGGATTGGACACACGTAGCACATAGCTCTTGCTTACTGTTCATTTGTCCTAGATAATGAAACCTTCCGGCGATTTCATAAAAAAACGATAGTTACACGAGTTGCAGCTCTGTGTTTTAATTGCCATAGATTCTGATCTGATTAATGATTAAACATGAAAAATAATTATTTATTGAGTTACCTTTTCCCTTGGTTAGATCTTTATAGTCTTCAGTAAAAATTCAGTTGGTTACCACTAAAAAATTATTTTTTCGGTACCTTTGCTAGTCATCTACCAATACAATATCTATAAGCTGACTCAGAGAAGTTTGCTATAAATTCTTGTTTTATTTTTTGATTATCATGCTAATAAGTTTACCTGTATGTTTCTCCCATGGCGCGCTGTTATCGAGCGGACGTCCACTGAGCGATCGTGATTCGGCGACGACAACGACAACGACCGTCTGAATTATCGAGCATCCGGTTTCCACGACGTCGATACCGTATGATACACGAATGTGGTGAAAGAACGTTGTTTGCCCATCTCTCATGTTTCCAAAGATAACAGTGTGGTCATATCCTGAATGAATATGATGCCAAAATCACGGAAATACAAAAAATATTACGTGATTAGAAAGGTTTTGAGAGGTTTTCTGCTTATAGGAGTAGGAAATTCATAGTATCAATATTCTATGCTACATACTTCTATACGATTATCTGTATATTCCGTGTCCCTGTGGACAATTAATATGAGTCGTGTGCTATAGGTATTTATTTGAAATCCAAATACAGGAGTGCAAACGACTATACCCAGTTGTTTCTTCCGCCACTTCTTCTCAGCACCAGCCCATATGTTGTCCCGAAGTGGTAGTAGGGCAAGCAATATTTGGGACGTGTATAAGCACCCTGGAAATGGCCTTGTACTGAATAAACTATTTGATTTGAGTAATAGAGAGTTTAATGTTGTGTTATGGTGTTTCCAGGCCGGCGAGCCGGGCGTGGTGGTGCTGAACCCGGAGGCGCTGGCGGCGGCGGCGTCGGACGAGGAGTGCGAGTGCGACGGGCCGCCCTCGCCCTGCGCCGTGCGCTTCGTCAACGACAACGTGCTCATCAACGGCCGCTCCTCCATGCCGCCGCGCCCCAACCGCGACCGCATCGCCAAGGTACGGAGCCGCTAGCGCCGTCATCGTAAGCTCTTTAGTCTCCACAGGAAACACAAAGAATTACACCGAACTAATTCCACCAGCCCCCTTCCATCATCGGGGAACCAGACGCAGGTTAGCGTACCATCCCTATATTGTAAACATTCCACCAGCTCGCACTAAGCGTTTCGATGACTCTTTAGGTTAGGGACTGGAATTCGCTGCCTGCTGCTGTCTTTCCCGAAGACAGACTATAATCCGGGTCTTTTCAAGGCGAGAGAGAATAGGCACTTACAGGGCAGATATGTACCATCCTAGACTGCATCCCACTTAACATCAGGTGCGATTGTGGTCAAATACCTGCCTTGTTATGCATAAAAAAAATTGAAAGATGGACTAGCTAATGTCGTCCACTGATTGGACAAGCCCTTCCCCGCAGTTTTCCACAACGACCGGTTCTACGTTGTCTGCGCCCAGATGCTTCAGACACCTTAACCAGATCGTCAGTTTACTGAGTGGGAGACTAATCTACAGAATTGTCAAACTTGGCTCTTAGAACTGATAGCGATCGAAACAGAAGAGTTCTCGACCACGTATCAGAAAATGTAGCGTAAGCAGGATTAGCTCGTATTTGGTATTTGACAAAATTCACCACAATACATTAACGCTTTCTTTTAATCCCAATTTCAGCTGAAGCTCCAGTTCGACGACTCGCTGACGTGCACATTTGAGTACCCATCCGAGACGTCCCTGTGCGAGGAGCCCGAGGACGCGGCGCACGCTGGCCAACCCACGCACGCCTCGCTCACCTCCAACACGCATATAGGTAAACTACTAAATACTCTTCAAAGCTGCAAGTGAGAATAGCATAGTAAATCCAGGCTTTAAGCTTAAAATATTTATTCTTGTTTTTCAACAAATATTATTTTAATACTGTGTAAGCGCTCCTGCACACGACGCCGCCGCCGCGCCGTCAAAGCCGGACCGGTGAAATTATGCTTTGACGGCGCGGTGGCGGCGGGCTTTACGCGGCGCGTATGAACAGTAACTAAGGGAGTTTATATCGAATATGGATACTTTTAGAATGTAGCAGGACACTTGCGCGAGTTGCAAGCGAAAAAAGCCATTACTTTGCGCGCAGGGGTACTTAATGAGGCTTTCCCGCAAATATATTTTCGTGCATGTGACTTAACGCAAGTGTATCAGAGGGCTTAGTGTGAGATTGATGTAATCTCGTCACACGTCGTCACTAGTGAGCGCGTAAAAAATAACATTAAATATATGACGGATTGTACAGCGCCCCTAGCGGAAACTTTCAAGAACTAAAATTTTCATATATTTTTTTAACGCGCTCACTATTGAGGAAATTTGATGTACACTCACACTAAGCCCTCGGAATCATTTAAAACGTTACCATTACTTAATATTGGTGGTCATTTACTGGTACAAACCACCTACCACCAATAACATGAGTTTGGGAACCGTCAGTGTACACCCGGCGCGTGCGCCGCCGCATCCTATTGCGAGCGCCCTCCGCGCCCGCGCCGCCCCCGCTGGCCGAAGAGCTGGTGCCTGACGAGACCTTCGTCTAGCGCCCCGAGCTAGACCATAAGGCTAGCAGTATTGCGTTGTGCCAAATCCTTGCTAAAGCCTGGTCCGTGAGCACGTAGAATTTTGTCCAATGACCCCAAGCTACCCATCCTTATCGCTCGCGCGTAATTATCGCTCGCACACTCACTGCGGGCGCCCGTCGCACAGTCGCGACAGCAATATAATTACGCGCGAGCGATAAGGATGGGTAGCTTGGGGTCATTGGACAAAATTCTACGTGCTCACGGACCAGGCTTTAACAATGATAGCGAGAAACTCCACAGTCAAGCTACTACTTTAGTTGAAGGAGTCTCTATCGTGAATTTAAGCTAGCTTCATACATCTCTAAAACATTAAAAATATCTGTCTACTACTAGCACCGCTCGTGGCCTAGCGGTGATCCAACAAACGATTACTTGGCTAGACTCATCATAATCGACACACATCAGTCGCGAACAATCAATCCCAACTAAGCTACCCTCTCTTTGCAAACAGTAACGCTGAGTTTGGCACGCTCCGCCCCACTCAAGGAACGTCCATATCATCTATCGGCCCTTCAGTTACCTTTCACGTGGACACTCGATTGCCACTTCACTTGTTCATCCTATCTGCTATTACATTTCGATATTTCCTAGCTAGAAGTATTATCAGTACCTATAATAGATTCTTCAAAAGTGACAATTTGTGTCCATCAAACATATTATTATCAGTAAAATAGACACTAAGTTGTACACGTGTTTTCTCTTCATAACGGATCGCCAGTCACAAACAATAGGAATACAAATTATTCACTTATGCAACATTTGTTCAGCTTTAGCCAAATGTGATAACGTAATCGTATTTGAACTGATCCACTGCCAATGAAACGGATCTTTCTCCAATAACACCAAATTTAATGCAAAAATCGGTTATGAATTTTATTAGAAAATATGAAAGTCATATCAATGTTATGCCGTTCCATCATCTCACTCAGGCAACTTAGGTCGAGTAGTTGTGGTATGGAAAATTTTTCATTTGTCTGTCCAACTTGTAACATAATTAATTTGTCATGTAAGATTTACCCTTGCTATGTCTATTGGCCTGTAGTTTAACTGAGCTTGTAACAACGATCAATATTCATTTGATTCATTTGCAGATGTCAGATCACAATTTTCTTCGTCACTTTGTAATTATTTACGCTCTCGAAGATAATTTGTATATTTGAGAAGATATCAATCGATCGACTCAGTTAGACTATAGACTCCTTCAGTTGTTACTACGAACGATTCAGTAAAATGAAGAGAATGATGAACTTAATATTATTCTCAAAAAGTTGCTCACAACAGTTGTAAATCTATTCTAACTCAAACATCGTCATTGGTTGAATCTCGCATCATTCTAATCAATTTACCGACTCTAATTTGGGGCCACGAGGATCATAGTGGCCTAACTAATTTTTTTTACATTTTTGTGGTTTGTTTCTGTAAGTTTTTTGCCACCCTCATCCCCCTGGCCCCAGTAAGCTGGAGCGTAGTGTAGTGTAGTATAGCGTAGTGTAGTGTAGCGGTAGTGACGAGTAGTGGCGTGTTGTAGTGTCGGCGGCGCTGGCGCGGTACACGCCGCACAAGACCGTGGCCGACGCCTTCCAGCTCGGCGTCACCAGGCACTCCTGCGCTCCAGGTATGTACACTTTGCTTTATACCATAGACTAGCGTAAGGACAGGAAGAAGCACTTAAATAGCCAATTCTCAAAGACGCTCCAATAAATCGAATTTGCTGTATTGAAAACCTAGTACAGATCCTAGATTCAAGTTCCAGGTCCCGGCCAATCGAAAGGTCTCCATCGACAGGTCGGCCGATTCCGACCTATTAGATTTTATTTATTTATTTATTTTATTTTATTCGGATAACCAACAGCAATACAATACAAATAATGAGCCTTGTGCATTGCTTCATATTTCCATACGTCGTCTTCTGTGTTTCCATACGTCATATGACGCGACTACGTTATATCTGGCAACGTCAACGACTGGAGCTAACTTTTTTCAACATAAGTTTTCGTTTCACATAATTACTTAGTGCGTTCAGATCACGTTTAGTGGCCTATCATGCACGCTAACATGTCTCGCGTCGTGTCCGCAGCCCCGGAGGCGGTGAGCAACGGCAACGGGTCGGCGGCCGACGACGAGGACGCGGGCGACGCGCGGCCCTGCCAGCCAGCCAGCGCGCGCTCGTGGAGCGAGGCGCGCACGCTCACCACCGACCTGCTGTTCTAGCGCGAGGTGAGTCCAGGCCCGGGCTCGCAGCAGGACGCGGGCGACGCGCGACCTTAGTACTTAAGTCGCTTAAGTGTCTTCGTGGGAAACCCTGCCAAAAACCCCTCAAATGGACGAAACTGGAGGCAAGTTTCAAGCCCTTCGGTTCAGACTGCCCATCTCTTGCCCAGAAGCTAGATACGGCCATGTCTTGTAGTATACGTTCTAGATTAGATTTTCAGTGTAACTTATCTTTCCAGGTCGGCGCAGTCCCCCGAGCGCGACCCGCGCGAGCAGCGACTACCGCCGTTGGAACGGACTATTGGACACTGCTCAAATTATACAGTCCCCATTTAGAGTAAGGAGATTTACATACGAATCGACCTATCAGCCTGATACCTAAATTTTGTAAAGGTTTTGCAATTTTTTAAACAAATGCAACATATTTTTGGAAACTTTTCCGATTTGTGACATTATTGTATTGTAGATGCATTTTGTAGAAGTATGTACTTAACTGCGATTACTTAACGTGGATATGATGTAAAAATTGACTGGCTTTGTTATGAATGTGGGCGTATACAGAAACTTGCTTAAATTCGTTCCTTTTGACTTTCGAACATGAGTAAACTTAGTGCCTGGCCTTATGATGCACGGACTCATCTCTATCGACAAATCTGGTCCACTTTCTCATAGAAAGGTCCGTTCACATTCGTAAGAAAGTCGCTCGCTATGTAATTTAAAAAATTTGACTATTTTATTTAATGTACTGATATTTCCTGTCATATCCGCAGACTAACGAAGCTCGACTGATTAGCTGATAAATTGATAACATAACTTTTGATAATGTTTTAGCACTTGACTCGATAGACGATAGACGAAACACGTGATACTATATACTCATTCCCCAAATCATTCCTATATGGCAATTAAGTGAATTATGTGTTTTGGTATACTTTATAAATGAAGTATGACAACATTGACAACAAGGCTGAGCATGTGTGAGCTCATTGAAGCCCTGAAGGCGTGTAGCCTCGTAAAGATAGAATAGTTGTATATGTTATTTTATATGTTGCGCGCAGGTGCGCTATAATCTATGGAAACTGGATTTTCATTCATAATAATTTATTGGAAACGTTTGTTTTGTATTATACAGGAAGCCAATGTTGAAAACGACACGTGTGCGAAAGAGAGTGCTCTACAAGTTAATAATTAATTTTGTACAGTGCCCTCTCTTTCAACGTTACACAAAATAATAATGGGTTATATTCACTCAAATAGGTAGGTTTTAGTGATCCTGACACGCTTGCTTTGAGTGTGAAGCGTTCCGCGTAGTTATTAATGTTGTGCTAAGTGGCTGCCTCCCTCGCGGACGGCCCGCGCTGCAAGCGGGGCCCGGGCGAGGAGGCCGCGGGGCCCGCGGGCCCGGGCGAGGCGGCCGTGGGGCCCGCGGGCCCGGGCGCCGGCCCGTAAACAATAAGTGCCTGTGGGTGGCGAAGGAGGCTCGTGAGCATTTATATCGAGTAGTGTAAGTTAGCATAGCTGATCGTTCCGGCACGCTGTAAGAGTGTCATATACGTTCGTACTAGCGGCACGCCCACATGCGCGACTGTTNCGGTCGGGGTTACTTATGTCTTCCGGTAAGTCTGCAAGTTCAGTTTTAAAATCTACAACATTTCGTTTAATATTTTTCCAGAGTGTGCGGGGGTCCTTTAAGTTTTTATTTATGCAATATTGATAATACGCAGTTTTTTCACGATAGATGGCCTCGTTGACTAAACGTTTCAGTTCTTTATAGTAGTTCTTATCACTTTCAAGCTTTGTTTTACGACTTTTGGATTGTGCTTTATTTCTTAATACAATCATGTCTTTTATGGTCTGTGTTATCCACGGGTAGCTTTGCTTCTTTATACAAATCTTCTTGACTGGGGCATGAATATCGAATAGTTCTATGATTTTACTATTAAATGCAGCGACGGTGTCGTTAACAGAGTCAGAAAGTAACTGTTCCCAAGCTATATCATCTACATGTGTATTAAAAAGATCTAAATCGATATCCTTTAACGGCCTATACGAAATAAATTTAGGCTTCAGTTTCGGCTTTTTTACATTAATTTGATAAGAAATGAATGCGTGAGCACTAAGTTCCGGTATATGATCCACTACCAAATTGGTTACTTTAATACTACTGCAAACTAAATCTAGCAGCGTTTCAGAATGCCCAGTAAAATGCGTTGGCTCTGTCACATATTGAACCAAATTCATACTATTGAGCAAAGCTATGAGTTTCCTTGAGTCCGACTCATCTGTACGCAGCATGTCTATATTCAAATCCCCCATTACAATCACTTGATCAAAAGTTGAAAAATATGTAAGCGACTCCGCCAACGCATCCAGCAGTGTATCCACAGACTGCCAAGGCGGTCGATACATGGTACCCACAGCAATTTTAATGCCCTTTAACTTGATACCAAGCCACATTTGTTCCACCGCGTGGTCGGCGGGGTGGTCCACCCGTGCATAAAGACCTCTTTTCAGGTAAAAGCCTACACCTCCACCACGTGATCGTACATCTAAAGGGCGTGGTATATGTAATAATTTGTAACCTGGTGGGGTAGGCGCCCGCTTCTCCTCACCATCCCTAAGCCATGTCTCGTTGATAGCCATAACATCCACGTCATGCCTTTCCAATGCCACTAAAAATTCGTCATGGCGGGTACCCAGCGATCCCGGATTAAGAAGTCCCAATGTAAGGTTTTTGTGAATTACGAAGCGGAGAGCATTCGCTTATAAAATATCAATATAATTACAATTGTTAAGATACTCCCTCAACACGGTTACATGGCGCCGACTAAGCTTATATATAACAAAAATAATAACAATGTACACATAAGATAAATCCAAGGATAAATACTGTGGTAATAATTTATAAATATCTATGTAACTACTAACAACAAACCTCGTGGTTATAACAATAATATTTTGAGTTTCTTTNTATACAAAGTTATGTCGTTACTTTTGATGACAGCTGTCATTCTAATCAAGCTATGTTGGATAGACTATAGTATAGTTTTGGTGCAATTTTGACGATGTTTTTATACGAGATACGAATGTTTTTGTACGTTATCGGTGCGCGTGTGCACAATAGAGGTCCGCTCAGTAGGTCCCCACAGCTGTGCAATATAGACCTGTTCAGTTGTAGTTTTATTCCGCACTTTACAAGTCGTAAACCATTCGCAGTCGTCTAGAATAAATAATTGACGCGAATCAAAAATCTAAGTTTAGTGGACCTACTGAGCTGCGGCGTGTGGGCGCGACGCGGCCGCCCGGCCAACACTTGCCAATGCCTAGTTATTATACTTATGCATATTATGACTATTTAGTGTACGTTAGTGACGGAGTATTGTAATTCAGGTATGTAAGATTTGTATCGTTAAGTAGCCTGCGCGCGAGTCGAACGAAATGCACACTCTTCATTTATTTTCAAGAGGATACTACCTATTCGCGTAGATTTCAGTTTGCAAATTAACTGTATAAGTTCATCGCCGATGAAATAAGTAGTTTGCTAGTTACCTCGAGCAAAGCGATTTCTGATGACATCGTACAAATACTCACCTGTCTACTCGCGCGCAGGCGATGGAAGAATTGCGGCTCGCGAGTGCCGCGTTGTTGGTACAAATACAAGGTTAGCCGGCTTTAGCGCGTGGACGCCAACGGTTCCCAAGCGCAAGACAGTTGGGAATATGGGAATCTAGACACAACATTAGACGATAACAATAATTTATTATGTATTCACTCGGCTCGAGTCTGTAGAGCACCGTCTCTGTCAAGTATTCATGACGTATAACTTTTGCATCTCTACTGTTTTTGTGGATGTCGATGAAGGAATTAAAGACAAACATTACGGAACTAATGCTACGATATATGTTAGTATTATATTACAACTTGTCCCATATTCACTATCTTGAAGGGGAATACCCATACTGTTACTACTAATGTAAAATTGCGATGCACAAGTTTGCTAGTCCTCAGTTGACTATAAGCGTTTATATTACTGAGATTGCGCCGATGACCCAACGATTGTTCTACAAACTCGGCTCTTGTGCTCTCTGATTTTTACTCAAGTATCCTTTGTTGCCGAGTTCTAATTTGTGTTAAACAATATTTATTGTGATGATGATAGCCTATAGGTACTTATTTGTCATAACTTAGAGGTTATCAAAAGTATTATGTACTTACGAACTGAATTTTTAGTGGCCGAGACATGACAAAAACATTCATCTACATTCCTTTGGACTAAAATAAATATTACTTTCATTTCATCTAAGTACCTATTGAATAAGGTTTCCCCTTAAATTATTGGGAACCGGTGGTATTAATTTAAGCCCCGTCAAACGCCGTAACGCGTGCGGTGTAAACACCACTTAGCCGTGTTTGTCTATGGTTATACTACCGGGTGCTCAAACTGGTGCATGACTACCCCCGGCTATAGGTAGCGGCCAGGTATTTAAATTCAATCTAGCAACTGTAGTGTATCCTGAGGATATGCGGTCACTTTTTGCGCGATTGTTGCAGTCAAACTAAATACATTCATAATTTTAACAATCCGAGTTTGAATCGATATCCTTAGTACTTGGTTTGACGGCCGATGTCGTATAATCGTGACGTGTAAACGCCGCGCGCTCCGGCGTCGCTTCGCAGCTTAGTCATTGCGCTGCGTTTAATTTAATTTAATACTATTACTAGATGTATGCTGAAGTGGCAATAAAATATACACAAATATTGATGAATTTGTTTTCCTTCTTAGCCTTTACCCTACTCCTTATTATATCACGCCATTTTAATGTTTGGGACAAAGCAAACCAACAACCCTCTCATTATGGTGTCCAGTGCAGATATATTTTGTTAGGATAGAACCTCGATAAAATAAAAAATAACATTTAAATCTTGTAACATACAGGTTGTCCCAGAATGGGTGAATCAAACTGCTAGGGGAGGTAGCTCTACTAATGTACTATCCCTAAAAAACATTTAAAAAAAAATTAGTTCGTTTTTTTTTAAATAAAGTGCTCTGTACCTCTAGTAGGAAAAACTTTCGAGTTCGTTTTTTCGTACTAGAGGTACTAAACTCATAATCTACTCATTATTTTCAAAAGTTTGTTTACAGATAAACGAAGCGATCATGTACATACAATTAATATTAGTAAGAAAAAAGTACAAATAAACTCCAAACGCAGCAATTATAGCCAGATACTTAGGCAAAGCTGATTTATTTTAACTTTTTCAAAAAAAAAATTGTTTGTGTCCTTATGCGCTTAATTTTTTTTTCATATTTTTAGGGATAGTACATTAGTAGAGCTACCTCCCCTAACAGTTTGATTCACCCATTCTGGGACACCCTGTATATAAATTATACTAAATAATAAATTTTTCAATGGGCTAAATAGGTACGGATCATGCCACAACACAAGTATACAATAGCTCTAGCTTTACTTATGATGCGAGAAAGTACGCGTTCTACTTTGATTTAGAAGTCATATAGGATTCTTGAGTGCAGCTCTTATTATGTGTTTTCAGGCCACCCATATGGACTTAAGGAAATAGCATTAATTCGGAATTTCTATCATTCAGTCCTTGCAAAAGCCTTTTTTTTTTAAATAGGTCACAATGTTACACCACGCTGTTACCACACTGTTACTGCACAAAGGAGGCATAACACCACGCCTGCGCGCTGTATATAGGTCACTCATTGCACGTACAGGCGCAGTAGGCACCTCCTCCCACAGCCTTCAATGCAGTGTCAAATGTGATTAAGGAAGAGTGCCACCAAAGCTCTCACGATTTTAAATTAAACAACAATTTATTTGCTATCAATAAGCAAAACTGTGGAGTAAGTATATTGGTCACGCAACGAAAGGAGGTGAACAAATACTCAAAATGATGTAATATTTGAATACAGTACCTCTAGTAGGAAAAACTTTCGAGTTCGTTTCGTTGCGTATTCAAAGTGTCATCGAAAAATTTTGTATGAAAAATTAAACAGCGCCCCCTATATTATAGCCGCCCTAGGGGGCGCTGTTTAATTTTTCATACAAAATTTTTCGATGACACTTTGAATACGCAACGAAACGAACTCGAAAGTTTTTCGTACTAGAGGTACAGAACATACAACAAATTATTTTGTCCCCACTTGCGGGAATTTAATTAATCAACTAAGTATTTTTTATTATTCCCGCTTCTATCCCCACCCGGCCGTCGAACCTTAGACCAGGCATACGGTGATACGGCTAGGCAATGTAGTCGTGCAGGAGGATACAAGGAAGAGGGGCAGCCACAGTTAGAGATNCGCAGCAACCGCAGTTAAGGAACGGCTGGGACGAACAAGGATAGGCGCATCCAGCTCGTAAGCCTTGATAGGGTTACACTGGTTGAGGCGCTCCTTTTCAAGACTTGGAAGCCTGCGGGTAACGAGCCATTGGACGTGGAGAGGGTCATTAATTATACACATATTTTCTACTTTGCCGAACATTTGCACGAGAACGGTTTGTTCAAAACATATGAATTTGGTCTTATTTAATCCAGGATTAAATGCCCTTCAACCGTCAGGAAGACCACTTTTCGATAGGGTAAGTCCTTTACGCGGTATAACCGGAAAATCGAAAAAGCGCCCCTTTCGGGGGCCCCCACCACTTAAGCACAACTCCGTCGAAGTCGAAAACCTAGGAGAGTCTTTATGGGCAACTAATGAAGCCATTAAAGCACTAAAATCTTTAGTAGGAAATATTTCCGATTTAATTCAATTTTGTGTTTAATTCTACTGGCCTATCAAGCGTATATAGATACGAAATTATTCGCTTGTGTGATGTGATGACTCTCGTTGAGAACCTACTGATCCTAGAAAGTATAAATTGTTTGTTTTTCAATATACAAATGTTGGTTTCCGTAATTCCAATACATAATAAAAATTATTTCGAGAAATCAAAATTAAAAGCCGCCGCTACGGAAACGAGACTTAAAATGTCTATGGTTAACTTTTTTATTCTGCACAGCGGAAGTTATGTCAGACGCCAGTCAGCTGAGCATGAAAGCTAACAAAAATATTGGAAAATAACCGGAGATCCAAAAAAATTGTGCTTATCAATTAGAACTGCAGAATCTACGAGACAGTGTTAATCGATCAAGTAAAGATTAGCGGAGTTTTCCAGCAAAAGCACTGTAGTGCAGTGTTAACGATTTACATCACAATAAAGCAATAATTCGGTGCCATTTCGTTTCGTCACAAAATGTGAATCAGTGTGAAGGTCAAACTCGCCGCTCCGTTGCCAATTACCGATACGATAGGGCCGTCAGTAACCAAGAGGTATTTACTCGCATCTCTAGGTCCGAATATTTACGTAACCCGAAAGCGAAACGCACTTTTGAAAAACTCGATCGAATACCAGTGAAAAGTTCCCGAAGATGTTGTCCGTATGTACGAAGACCCTCCGCGGGGCGCGCTCGCTGGAACGGGCCGCGTCGAGCATCGTGGAGCTGCCGAAGTTCCAGGACTTCGGCGTCCAGAACGAGCCCATCCTCGGCTACCGCGAAGGCAGCCAGGAGCGCCGCGAGCTGGCCGAGGAGCTCAAGCGCACCGCCGCCGTCACCGAGGACGTGCCCATCGTCATCGGCGACCAGCTCATCAAGGAGGGCGACGTGCGCTACCAGGTCATGCCGCACGACCACTCGCGCAAGCTGGCCAAGTTCTACTACGCCAGCGAGAAGACCATCCAGAAGGCGATCGACGTGTCCGTGGAGGCGCAGGCGCGCTGGGACCGCACGTCGCTGGAGGAGCGCGTGCGCGTGTGGCAGCGCGCCGCCGAGCTCATGGCGGGCGAACACCGCCAGCGCCTCAACGCCGCCACCATGCTCGGCCAGTCCAAGTCCGTCATTCAGGCAGAAATTGACTCCGCCGCCGAACTCATCGATTTCTTCAGATTCAATGTCTTCTTTTTGAAGGAAAACGCCAAGTACCAACCTATTTCAGAAGACCCATCAGTCACGAGAAACTCGCTGAGATTCCGTGGAATAGATGGCTTCATTGCAGCTATAAGTCCTTTCAACTTTACGGCCATAGGAGGCAACTTGGCTTATACTCCTGCGTTGATGGGAAATGGTGTTGTGTGGAAACCATCTGACACTGCTCTTCTTTCAAACTGGCGCATTTTCAACATCATGCGAGAAGCTGGTCTGCCGGCCGGCGTGGTCAACTTCGTCCCTGCCGATGGTCCGACGTTCGGCCGCACCATAACGGCCTCCCCTCACTTGGCAGGTGTTAACTTCACTGGTTCAGTTCCAACTTTCAATTGGATTTGGAATGCTGTGGGTAAAAACCTTGACAAGTACCGCAACTACCCAAGGCTGATAGGAGAATGTGGAGGTAAAAATTACCATTTCATTCATCCTTCTGCTGATGTACAATCTGTTGTAACGTCAACAATTCGCTCAGCCTTTGAATATTGTGGTCAAAAATGCTCAGCCTGCTCAAGAATGTATGTTCCTAAATCACTGTACGAACCAATCAAACAAGGCTTGCTGGCAGAGAGGGCTAAACTGAAAATTGGTAATCCTATAGATTTTAGTGTTTTTGCTGGTGCAGTGATTGACGATAAAGCTTTTGCAAGAATCTCTGGTTACATTAAAAATGCCAAAAATAATCCTAAGAATAAGATCTTAGGAGGAGGTGAATGTGATGACAGCAAGGGCTACTTTGTACAGCCGACAATAATTGAAACATCAGACCCTCATGACAAGCTGATGACAGAGGAGATTTTCGGACCGGTGCTCACTATCTATGTCTATGAAGACCGAGATCTCTTAAAGGCACTCTCCCTGGTTGGTTCATCAACCAAATTTGCATTAACTGGTGCAGTTTTCTCTCAGGATAAGCAGTTCCTTGAGACAGCTTTAGAGGAACTTAAGATGACAGCGGGTAACTTTTACCTAAATGATAAGTCCACTGGGTCAGTGGTGGGGCAGCAGCCCTTCGGCGGAGGCCGCATGTCGGGCACCAACGACAAGGCTGGCGGCCCCAACTACGTCATGCGGTGGACCTCGCCCCAGTCCATCAAAGAAACATTTGTACCGCTGAGGGACATTGACTACCCATACATGAGAGATTAAATTGGTCACTGTTGCTGGGAGTTAGTTCCTTGAAATAACATCACACTAACAATATATCAGTACAATAATAGATAATTCATAATGTATGTCACCAATAAAGAATTGAAGTAATGCTTGTTAAGATAATATCTACTTGTAAGTAGTATAATTAGTTATGATAGTCACAATGATGTAACTTTATTATATTTTTGTGATTTTATGTATAAGTTTGCTTCTTTGTACAGATAGGATTTAAAAAATGTTAGACATTTTGAGTTCAGTGGAGTTCAGGCTCCACCATTGGATTTTGAAGAGATTTCTACATTACTATTATTATTAATGTTAGAAAATCATAAAAAATATTTATTGAACTCAAAAACATAATAATTATTTCTTGTTGTAAACAATAAGGTAGATTAAAAATTCAATGACATTAATGACTTGGTAAATAGCTAGTTGTTAAAATTTAAAATGATGTGTAAAATCACTGAATAAGCATAAATTTAATAATAGATAACCAAGTCAAATGGATTACCTATGTTGTAACAATAATTTATGTAGTTGTATGTTGTGAGATGTTATTTACCTTGAAGCGATAGGGTAGTTACGCCTAGGATGATGTAGTCACAATCGTGATGAATACTGTTGTTATGGAATTTATTTTAATTTGTAATATGCTAACTGGCGTGTCCTCTGCCCCTCAGTCCAATACTAGCACTTATCTGGTATTTGCTTCCCGCTTATCAACGCCCGCCCTTATCAGCCGCGCGCTCTGTCTGGCCGGCCTGCTCTCTGAGACAACTTGCTGCATTTAAGCCTATATTTTAACACGTTATGTTTATAAGTTTATCTCGTATTGAGCGCAATATCTTATCATACTTTTCAAGTGTTTAACTTTTATGTTTGTATTATGTTAGTCTGACTGACAATCATATTTAAATTCCATTATTAATAATAAAATAAGTTATTAAATTGATTCGTCTTTTATTTACGGCTTATCAAATTAAAACAGCCCCTTCCGTGGAGGCAATATCTCTGGAATATGACTTCGAGCAGATGGATAAGTCATTAAGTCCTCAAATCTCCTATTATAGATTAGAGAAAATTCGAATAATTTACTTATTTGCATAACATTCATTGAACAGAAATAGAAGCTGTAATTTATATTTTCTGTTTGATTTTTGTGATGAATACAGCAGTGATGGAATTGATCTTATTGGGACTACACAATTCCACATACTGGAAAAAAACCATTACTTGCTCAGTGATACTGGACTGTGTACTGGACATACTCTCTCATCTGTGGACTACTCTACCCACATTTCTGTACCTACCTCGTCTAGCACAGACGCCTTGTTAATAATAAATAAAAATAATATCTGATGGTCAGAGCGCTAAGCAATCATATATGGTAAGGAGTTGCTGAACTATCTTTCCTAAATATCTACATTTTTTTAATAACGGTGGAAATTAAGTTTACAGTTACGAGTTTATTCGTATTCTGCATAGAAAGAAACTTGGTGCGAAAGCCAAAAAAAAAAAGAATCTTGGCGGGAGGGAGGAGTTTGGCGCGGGAAGCAAAAGTTTAAAGGGCTATTAGCTTTGTGTTTGTGGATCAATTAGTTTTTCTGGGTGATTATTGTGATTGTGCAGTGGAACAGTTACGTAACAAAGAACATTAAAGAAAAATCAGAAATACAAAATATACTTCGGATCGATGTTTCTGCGTAAAACCTCTCTGGTAAATCTCTCTAGCATTGAAATACAATCGTAATTCGTAATTTGATGAGTGATTAAGTTTAAGTTAGGATAATTTAACTGAGTGTATACTTATTCATTAATTTATTTATTTAGGTACAGCAACAGAATACAAATTACTTTTTTGAATAAAAAAATAACATTAGAAAAAGATGCATCAAATAAATTAGCTGTATTATTGCATTTCAAACCGTCGCGGCCAGTAAATCGTCAGGTAAATAATAATTAACACTAGCGTTCGTTTCAAATTAACTCAAAAAATTCTACTTTGTCGTCTTGTTGTAAGGTGTATGCTTAGATTAATAAAATCTAAGCGTGTATGACATCATCATCATCATCTCGAGCAAAAATATCAAGGTCTGGGTGTTACTATGTATAGCCTGACCAGAGCCCCGATTACGGTAACTTTTAACGTCAACAATCCAGACACGCTTCTCGATTCTGCGATACGATTGGTCGTTCAACAGCGTACGTCAGCTGTTTTGACCAATCGTATCGCAGAATCGAGAAGCGTGTCTGGATTGTTGACGTTAAAAGTTACCGTAATCGGGGCTCAGGAACATANTAAAAAATATATAAGTAGTATATCCGTAAGCTAGCACCCATAACACAAGCTTATAAGTTGCTTACTTTGCAGCTTTGGTTGGAGTGGAGCTATCTGGCGCTGTATGAAAATCGTATAAAGATACCGACAGCAGCGCCACCTACATTGTTTTTAAACCATACAAGTTTCAATTAAATCGGTCCAGCCAAAAGGAGTTAGGAGACAAACAATTTACAGTTTTTCTCTTCGTAAAATAATGCAACACGTAAGCTTAAAAATCTCTTTTTTATCTTTTTACTTGACAATGGCGATTGGCTATATGGCTTTGTGCAAGGGTTTTTTATCTTGATTGAAATTTGAAAAAAGAAAATGTCAATAAATGTGATTGATCGTGTTCTTATTCTCCGACCCTGTCCCTAAGTTGATACCTTCAATATCAAAGCAGTAAATGTTTCATAATTATACTAAAATTGTGAACATTCTATGCGCAAGTGTAAGAGTTATAAAACAAATTTGAAGATACTAGAATATTCTCGACAAAACAGGCAGGCCGGAGGTTATGTTTATATCTTTTGTATTTTCTTTGGGTAAACGTAGTGTTTTCTTATAAATAATCTAATCATGTCGAACGTATTCGGTTTGCTAGTGTCTGGGAGACTGGTAAGTGTTTAGATTTGGCAGATTTCAGTGATGTTTTTCGTATTCGTTGCGGTATATCTGTGGTTGCGGTCGAAGGTCCGGTGTTAGTGAGTTGCATTTTTGGTGATCAGGTGCAGACGGACTTCACGCAGATATCGGAGACGCAGTTCCTGGTGACGATCCCGGAGGCGGACGCGATCAACCACGCGGCCGTGTTCCTGACGGGCGTGTCGCCGCTGCCGCCGGGCGCGGCGGGCATGGTGTACTGGAGCTGGCCCGACCCCTCGGCGCCGCCCAACTGGCAGCTCCTCGGGCACATCTCCAACTCGAAGCCCTCTGCTATATTTAAGATAGGAAGCCTGAAAAAGTTACATGAACTCTCAGGTAAGGTCCCGTGCCTCTTACAGAGTAAATGCCGATTCCTTACTTTGTACTTACGAATCTAGCTCGAAGGCTCGAATCAATAGTCGAGATTTAATATTATATTGTCTACAGAAATTGCTCTTTCTTTGCACAGACTTTTTATAATCTTTTCCTTTTGTAATTTCAGAGGAAAACAAATTCAGCAGTACATTCGGAGCACAGAAGATTTGTCATAATGCCCAGATTGGCATCTCCATAGAACCAGAAGACAATATACAATTATTAGCTTCTTCAATTGTAAGTATTTGCATATCAAAAGGACATCAACCTGTAATATCTGTTTTTAATATCTGTAAATGTTTCTTGACCTCTTCTTTTCAGGCAATTCAAACAAACTCTAATATAACATTTGCACAAAAAATGTTAGAGAGCTTAGTAAACTACGTAGCCTCGTTCTCCGTGACACAAGACCAGATGACCCCGACCCCCGGCGTGTCGTACATCCCCCTCAACACGCTGCAGACGTGGTACCAGAACTTTGAGCGACGGCTGCAGCAGAATCCCAACTTCTGGAAAGACTAACTTGTTTGTAATGTAAGATTTTTTAAGTTGAATTAAGCTTATTTTTAAGAATGAAATGTTTTCCCTAAATTATTTTTCACAAATAATACCCTCATTGTGATGTGATAAACAGTTTATAAGTTTCCAGGGTTGTGACCTTGTTATGACCCACAGAGTTCCATCAATAGACTAGTTACATTCCTCGTTTTGTATCCCGAGAGGAAATATTTTAACTTCAAATTTCTTGATACATAATATTTTTTAACCTGCTGCTTCCATCAGCATTGCAACCTATCTTAAAAAGTAATGCCTTGTCTGGAAGAAATGTTCACCATCTGCTACTGCTCAGGGAAAAATAATTGTAGACTCTATGAATCTTTTCAGCAGGAGATAATGGATTTTTCACTTTTGTCTTGATTGTACCATTTAAGGTCACAAGCTTTTATTTGCTAGCAAGACAAAAATATTTCAATGTCATCTCTATGAATTATGGCCTCATTAATTAAATACAGGGCCATACTTGTGCTTATGTATAGTATTGATTTTGTGTAGGTAAATTGTATCCATAAGTCTAATTTGATTTCATGGATGAATCTTTTGTGCATAATACTTCAAACTAAACTAAGAGCTAGTTTAACTAATTAGTCTTCGCTAGTGTTTCTACTGAGAAGAATACATTAAGTTTTCAAAAATTTTTTCGAATTTGTGACATTATGACATTTTTGGTTATATTTATAAATGTTAAAGACTGCTTATATTTTAAACCAAATTATTAAAATAAATCGTTAAGATTTTTAAACTGGGTTTAAATTACTTACCTATGCATGTATTGCAAATGTAAAACCGCTCCATCCAAGGATCTATTCATCCATCCATCCCAGTCATGAACACCAGAAATAGAACCTAGTAGTCTATTTAGAATTGTATTTATGATGATAAATCGCCTCCTGGGACATAAACAAATTATATGTTTGTCTCTCTTGGAGTTTTTATACAATATTGTGAGTCAGGCGCGGATCCAGCCCTCAAAAAAGGTTGTGGGCACAGCCACCAAAAATTAGCAAAGTGAGAGTTGGATCACTACATGCCCGGACATACATAGATACATGCCCTTACATGCCAATCGATCTTATCAATAGATCATAATTAAAACAAGCAAATCAGGGTTGTGGGCATGCCCACAGTGCCTACAACGGTGGATCCGCGCCTATGAGGTAGAAGATAGAAATTAAAGACTTAGTTGCAAAAATAACAGGTATGTTATTAATTTATTGGTTAACAATGGTAACAAAAGTTCTTAATTCTGAACACAGCTTGAAGGCACTTAATAACAATTTAAGGTCAGCTAGTGCCGGGCGGCTTAAGATAAAGTCTTGGCCTGTAGCAGGAATAATTTTGAAATCAAGCTTCTGTACACTTGTTTATAAATTCTCATTATTTCCTAAAACAGGAGTAGCGCTGATAAAATTTACCTTAGGTTTACTGTTGGTGCAATTTACTCATGCTACAGGCTCGGTTACTAAACTACTTTGTACTCTTTACAATAAATAATTGAGATCCTATGCGCAAGAGTGGACGCGTAGGTCGAGCGTCCCTTCAGTGAGGAGCCCGACTAGAGCTGCACAATAAAATGCACATTGGTTACAATACGCCTACGTAGAGTAGTCTACAATGAGTTCTAAAGCTCAATATATTTAAATAAGATTGGCTTCACAGAATTGGATCCAATGTGTATTATTACTGTTAGTCTTTGAAAAACATTACACAAAGCATTTATAAAATTGTAAAATGAAAATAACATTTATGAACGAGAAAAAGAGACAACAGATCACAGAATTAAGTTACACCCTAAAATATTAACTTACTTTGGCAACACTTGTTCATTGTTCAGTTTGTAAGATTTAGGCGAGCTCTTTATTTAAATGTATAGTATTACTACACTAGGGCGATATGTGATAAATAGAATAATACTCTTTAACTAAGACTAACGGGGTAACCAAAAAATCAAAGCTGAGTGGCAGCTGTGTGTAATTTATACCGACAAGAAGAAGCAAACTTGCATATATCATTTTTATACTAAATTCATGTGCTGTCTCAATCATGACATGACCAATTCATCAATATTTTGAAATTAAACATTCGAATTAATGAATGGTGACTGTACGTAAATGATTAAATAAAATAAGATGTTTCAAATACCTCATTTGCATTAGACTGTAGAGTGGCATGGAAGACCGATAATGTTGCTTATTATTATTAATATAGATCTTAATTTACCACAGCATAAAATTTCATTGATGTACTCAGCATCACCAACTCTGTAGTTATTGAAGGTGTGATGATGATTTAACCCTTAACCAGGCCTAAAAAAAGTTATTGATTTTCAATTGTATCTTCACGGCATAAAGTTCAAATTGATGTGGGCTCTGTGGATACCAGAGCCTGGTTAAGGGTTAAGGCAGCACATCGCGTCGCGTCACTTTTCTATCTGCAGCGCAAGCTTAAAAGCACAGGGTCCAAGTTCGATCGACGAACCATAAATATGACACTGGTCCTCTTAATCGAGTCAAGCACAGAAGTCGTCGAACGCGATCCTACAATCGTATCGAAGCGGTCAGAATCATGTTTTACGTCTCTTTTGTTGTGTAAAGGAGAGACAGAGGCGGCTAGCGTGTGTCGGCGGCGGCGGCGGAGGGCCGCGCGGCCGGCAGCGGCTGCAGCAGGCTGGGACTAGCGGCGGGCAGCGGCTGCAGCAGGCTGGGACTAGCGGCCGGCAGCGGCTGCAGCAGGCTGGGGCTAGCGGCCGGCAGCGGGCGGGCGGCCCCAGTCGCGCGCCAAGAAGGGGTGCTGCAGCGCGGCGGCAGCGGAGGGCCGCGCGGCCGGCAGCGGCTGCAGCAGGCTGGCGGCCAGCGCGAACGCCGCGTCCGGGAACCCGCACACCCAGCGGCCCTCCTCGAATTCCCACGCCTGCCGGACGCACCACAATGTTGCAACGTAAGGCCCTTTTCACACGTCCCGGTTGCCGGCTAACCGGCGCCGGGTACCCGGTCGTGAAGTGTATGGGCATAATGCCGGATTAATTACGCCGGAACATGTGAAAGCTACGTACCATGCCCATACACTTCACCACCGGATACCCGGCGCCGGTTAGCCGGCAACCGGGACGTGTGAAAAGGGCCTTAGGCCCTTTTCACACGTCCCGGTTGCCGGCTAACCGGCGCCGGGTACCCGGTCGTGAAGTGTATGGGCATAATGCCGGATTAATTACGCCGGAACATGTGAAAGCTACGTACCATGCCCATACACTTCACCACCGGATACCCGGCGCCGGTTAGCCGGCAACCGGGACGTGTGAAAAGGGCCTTATTGTTGAACAAACCACTTGACAGGTAAGAGCTATGAAGTATTATTTGATTTTAAAAATATACGCGGTGGAAGAGATTGAGAGCCACGGAGACGGGCAGGACACATTTATTGCACGGATGGTACACGATCGCTGGGCCAGAAAAACCTTGAAGCGAAGACCCCGCAATAACACCCGCGGCAGAGGAAGACCGCCTAAAAGATGGACAGATGACGTCCGGCAACAAGCCGGAATAAACTAGATGCATGTGGCCAAGGACCAGAAGTCGGTGGAAGGTTGAAGAGGAGGCCTAAGTTCGAAGACGAACCCCAAAGGCAGATAAATGTATAGTCTGGTCTGAGAGCACGTAGAATTTTGTCCAATGACCCCAAGCTACCCATCCTTATCGCTCGCGCGTAATTATGTTGCTGTCGCGCTCGCACACTCACTGCGGGCGCCCGTCGCACAGTCGCGACAGCAATATAATTACGCGCGAGCGATAAGGATGGGTAGCTTGGGGTTGGGGTCATTGGACAAAATTCTACGTGCTCACGGACCAGGTTTTAGATGCATGTGGGACAAGAAGTCGGTGGAAGGTTGAAGAGGAGGCCTAAGTTCGAAGACGAACCCCAAAGGCTGGTTTTAGTTTCACGCGGACCGTCCGGTGCGGACCCGCTCCGCACGGCCAATCTGTATGAACTTCTAGGGAGCGTTTTAGATTAATGCGGTCCGGAGGAACCGCTCCGCTCCCTAGCAGTTCATACAGATCGGCTGTGCGACAGTCCGCGTGACACTAAATGACACTAAAACCAGCCAAAGGCGGTTAAAGGTAGACATAGTTACATAGTTATAGAGTGCATACTTTTTTCCCGTCGTCCCGGCACAGGCAGGCGGCGCGCGGCGCCTGGCACGGCCCGCAGCGCTCGCCGCCCGCGCCCGCCGCCGGCGCGCCGCCGCGCAGCCGCTGGCACAGCTTGCGCAGGCACAGCCCGCGCCGCGTGCTCGACGCGATGATGCGCCGCCCTGGAATGGTGCAACAGTCGAGTGAAGACTTGGCGACTGAAGTAACTGGAATATCTATTGAAAACTACTGCGCTCGTCGATAATGGTACTCGATACTTCTTTTATAAATTCCAAAATCGTATGGGGAGAAAGCGACACATCTCAATTTCCTAGTCAGTCGAAATTTTTATTCCGTACTTAGGCTGTGCTTATATGCGTCCCAAATATAGCTCGCCCTATCACCACTTCGGGACAACATTATGGGCCGGTACTGAGAAGAAGTACAGATAAATGTGGTGAATAAATAAACGGTCGATGTTCTAGAACTAGATATCAAAAGAAAGAATAATACTTCATACATACTGTCTTCAAATCCAGCTGCTTGTAAAATAAAAAAAAATGTGTGTAATTAAAATCAATTATTTTAAAGTCGAACACCAACAATCCAAATTCAATATTGTTTTATCAAGTCAATAACATTATGATCCTTCATCACATTACGATGCATGTATGTTATCGTTCGCTGTGTATGCGCGGATTCGTACGAATCAATAGCCGAGCGGGTTAAGGCCTCCGCTACACTAGCGCTTCACGAACGTAGCCATCTTGCTAGCGCCGGCGTAGCGTAGACGCGGTGCACCAACTTTCTTTAAACTAAATAATGTGACGCCAGCGCCGCGTCCAGCGTTCGACAGGCGCCCAGCATTAGCGTCGCGGCGTCACTACTAGTGTGGGGAGCCCTAAGGAGGACACTAACCCAGCTTGGCGGCGGCGGCCTGCAGCGCGTCGGTGCCGAGCAGGTCGGCCAGCTCGGCCAGCGCGGCCACGTCGTCGGGCGCGCGGAAGAACGGGTACCGCGCCGTCAGCGCGCTCGCCAGCACCACGCCCGCCGCCCACATGTCCACCGCCGTGCTCTGCGCCGGCGACTTCAGCAGCACCTGACGCACATAAACAGTCTTAGGACCTTCGCCCACGGCGACTTTTTGTAGCGATGCATTCGCGCTTTTGTGGCGCGTTGGCATCACTTCTGTAGTGACTAACGCGCATTAGTAGCGATGCTGTCGCTCGTTTACGAAACGCGCGACAAAAAGTCGCCGTAGTCAAGAGCTTTTATATCCAGCTAATACTTCGTCTGCACGGTGGGCGAGCAGTCCGGGCGGAAAGATCCACTCTCTTTTCGAGGTATCACAGTTATGAAGTTCAGAATTCATTTCTTACAGTGCAAAGTTGAAGTGTGTAAACAATAAACAAAATATTAAAAAAAAAAACACTAATTAACTATTCGTTTCATCCACGAAGTGGCGCCTCACCATTTTTTGTCGAAGGAAGCGGGACGTTTTATCCGAGTAATCTGAGCATTGTAGTGTGCGTGTGCACTCATGGATATTTTAGCGTGTACCGATAACACTCAAATGAAAGAGAATGATGGGGCGCGTCTTCATTCATAAAACGATCTATAATACATTTCACTTATCATACTTCCGTCTCAGCTCAAAACTGGCAACAGTAAAAAGAACGACGAATTATGTTATACAGTGTGAGTCACGTTAATTTTTTGAGATTTTTTTTAAATTTTTTATAGAATTTTTTTTCTTCCAATTACTTATTGTAAAGAAAACGTAATAACTTTTAAACTAAGCAGTATATCCTGATAAAATAAAAACAGTAATAATGCTAAATAACAGGGGATACTAAAAAAATACATACAATACACAAAAAATGCCAAAAAATAATAAAAAATGATACTCTTTGAAAAAAATCTGCTTAAAAATTCGTGTTTTTTTGGTTATTTGATAAATTTCTCCGAAAAATGCCCCTATAACAGGAGGTTTTTATTATTTTGTATTATTCTCTATTGTATTACCTTTGTAAAACCAAAAATTGCATGTCTCTATCCCTATCACAACATTTGCTATGATCGTTTGAACTAAGCCTCTCCGGGCGCGCCATTCAACGCTTCGTTAACAACGAAACTGAAAATGGCTCTAGATTTGTAATTTTGATAAAGACAAGCCCCAGCACGCGCCCGCCCCGCCCGCGACCATACCTCCGGGGGCCTGAAGCCCTGCGTGCCGGCGCGCGGGGCCCGGGCCGCGGGGCGCGCGCTGCAGCCCGCGCACACCGCGCCCGCGCCCCAGCACGCGCACGCCGCGCCCGGCGCCCCCGCGTTTGTACCGCCCGCGCCCGCCGCCCCCGCAATCGCCGCCATGTTTCTCTACAAATACAAACAGTTTGTTCAGTACATAGGCCTTTTCCAGGGCACTTATACACGTCCCAAATATAGCTTGTCCTCCCACCGCTTCGGAACGAACAGTCTCAGCCTCTTTTTCAAACAAATACTGTAATTTATAACTTGCATGACTCTGTATACATAGTTTTACCTGAGACATCCACTGTTAAACAAAGGTTTACATTGAATTTTAAAGAATGTTCTAAATTTTGATGTTTCGTATTCAAATTAAATGTAAGTAAGAATATTATTGTTATAACAAAAACTTGCCTTCGGCACGGAGACCCTAGCGGTGGGCGCGGTGGCCCTCGTTATGGGCACGGTGTGCGTGGGAGCCACGGCGCCGCCGGCCACGCTGGCGACGATGTCGGCGGCCACGCTGGCGGCGCTGTCGGCGGTCCGTCGGGCGGCGGGCGCGCGCAGCGACAGGTCCAGCGCCGAGCGCTTGGCCGACGGCGGCGACCCCAGCTGCCGACACAACACGGTCACGGCACAGCCGAATACGACTTACAAACTAGTAAGGGTTCGGACAAACCAACGCGATCACAGCGCGATCAGCCGGCGTGCAGCGATGGCGACCAGACCTAAATGCATTGATCGCCATCGCTGCACGCCGGCTGATCGCGCTGTGATCGCGTTGGTTTGTCCGAACCTTAAATGATAAGTAGCGTTTGGGACAGACAAGTTATAGACATGAGAGCGACAGGAGACATTGAAGTGTAAAAGAGCACTCACGTCCTCTCTCGGCCTCTTGCGCAGCCCGTTGGAGTGCGCGGGCGGCGGCGCGGTAGGGGCGGGTTCCCGCGTGCATATGCGCTGCGCCAGCCCGAAGTCCACCAGGAAGTAGCTGCCAAACAAAACCGTACACATTACCAACCGTTGACAGGCAACAACCACACAACTGTGTCTGGCAACCCAGACACAGACACCGGTCTTGACGTTTTCGGTGACAGCCTCCCTAAATTTAAGTCAAAACTCAAGCCTGTATTCGGAACGACTTAGGCACCGAACAAAATGAACAATTACTAAATCCTTTATATTGTTCGGTGCTTAAATTCTAAACTCTATTCAATTGATTTTTGTTTTTACTAGTGTATAATTACCCTAACATTGTAAAAAGAAATGCTGTGTATACCTGTAATTGAGGTCATATACGTATCATGTGTTAAACCATGTTAAAATGTATGAACTGTATTATGTATGTGACTTTGTTGGTGTACCTAATAAATAAATAAATAAACACGACAGTTTCTCACGGCTCGTACTCACTTGTTCTTCTCCCGCTCGTACAGGAAGTTGCTGGGCTTGACGTCGCGGTGGATGACGCCGAAGGAGTGCACGCGGCGCAGCGCCGTCAGCAGCGCGCGCATGTAGCGCTGCAGCTCCGCCGCGTCCATCGCGCCCACGTACTCCTGCCGGCACACGCACCACGTCACGCTGGTGGCTTGCTTACATTGCTTAACATGCCAGACTAAAATTTGCTCTTTCATACCGGTTTCATGCAATAAATAGTGGTTGTTGTGGCAGTCAACTTACGGAAAACTTTCTATGAGGTATGTAGGGCATTATAAAAACGATGGTGTCCAAATGACGAAGACACAACTCCACATTGATGACATGGTCTTTCCCTCTGAAAGCAATAATCATATTTAATTTTCATAATATTAGACTTATTATTAATTCATAATAATATTATGAAAATACTAAATAAAATTACGACCACGAGCTGGAAGACGTAGCGTGGGCAGGCCTCCCACTAGGTGGACCGACGATCTGGTGAAGGTCGCGGGAAGTACCTGGATGCAAGCGGCGCAGGACCGGTCTTTGTGGAAATCCTTGGGGGAGGCCTTTGTCCAGCAGTGGACGTCTTTCGGCTGAAACGACGACGACGACGACGACTAAATAAAATAATTTTTAATTTCAATTAAGTAACTTATTAAAAATGACCCCATGTCTTGCAGACACCGCAGCTCGTGCTCTACGCGGGCGGGATGCGCGGTGGGTACCAGGTGCTTGATGGCGAACCATCTCTTCTCCGAGTCGTCCAAGTGGGCATGCTGACGCAAGGAACCCAAGTACACTGAACTGAATGTGCCTTCCCCAATCTTACGGTGTACCTCAAATATTTTATCAAGTTTTGGCAGCTTCAAGAGTAAATCACTTATCTGCTGTCCTGGAAAAGTATATACCTTAATTGTTATAATCTATTTTAGAAAAAGTTGTACAAAATAGGTTATTTTTGCCAATTTACACATTATTACAATTCTAGCAATACTCAGGATGGACTAAGCAAGCAACCCAACTTATAAATAAAGGCTGCATTTATTAAAATACATACTTTCTATGTCATCTTTGGACCTGGAGGACTGATCGCCATTGCAGGCAGCTCTCTTGGCGATGTCGCTACATCCACTACGTGTTTGCAGTGCATCTTTTGGCGCCCGAGTTTCAATTCCTCTAATTCTAGACATTCCTTGTGAAATCCCTAGATTAATTTCATCTTCTACGTCAGCCTACAAATATAACATAACCTTTCTCCATGAAAGCAAAAAGGAAAAAACCGGCCAAGTGCGAGTCGGGCTCGCGCACAAAGGGTTCCGTAGCAGCAAATATAATAAACTTATTATGTCAATTTATACACCTGGTGAATGGAGCCTAAACTCTCCCGATATTTTGCCTTGTACTTTTATGTATGAATATTAATTTTATATATGTATTTATAAATATTCCGAGCTAAAGAGGTGGCAAAAGCAATGGCAAACAAACCACAATCAATAGTATTCGGTTGTCGCTGAACACTTGGAAACTGAATACATGACTCCGATAGATACGGAAACAAGGCTTTTACATATATTTTTTGCGATTTTCCTAGAACACCAACAAGACTATCGTACACACGCAGTATTCCATTAATGTAATAAATACAACTCCAGTGCCCCACTAATCCCACGTCACCGTCATAAATTACTTGAAGGTGCGTCTCATTTTTAGGTACAGGTTCAATCAGTTCAGGGTGTTGAAATAATTCTAGCTCACGCGGTCTAAATGATGTGCACCGAAGTAACTTTTCATGAAATGCGCGAACCACATCATCTTCGATAGGTCATAAAGTAGCTTTAACAACATTACCAAAACAAGTATCAAAATTACGTAATTAATAAAAACATTTTTTTTATCGATTTTTAAAGTCAATAAGTTTAGCAATGATTTACCCTACAACGGGGAAATTTTCAAAAAGCGTTAACACTCTGTCGGCGCGCGGCTTTTTTTAAGACGCTGGGGGTCATGACCTTATGACGTCGCTACGCGTGCCGGCGCATCTCTACCCCTCCCGCGTACCCTCTACACTGCAGTTCGGATTGCCATGTAAGCTTTTTTATTTTTGTAAATTTTGTATTTATTTTTCATGGGGTATTTTTTTTATAATATTTTATGAAAATTATTACACAAATGGAATCTTAACTCGATACCTATTAACACCTTAATGGATCGGACGGTGTTTCCGTTACACATTGTAGAAGCAGCTGAAAATTCATTGATTGATCAGCTGATTTTGACATTGACATATTTCCGTTCTACTTTCTGAAGTTTCAGAAAACCACAAAAACACTGTGTGACGATGTTTTGTGAACATTAAAATTAAGGGTCAGAGGGTAAAAACCATTGATAAAATAACGTTATTTTTGTAAATATTTGTAAAATTCCTCAAAGTGTGATGTTTATCAAAAAGCTGGCTAGAGCTCTACGAAGAAACTTGGTAAATAGATAACCACAATCTATCGTTTACTTTTACATGACTACTCATCATTTACCTACTTATACTCATGGTCGAATAAAAACTTATTAGGTATATTATGTAATTAACTAGTTTTTACCATAGCGAGTAACATAGTAATATTATGTAGTTTCAGGTAAATTATGGGACTAAGCCCGACATTCCAAATGAGGTTGTATCAAAAACAAAACCATACAAGGTGATGCTTGAAATGGGTAAGAAATACAGCTGGTGTGCGTGCGGCCACGCCAAGACAGCGCTGTGTGACGGCACACACAAGGATCAATCCCTCAATATTAAAGAGAGGTAATAACATCTTGTTTAAATCACTACAAAATGATAAACAGCTACTAATTTATTCATAATATTGTCTCATTAAATAAGTCATTATAATCAATATTGATAACTTTCTTGTTTTTTAAAGCTAAATATTTAGCTTAAAATTTATTTACAAGAAAAGCATTGTTGTAATATCCTGAAATTCAAACTTGCTTAGCACTTTAATAATATTATGCTTTTATAATATTTTTCTGTTTATTGTTGATTATTTAATTTTTTTTTGCAGGCCCATTAAATTCTCAGTAGATATGTCTAAGGATTATTTTCTGTGTACCTGCCGAAAAACTAAAAATATACCATTTTGTGATGGTTCACATAAAACAATTAATGTTAAGAACCAATAAGTTGAAAAACATTTTTAAAATCATCATTTTGATGCAAAAAAGCTCCCATTTACGACGCCACAGTGTAGTATAATTTGCTTGATTGCTTTTATTTTAAAGCCTTCATTAGTTGTTGTAAAATACTTAGATTAAGTTAAAAAGTGTTATTAGATTTATATTTTTATCTTATGTTATTGTTGAAATAAACCTTGGACTTTGAAATATAAGTTTTTTTAAGAATATTAGTAATTTGGAACCCCTCGCTAATAGTACGAGAGCCCACGACCAAAATTATTGTCTCATAGCAATACGGCCAAAACCGCATCAAATCGATAGATACGATTATCCTGAACTCGAAAATACCAATATCAGACATTTTCCGCGTAGCGTTTGATCTGACCGAATTTTCAAAATTGTCAAAGAATTTTACCGAACTGCATCATAGCAATATGTCTGATTTGCAGACTGTAGTTGAATGATAGTTCTGAGATACCGGAAACATTATTTTCAGACGTTAGTGGTGTAGCGCAAACCCGTAAAATCACTTAAAAAAATAAAAAATGAGACAAAAAAAATGTCTCATAGCAATACGTCTGAAAATCTTTTTTATTAGTAAATTTTGGTTATTTGATGCGAACAAAACAATTTTCAGACGGAAATGTGAACGCATTAAATTTTGAGACCGTTTTGAAAATGTTAACAAATTTTACCGATCGGTATCATAGCAATATGTCTGAAAATTGTTGGACATGATAAAATAAGTTGTCCACATGTGCAAAANTTTCACTCAAGTTTTGTTCCAACTTTGCCCTCCATTTTTATCTGTAGCTTTATGACTCAAACTCACTCCTTTAGACATACTCTCTAATGATCTAATCTGTGACTCACTCACTTGACAGCTGTCACTGTCACGAATGTGGTCACGAAAGAGCGATTTATTAAATTTGTATTTTCCAAGTTATTTACACAAATAAAGAATATTTGAAAACAAAAGTAATGTTTACTACAAGGCTTATTCCAACACTCAAGCCATATTCCCTTCAAAAGGTATTTGATTGATGTTTTTAATGAACATAAGGTTAAAACTCTCCAAAGTGATTTTTCGATTATTTTATTGTTTTGATAATTTTCAAGCCTTATATTAGCTTTTGAGTTTATATATATGGTATAAGTAGAATAATGATGGGGCTTCCAAAGGTCAGATTAGATTTTTTAATATGTTTTCATGTTGTAGGTTAACTATGTAACAAAAGCGGCCAAGCCGGAGATTCCGAAGAATCCGCTTCGCGATGTTTACTCGGCGTCGAGCCAGTCGAGCAACGGCATCGTGTATGACCGGAAGCCGTTCAAGGTGACTCTGGAGGCCGGCAAGACCTACAGCTGGTGCCTGTGCGGCCGCTCCAAAAACAATCCGCTCTGTGATGGCACACATAAAGATATCTACCTCAAAGTCACGCAAAGGTATAATATTTATATACTAGCTTTCCGCCCGCAGCTTCGCCTCGGGTTTTCCCAGCTAACTTCTCGCTGTAAAAACCATCCTTGAACTTCAACAAACATTAAAAAAAAGGATTGGTAAAATTGGGCCAGGTGTTGTTGACTTATGCGATTACCAACACATTTTATTAGTTATTATTTCTCAAAATTATTTACTAGCAATATTTTCTTTCAGGCCAATTAGATTCACTGTGGAGAAGACAAAAGAGTACTGGCTGTGCAACTGCAAGCAAACCAAGAACAGGCCCTTCTGTGACGGCACACACAAGTCCAAAGAGGTGCAGGAAGCCACCAATGTCAAAGTGGGCTAGCATGCATTGCATAATTTAGTAGAATTTCTTTTAAGACCTAATGTATTAAAAGATCATCCTAGTGCTTAATTTATAAAATAGATAGAATATTGTGAAGATTGTTATTATATTGTTAAACATACACATCTGTAATGTTATTTGGATCCTGTGTTAACAGCAAAGCAAGTAATATAGCCTGTGTTGAGCATTGAACAAAAAAGGGATAATCTTTGGAGTTCAGAAAGCTTTCAAATTTTGAAATAAAATAAAAGCTCCATAGTCATAGATCCCCAAGTACTACCTGTTGATATTAAACTAATTTATGAGATACCTAGGTACTTTAGTTTACCAATTATTAGCCTATAGTTTTGGAGCCTTATATGACGAGGCGGTTGAGCTCTTACATGGAGAAATCATGGAATTTGTGACCTATAATGACATTAATGACCTAAGTGATTGTTTGCTATATTTCAATTTTTTTATATTTTTTAATATTAAAGTGATACTTATCAAGTATTAGTATAAGAACTTAATTATTGCTAAATTATCAAGAATACAATTATTTTTTACATATTACTAGGTATTTGCATTAACTTATTTATATCGATTATTCAATTGCCTTCTAATGTATTAATGGCCAATGGCCATTCTATTAGAATACACATCACTAGCGGTTACGTCAAATTTGACATCGTCAATAGCATAGAGAAAAGTAATACATAGGAAATAGAGAACCCTCTCTGTCAAATTTTTGAGCCTACTAATTGACAGCCTGGTGTTAAATTCGCTGTACTTAACCTACGTACGTAACGCTCACATACACACATAGTACACGCACACATACATACATAAAGTCCACGCACACTAGGCCCTCATAACCTTCAAAGAATTATTGTTTTTATGATGTACAATGTAGAATTTTNTTCCTATTGTTGATCTCTTTATATTTGATTTTTAATTAAACTATTCAATTGATCTCACAATATTATGTTCAGAACATGTAACTTCATCTTGTCAAACTAGAATATAAAAGAAATAAAATTATTTTTATAATAATTTGCAGCATTTTTATTTACTTACAAACAGTCGACCCGAAAAACCCGAAAAACCCGAAAAAACCGGTTTAGTTCGGTTTTTAAAAATAAAAACCGAAAAAACCGGTTTTTCCAAACCGCTCGGTTTTTGCATGCCCTATTGCACAGTCATAACTTATGGACACTGATTGCTTTTGATTCACTGCTAATAACAATAATTGTGGAAAAAATATTCTTTTTCTGTTGCTTGTTATTTTTAAAATAGTTGGAATTGTACATAAGATATTACACAATTTATTAATCCGACACTACAAGTAGGTACATTGGTGATAAGAGGTCATGGAGATAACTGTGGAGTAGTAAGTAATTAACATGAGCACTTAGTGCTCATTGAACACACTGATTTAGGACCTATTGTAATTATAGTATAGAATAATTGTTTATTTGCATAAAACATGGTATACAGTAATAATAATAAATATAATAATAGTATGCTAATATCATTCAGTTAATATTGTGAGAAATAAGAAGCAAGTACTTTACTATTAAAGTTATTTTAGTAATAAATAGTACTTTCCTTAATAATGTCATATACTTTTGTGAAAAACATCTTCTCAAAAGCATCTCAACAGAAATGTAAATATCTTTCTGCAAAAACATACAATGAAATAAAGAAGCCAATAATTTATAATATCAATGAAATAATAATTTGTTTTAGAATGTAGGTCACCCTTTTTATGCAGGACAAGGCAAGGATGAAGTCTAGGATGGTACATATTGTCTGCGTAAAATATTTTAATTTAATTGAAATATGTTACAAATAATAATATTGTCATTGAACTTATATCAGCTGCAATATGAATTAATTAATGTTCTAACTCAGTGGTTCTTAACCGGTGGTTCCTGGAGGCATTCCAAGTGGTCCACAAAGACATCGTAATAAACAAGTGACGTGACGTGATGAGTTGAATCAACACAACGCAAACGGCGCACAGTGGGAGAGAAATCGACCTCCCCTTTCATAGGATTATGAAAAAAAAAATAGTGGTCCCTGACAAGACAGAAATTTGGTAAAATGGTCCCTCGTGACTTATAGGTTAAGAACCACTCTAACTAAAGAATACAAGCCTGTTGAAGTTTGAGTTGAGAACAACACTACCTTCCCAATATTTTCAAAATTCAACTAGGTATACCTATTTATTATTATGTCCCATCACTAATATCTTTATTATTATCCTTTTATGATAATAATAATGTTTACATTTATGGCAGACATTGCAAAATAAAAAAAAACATCAGATGACATTAGGGCTAATAGACTTTGAGGATCAAGTTATTAAATTATTTATCCATCTAAAGATAATAAAAACATTATGGGCCTTATTACAAATAAGGTAAACACACATTTTAAACAAGTGATCAAGGCCCTATGAGACAAAGTATTAGGATCTGTTTGCTCTGTTAATTTTTTATTATTATACCTACACATATTATTGCTTTACAACAATATGAATTTTGTTCTGAATTGTATCTTTTTGTAAGAAATCTTTAAATTGCAAGCAGATGTACAGAGACAGCACATTAGACTATTCATTTTTGTTGCAAAATCGCCTCCATTACAAATGCATAAGATCCTTCAGTGTTTAGCTTAATGTGCTGTGGTCTGTACATGAACTGTGTAAGCACATTTTTTTCTCATGTTTGTTAGACTTCAATTACCATTATTGAGGTCAAGTTCAACAGCATAGTCAAGTAATACATATTTTTGGGTCTGAGAGGTCTTGAGAGCCACCACCATTTTGATAGACACAAATACTTATTAGAATTATCTAAACCGGCTGTGATCTAATCAGGATAGAAGTCTGCCATTGACTGTTTTGAAGCTCGAAATTCAGGCTTGCCTCGCGCCTAAGGTGCCTTCAAAGTACGGCATCCCGCATGTGCGCTATACACGCACGCGCCACTGAAAGCTATGGCTGACAAGAACAACAGTAAAGATGAGACTACGTGCGTCATTGTGAAAAAAAAAACCCAGAGATTCGAAAGACAAAGAATACTACAGCTTACGACTTACTACAAATCACTTAAAATATCATTAGCAGGACACATAATTTGTGAACCATTACTTAATTAACCAACCATAATAAATTACTCAATTAAATTCGTAGATAATAAAATCGTTAAAAATAATCGAATAATAATTGATTTATAAATTGGAATGTTAATGTTAATTAAAATCAGAATGATAATTAAAATTTTCCCCCAGCAGAAGTGAAGCAGCCGCTAGCCACCCCCAGGTGACTGACTGAACAAATTAGTTGTTAATACTCTTTAGTGGTCGGTGCCGCCGTGGGCTTCGGCCACTTCACTTAATTAGTTACGCTGCTCTATGATTGATTAGTCATGCATTACGTAACTTTATATTTCCGAAGCAAGAGTTATCCTCTTACATTTTCAAAATATGTAGTAGGTAGTTTAAGTAGGTATTTGTTTTAAATTCTAATAGCCCTCGACGGCCCAACGGTGCCGCGGTGTCGACATCGGACTGCTGGCTGTGCCTGTGATTGAGAACGTTGACAGTTGATCTATAATTAAGTCCTTTTAGACGGATTTAGTAGGAGGATACACTATTAGGTTTCATTTTTGGCTAGAGTTTAAGTATGTGCTTTTAGGTCACCGCGTTAATAGTTACGTTTTTTTTTTCATTTAACAATTTAATTTACATATTAGATTACGTAAACTCGTTAGATATCGGTTTCCGAGGTTTTTTTCTAATGCCAACGTAAGGCGCATCGTCGTCGTTAGCGCGAAGTTGTAGCTTTCTTTTTGCCTGATTGGATCAGACGAATTAATGTTCAAACTAACTAGCAATTACCCACTTTTCATCTTCTTAACGCTCAATCAAGAAGACACATAAACTTCATCTGCATCTTATTAGATCGAATTGTTTGTGATCGTGACTGTGATCCGATATTGGCAGGTTTTATAAAGGAATGTCTATTCACTGCGCCCCTCGGTCGGGGAGGGATGGAATTTCTCATTTAGCGGCGGGGGCAGATATTGAATTATGCAGTCCTGCTAAGTGCCGGCATTCCGGCGCGATTGTCGCTGCGTTTGCGTCACAGCTCACAGCAACTCACGCCCTCGTTCAAATTAGAAGTAACTGACACTGTCGTATTTCTCCATCCATAACTTTGGCTACTTTGCGCAACTCAATGAGACCCCGCCCTAAATAGACAAAAGCAAATTCGTTTTATGCAAGTAGGTACTTCATACTTGAATGGGTTCGGGTTTGGTCCAGAAAGAAAACATTGGGTCATAGGTCATAGCCACCTCCGATCAATAAATGATCGGCGAATGAACGTAGATTATGTGGTCCATTCTGTGTCATCCAAAGATTTAAATTTAACATTATTTAGATTTTCTTCTTATTCTTTACGCTCTTGGCAGAGCGGTCGTGGTCACGTTGAGGCGTTGTTCACATCGGTTGTAGAGGCGGATACAACTCTCCGCACGATCTCCCGCCATCTCTCTCTATTGGCAGACTGTCTGGTGCAGTACTGCAGTCACATACACCGTCTCCCACTGCCGATTTCACTTGGTCGGTGCAGCGCATTGGTGACCTGCCACGCGATCGGGTTCCTTCGACTTTTCCTTGGACAACCAGTCGTTCTATGGAGTTGTCATCCCGCCTTGAAACATGTCCGAAGTATTGCAGTATGCGCGACTATACTACGTTTGATAAACGCTGAGTGACACCGAGCTCCTGGAGTATGGACACATTGGTACGGAACTCTGTCCATGATCCATGTCCATTTTGATTTTACAGCTTTGCAAAATTGCGATCAGTATACTGCGAAGAAAAACAACAATACAAAGTTGGTTTAATCATCGCTCCTATCTGCACTGAAGTCTTGCATAGAAGAATCAATTACCTACCTACAAAACCAATCAATTACGACAAAGGCTATTAATAAACAATCTGATAAGTATTAATCGAGGCTGATAGTTGCTGGTTATAAAGTGATTTCCCAAGTCATCTATCTGTAAGTCATCTGTCTGTCTTTGTTTAATTTAAACATGTTTTTAATTAAACATGATCAACTTATAATCTCATTCGCTCTGCTCAGTTCGGGCTGCTCTCTGAAATAAAAATGCTTTGATGAAACAGACAAAAAATTGTCACCATTAAATTTTATCATTTTGCACGTGAAATCGACAACTTATGTTTAAATCTCAGCGGGCGCGAGTGATTGCGCAAACACGTGGCGGTCAACCACACGGAAACGTGTTCGTGTGACGCAGCGCGCGGACTTTACTGCTGATTTCCTCATGACCGCCGATTTGACCAAATTACCTATGATTATTTTGATTTCATTCTAGCTTATTAAGATTTACCATCATTCACGTAATGGAATAGAATCGTAGTTCGTTCTTAAAACAACTGAAAAGCTAACAGCACAACAAAGTTAAAGTTACGTATGGTTACGTGCATATTTCTAGTGTTTTCTTTATCCACCGCTGACACAGCGTCAATGACAGCGGATAAGATCATGAATGACGCAGGAGAACCTCCATTTTATCTTTAGCTGAAGTCAACTTTTTGTGTATTTCACCTTGACCCAAGTACCTACAACAACAAAATAATACTATGTAATTATGTGCATACCTCACCATTTTCAAGATGTTAACACATGTTTTTAATATTTCCTTTGATGTCCGACAGCAGTTTTTCATCCAATAGTAAGGAATATGGACCCAGCCGGGCACTCGGCCGTGGCCGTGTAAAGAAAACAGAAGAAGCGTGTGTTTGAATTCCGCCGCGGCTGGTTCTATTCACTGCGGTGAACCCACTCATTACACAAGCTTATTTAGCCTACTATGAAGGATTAACAGAACTATTTAAAAAATACAAATATGACTTAATAATTGCCTTGGGCGCGGCGCAGAGAAGATTTGAGGTGGTCGCAAATCGCAATCACAATGTCGCAGGTCATTGCCAATGATAAAGCATTTTACACCCCGAGGTCAGATAGCGATCTAATTTGTCTCGTTTTGTCGCTTTGTAGATACTTGTGACTTGTTAGTGTCTTTTTTTACCTTCGAATGATTTTTTATTGGAGTGATGTTTAATGTTGTTGCTGTGCCTGCGATTTTGTCTCTGCTGGTATGATTTTCCAGTGGACTTCAGTACCTATTCACAATCACCTTCTGTACTCACTTAGATACTTAAAGGCGAATAATTTTTGACACATAAAAAAATCCCGTTCGTAATTATTTTCTAGCATTAATGAGGCTTTTGAAAGGTTGAATTTCAACCTTTAGACCATTCACAGGACAGACTAAGTCTACATTTAAGCGTTGTTTTGTAATAAGGACATTTCGCATACTCAATCGTTTACGAATGGCGCAAATTCGCAAGCATTGGATCTCGAATTGCTTGAAAAATACATCGCAAAGATGAACCGAACCATTTGTGGCCGTGCCAAGAAGTAAAAAGCTAAGGTCACTGGGCCCACTGACAAAGTCAAACAATTCGTCAAGAACCGCACAGATACAGAACTCTAGATTAGATGTTGATGATAATAGCGCGACGATTTACAGTTAACACAATAATTATTGTGGCAGTAAAGACAAAAACCAAACTTGGTTCAGTTTGCGTAATTGTCACCTAAATACGAGTTGTTCTGAAGGACGTTATGTTTAGTAGTTGATTTCTGTTGATTCAATGCGTAATCGCTATTGAAATCGCAGACTGAAAGAAAAGATTCAATTGTTGGCCAACCGACCCGAAATAAGTTTCAAACAGGTTTTACTTTGGCTTGCTTAGTTATGTGAAAACAACAGCTAATGTTATTTTTATACTCCAACAGCACCCGGGCGGAGAAGAAGTCTTGCTGGAGAAGGCTGGACAGGACGCCACGGAGCCTTTCGAGGACGTCAGCCATAGCTCCGATGCCAGGTGAGCTGGATAGCATATTTTCTATCTAGAAATCTTCAATTAGATTAGACGACGTGGTTACTTGGAACTACGAAACACAACGAGCACAAAGTGATCACCCAGAGTACCGTGGAATCTCAAACCTCAAAGATTTTGAAGACGGGCAGCAGAACACTTTTCTGTACCTACCCTGAACTTTTCCTGTTATCTCATTTTCTTTGTCTTGCCCATTTGTTGAAACCAAACTTTTAATCAGAACCTCCTACATTATACGCGCAAACAACGTGTACTTTTCTTATGACAAAGAATAACTGTTATTCTCTTTTCCAGGGCCTTGATGAAGAAGTACAAAATCGGCGAGCTGGTGGAGGCGGACCGCACGCAGAGCAAGGCGGGCTACGACGCCACCTGGAGCAACGACCAGCCGCAGGAGCAGGGCAAGTGCGTACTCGCGTAACCCGGTAGCGTGTAGCGTGCGGCCGGCACGTAGCGTGTAGCGTGCGGCTGGCACGTAGCGTAGCGTGCAGCGTGCGGCCGGCATGTAGCGTAGCGTTCTAGTCGTAGCGCGCTAAATCCTAGGCACAGCTTTGTTCAGTCCTGCTGATGAACAGAACCAATCAATACAATAATGATTATTCACTTGATTGATTATACTTATATTTAATAGATAAAAGGTTATAATAAGGAACTGCTTAGAGTAGGATTTTGCGGTGGGTACTTGTTTCCTGAATTTCATATTTTTATCGGCTATTTTACATGTTTTATTTAGTTTTTAGCTAACTTTAATGAAAAAGAATAATTTACATTCTTATCTGATAATAGAGCCAGACTGAATTAATTAGATAGCGTAATTTTTATGATAACAAAATTTACCGGCTGTTTTCTATTGTGTAGTTTTAAATTTTTTATTAGATGTGTGCCAGACGTTGAGGCGTCGTTAGGCTAGCCAATAGATTCTGTGCATTACTGCGAATACGATCGACAACCCCAGGATGGGAAAACGTTTCACACAAATCAAGCAACCAACCACCAATTTTACTGTTTGTGATCTTGTGAAATGATCAATTCTTTCCGATTTTTGAGCTCACCTGCCGTGACATCGGAATATCAGATGCCTATAACAAAGGACTGTTCTACATTAGGCGTGTTACGGTTCTATGCCGTACGTAACACTTACAGTTCTTCTCACAAACATAACACCTTTCATCAGTTTCATCATTGCCCACTCCTCCATCAGTCTAAGTGAGAAAGAATCATTTCAATATCGCATTCCAAAAGTAAATCCAAATGAGAGTAATGTTTTGTTTACTATGCTCTATTATCAATCGTTTTTCTTGCACTTTTTCATCACCTTTTAGTTTAGGTAACACTTGCACGTAAGCACATGGCTCTGTGTAATGAATAAGCGCTTAAATGATAAATTAGATTGAAAATATGTGTGATTACCTTTTAGATCTGTGTCTTATTCTATTTTAAGCAAAAGCCACATGTATTCTACATGTTTATTAAGTTACATAATATACGATCTCTATTATGTATGAATATTTGGATTAGGTAGGTCTATAAATAAAATTGTTCCTTCATATTTTTGTGTACACTATAATAAGCTTAAAATAGATGCACAAATTGTTTTGGTGCTAATACATAATTTTCTTAGTTTGTGCACATAATTATTTGAATTATTTTTATTAAAACATGCTACAGTTGTCATCTTGTTTAATGTAAATTAAAGTATTTTTATTTATTATTTTTTAGCACAAACAGTATAAAATATAAATCTTTAGGCAGGCAATACATTAGATGTAATAAAAATATTTTCCCAAAAAATAAGTACTGTAGAGATATCGCCTAGTCTATTTCGGTGCTTTGTTTTCTATATAACAAGTATTTTTACGCTAATCGATGTATATTGTGTGTTGATCAATAAATCTCATTTACTGAAAATATTGATTCCTCATTTTATCCGATACCCCTTTTTGGTTTACATTACACAGACCCATGCGCCCTCCATTTTTTCACGTCATGTATGACATAAATATCGTTTCATAGGGTGTAAAGGACACAGTGATACACACGCTAAGTGCTAACCTATAGTGAAATAGGATCATAAATTCAATGTCTCTTTTCCATAAATAAAGATTACCAAACTCTACATTGAAAGGTGTGATCCCTTACACCCTGTACTCTCCATCCTATATTAATCACGTGCATTATATTTATTTTTACTGATAACCCGCATGCAGCACATTTATTGACCAGATAAGGAATTTGAAATGAGTAGGTATCGAGTGAAATACTCGTACGAGCTCGTGACCAGTTGGTGGCGATAACTAACACTGTGGTTAAAATCTAACTACTCATTACAAAAATTTAATATTTGTCATGTTTTATTTTTGTAATGAGGAAGTGTCAGTATCACACATAGTAATTAATTTTTCATTGAAATAAATACCTAACAATTGTTGTTTGTTAAGAACGTTCAATATAACAATAAAGTCTCGAGCTCTATATGTATGTAAATTTGTAAATATTTGCATAATATTGTCAATAACGTGTTCACTGTATGTGTAGGATATATGTAGATAGACAGCACATATCTGATGTCATTCATGCTTAATATTCCTGAATATATTCAGGACATTTACATGCCAACTGCCTTCCTTATGCTGACTACATAACTAACTCTATATTACCTACATACAGCCTGTAGAGACACACATACACACGCAGTAATGTGGAGTGCACGCAAATCTCCGCACACAATATAACCAACCTTAATTCAACCTATCTTTAAATGTAATGTGAATGACCAATGTTCTAATAATCTAATTGGTTAGCCCTGTAGGTTATTTATTACCCCAATCGAATGACGAACCTGGGTCAAATGTTACATTAGCCTAACCAGTATAGTGGTGGATGAATCGGTGGTAAGAGCTGCAGTCATCGAGGTCATGGGTTCGAGCCCATTTTTATGTTTGCAATAATACACAGGGCTTCAGGAACCGACTAGTGCAAACAAACACCAGGAATAAGAGTTCGTTTTAAAACTAGTTGTATATTTTAGCGCTATTCTTAGCAGTTGAGAAATAATTACCAATACAATGTGTCGACATCAATCCAACAAAAGAAAAATGAAAAATATACTGTGTGGGTGTACCATCGGCAACAGTGTTAACTATCCATTGCCTGTCATGTCGTCTCGTTCTATCGCAAAGAGCAAAAACGGAAATGGATAGTTAACAGTGTGGCCGTGTGTTCTGTGGTGCTCCTCACCCTATAATACGTATACCCTTTAACAGAGTGTGGTAGCTGGATATTGTGTGTAATAAGGGCTATGTTTACGCAGCGCGTGGAGCTCGTGGCTGACGCCGCTGCTGCTGGGCATCGCCGCCACCATCATCTACCGGTACCTGTTCGCGTAGTGCCCCGCCCTCCCCCGCCGCCCCGCCGTCCGCGCCCGACCGACCACCTGCAGACAAACGAAGTCGCCTCGCTTCTACTCAGCGCTGTATAGTTCTGAAGCAGAAAGGTTTGGTTACTGAAGTCTACCTTTAATTCTTGGAGCCATTACAGCTAACCGAAAATGTAATGTTTTTGTAAATAGAGAAGAAAGAAGTCGCCAAATTAACAATTATACACAGCAATATACTGCTATAACAAGACATTTTATATGTACACAGTACACGGTACACCCTTAGATTAATCTACGAGTATGTGTGTACTTACAATATTAGAATGTCGTCTATGTACGGTATAGACGACATTCTAATATTGTATTTTTCATCTTTAGCAAGAATTTTTGGAGAGATGCTAATAAATAATAAACTAATATTTTTATGATAGCGCTGGACGTAGCAATCTACATCATCATTCTCCTTTATAATAAAAGTTAGCATAAATGTAATTGAACTTTTTAAACGTCCGTATGAACTACTTGTGATTATTATATAATATTTGAGGGCTGGAGCCGAGTTGCTTAGCAATAATTACACTAAACTATAGCGAAAAATTGGAAATGTAGGTGGCTTGGTGCCTCTGGATGGAAAAGTGCCTCGCGGCGCCAGCGCTTGCGTGGCCGCGCTTAGTTGAAGTATACTATTACATAACCAGTAGAGATAAGCGGACCTATTAATTTAGTTATACTACCCAATAACTTTCTAATGTTAATTTCATATTTATGACTTAAGATATATTTTACGTGCATTTGCACGTTGGATGAGGGTATTATAGGTGCTCTTTTGTGTGGAAATCGCCAGGAGTGTTAGTCAATTATTATGATTCTATGCTGTCTTATAATATTGTTTGATTGTGTTGATATGATATTTTGTACTTTTAGCACAAATCTTTTTTTTGATGTCTGATGGCATGGCACTCTTAATTAATATTAATATGGTACAAGTATGTATTTTTTTTGTTTTTGGTCTAAATGTCAAGTTATACTTTAGCACAGGCGTAGGTTGTGGAGCTGAACATACATAATGTATAAATGTATGGTGGAAATAGTACAAGTGTCCCAGCTTGCAAGCGACGAAATGAATGGCCTCATTGTTGTGATTACTGTTATTGCATATTTGTACTTCAAAGAGCATTTTTTAAATAATTTTATTTATTTTGGGCATTAATGTATGAAATATTATGTTTTCAGAACTGAACAGGCTAAACAATTTGTTATATTTTATAAATAAAAGACATGATGTGTGTAATATTTTATTTTATTTACCAATTATTTTGAGCCTTCTTAGAAAACCTTAACTTAAATAGCTAACAGTCTTAGTAAAATCTTATAAGGTAACAACAAACATTTGTTAAATAATAAATACTATATTTTATTTCAATTTAAAACAGTGCTAAGCACTTCCTCAACCATAGCAGGAGACACATATCTTGGAGCCCTCAGATCTGGAAATATTAAAAGGATTATCTCTTAGATGGTGCAAAATTAGAATAATATTATAAATTAAATAACTGTTACATTACATACCAAGTAAGTATGTAATATTCATACAAAAATGTGATAGCTTTATTTGATCTGGAACCCTATTTGTAGTTTTTCTAACTCACCCTGTAAAGGAGCAGCAAGAGCAATCTGGGGGCACGGCAGTGCCCCCGCCAAGTCGAGCGCGAAGCAAACACTGCCGTACCATCCTTTACTGGAACCATTTCGCCGCATTTTCAGGCCCCTATTTGAGAACCTCTGGATAAGACCAGAACGCAGAAATTTTCGTCATCTAGTAAGCTATAATCACATACTTTAAATCCAAAATTTCAAGTCTGTAGGTCATTTAGTTCCGAAGTTAAGCGAAAGCAAAGTTTCGCATTTACGACACTCACTCACTCACTGATGATCATCAAAATAGAACTAGTACTTCCCATTAACTCAGAGGGCTGAAATTTGGTACAGAGTTAGGGTTTAATGGCCACATAAAGGGAAAACTATAAAAACTAGGAAAATCGAAGATCTGGAGTAACCACATTCATAANTAGAATTTATCGCAGCACTCGCAGAAGTGGCGGCACTCCGCGCACAGCGCCTTGTCGCAGTACGAGCACGCGCTGGCGGCCGCGACCCCGCAGCCGCACTCCAGCGAAACAAGCGAACTACTCTGTGCCTACAAAAACATTCCCATAAATTAATCATTTTAAATACGTCAATAAATAAATATATTTTTTGCTAAACTAACTTATTTACCATTGTTCCGGAGTGGATGAGTGAACCATCCTTCCCAATAAACAACTGTTTCATTTTTTCCTTGCTTTCAGGCACAATGTTAGGAAGTTCTGAACTTTCTTCTATTGCGCACTGTTTCTTAGCGCCTTTATAGAGTAAGTTCAATGTTTTTTCTGAAAAAATACATTTAAAAACAGAGTGAAAACGTAATAATTATTATAAGTAAAAGATTTTTTATTTGTAAACATGTTGTAAACATACACACCATACACTTTTTTAAGTCTATCTTCATTGTTGTTGAACTGCTTTGCGCCAATATGAACTTTACATTGTGGCATGAAGGCATCAGTAAAAGGATTAGTTCTTTTAGCCATTTTTACGAGTAAAACAATAAAGGAAATTAGATTTTCTTGATAAAAATTCAAAAGTAACCTCACATTTTTTACATTTTGACATTTGGCATCACATATTTTCACGATTCAACGTCAGGTGTTTGTGACAGTAGAGGGGGCGCTAATTCCAAATAAAAAATGCATTGACATTTATTATATTATGGGTCGTGCTTACATAAAAAACATACGTGCTTAGTACACACGGCCACAGTGTTAACTATCCATTTCCATTTATGCTCTCGCTCTCATCAAATGGTGATTCTTTGCGATAGAACGAGACGACATGACAGGCAATGGATAGTTAACACTGTTGCCGATGGTACATAAAGGATTTGGGAAAGGAACATGGCCGCCGCACGCAATATAGGCTAGGCAATCAGTCAGCTCAGCAGTCCCTTCTACTACACAAGTGGCAAAATCACAGATAAGAGAGTAGGTATGTGGGCAAAATGTAACAGTTGTAATGTCGAAAGATGGTTGAAATGGTTGAAAGGCCTTTTGAGCGATGTAATATTCTTTGGATTAATATTCTTTGGATGTAACTCCATCATACAAAAAAAAACGCCGGAGCTAAGGCATTTTTGCCACTTTTCTAGGGAGGCAGCTGTCAAAGATCAATAGGCGATCCATGAAGCTAAAGATAAAATTCGAATACCTACTTGAAGCATAACCTATGTATCACTATCTCGCTCTCTGTGGGCAGACTCTCTCTTTCTAAATAAACAAAAAATATAAATTTGCTCAAAGTCAATCAAACTCAATGTAAAATCTTTATTTCTTGACATAGGTATCATTAAATAATAAGTGTATTATACTGGTAAAACGTTTTAGAAAGAAATTACTGTGAAAAATGTTTACAATGATCCAATGTCGGAAATCACGAAATAAACACTTACGCGTGAAATCTTAAGTCACTTCGGGGACAGCACGTACTACCGCAACCACGCACCACAAAATTTTGCACCATTTCTTGTGATAAAACAATGATTAGGTCCTGTACAAAAACATAGTAAACAAAAAAGTAAACAACAGCCATGATGGGCTGGATTGGGCCGATGTTGCCACATGGTACCGATTCCTCAGGAATTGGGATTGTAATTCCCTAATTCGCCAACACATTAAGCCTAAACGGCCGACAATTTTGTGATTTTTAATTTAACTAGGTAAACGTAGTTCATATTTTAATTATTTATTAGTGTAACTTCTGATTTGGTTAGTTAATTGGCTATTTCGAAGAATTTACTAGGAGATTAAAATAGGGTATTTCGCCGAAACAGTAAATTTTCTGTGTCCAGGCAGGCGAACACATGTTTTTTTATATCTATCTGTATAAAACTATTTTTATGAGAAAGTTCATCAAAAGTTTTATTTGTTTTTGCTATTACAATAGCAGAGACTACAAATAATACCGTAGAAAAACTTAATCAAAAGTCGTTTTTCTAATTTCCTTGAAATGTCCATTACTGTTGTTTGCCAAAATGAAGGCTCATTATAACAAATTGAAGCGTAATTTAATTCTTATAGCACTCTCTTTACATTTGAGAAACGTTTGGCTATCGGAAAATAAAAACTTTAAATGTCAAATACTTATAGGAAGAAAATAAAGTGAAGTTAAGTTCTTGTCCAGATCAAAAGTATAATTTCCCTGGGTCTTCGTTTCGACCATTGTTGTAACGAAACGAAAAAACTTAGAATGTAACGCACTGCACCACTGCACTCGGCCATTTCGTCCCAAGAGGCCATTGAGGCAGGACAGCACGTCGTTGATCAGTTTCGCGACAAATCGCATAAATAGGTCCCTCCTTGGGTTTTTGTTTACTAAAAAGTCAATTTCTTTGGACGGTTTTTTGCAACTAAACAATGGATTAATTTTATTGTTTATTTACACAAATGTAGTGTCTGTAGGGGTAAACCCATGATTTAAATAGTAAATGTATAGGGTAAATAGGTTTTTGTCTGTGGTGTCTTTTAGGCATAAATCTAATTTCTTTGGTCCTAATTTCCTTGTTTTCCGTGGCATAAAATGACCTAGGAAATTATAAAAGACCATTAATAATTCGGCGTAAAGTCAAATTTTGAGTATTTCTTTATTGGAATAAGTTTAATATTTAAATTTTAAGAAATAGGTATCAGAATAGATATAGAAAAACTTGTTTTTAACTTTTAACTCAATCTACTGCATTTATCTTCCTTAGTTGTGTAAAAAGGTCGTAATGATATAATATTCATTGGCATGTTTGCTTGCGAAAGTACACAAAAATAGGTCGAACAAAAAAAAAGCAAACCACAGAAGAAAACTTAGAGAAAAAAATATTTATAATAATTTCCTTGGCTACCAAAAAATTATGACCTCATAACTTTGTTTCTAAAACGAATTATGACACCCCTTCTAGATATATTAGCTTAGTTTTTACTACTTAATGCAATGGGAAACTAAAAATAGTTAAAAACAGAAATAAAAATCGTGCCAAGGAAATTAGGCAAAATTGACCATTTTTGGCGAAATACCCAATAAGGAGATAGCAATACTACAGTCCATACTGAAAAGAGAGGTCGGCCCACAGAGAGCGAGATAGAGATAAGTAGGTATTTGACTCAAGTTTTTGTTCCAAGTATGGCCTCCATTTTTATCATTAGCTTCATAGGCGTCTCATTTGGTAACTCCATGCAAAAATGTCAGTCTTTATTTAATGTGGCGCGTTCTGGCTTTAAAATAACGCAAATTTTCGTTCGTACGTTCGTCTGTACTCGGAATTAAATAAAAATTATTTAATTTAATTAATTTTTCGTTATTTTTATGCTAAAAGGAAAATTAAAATTAATTTTTGAAAACAATATTGTCACATGAAAAAAATAATAAATTAGTAGCTTAGTTTCAGCATGGCGACACTGCCAACAGGGCACCTTCGATCGATGGGTTGCTGTCAACAATTTCTTTCTAAAATATTTATGAAATAAAACCAATATCGACCGTGGATAACTCAGCTAATATCATAAGTGTAACTGGTTTCGTATCCAAGAATTAATCCGGTGGTCAGCTCTGTGCTAAAATTTTGCAAGCAGTGAGAGTGAAAGTGTTCGATGTGTCTCTCGATTCCATGATAGTGACGAGGCTATTCGCAGCATATGTGAGCGGTTTCCTCGCGAATGTTACGTAAGCGGTGGTAGCCGTCATGTCGTGGATGAAGCGGCCGCAGGGCGGCGCGGCGCCGCCCGGGCCCGACCCCCAGCCCTTCGCTGCGCCCCAGGTGACTGCCGCATAGGTTACATTCTCTGCGATACAGACGTAAACAATGACGTGGTCCAATCCATACAACTAGCAAATTTCGATCATATGATTGTAATAAACGTCTACAATGTCTTACCTTTCAATGTAAACACACCATAATGTTTTTCTACAAGATTAAAAAACTGTTATGTTTTTTACTTTCAGACATTCAGTAATCCGCAAAATATGTATGGGAACTATCAAGGTGGCACTCCTGGAAATGCCCAGCCACAGCAGCAATTCTGGCAGATGCCAGCTCAACAGCAGCCGGTGTCTCAGCCGCAGCAGTACAACCAGCAGTACGGGCAGGTGTACCAGCAACAGGAGTATGCCGCCAATGCCAACCAGTACTACCCACCACCTGGACCGTACCCCCAGGGCTATAACCAATCCTATGCCGGACAACAAGGATACCAACAAAATTACTACCAAAATCAAGGAGTGCAACCGAACTATCCTCAAAACAAAACAAACACAGATGGCTGGGAAGACAACTGGGACTGGGGGTGGGATGACTCGTCAAAGCAAGGCCAGAAAGCTCCAGGACCCAATGCTGCTCCGTTGACGGCTCCTCCACCGGCACCGCCGCAGACGCAGGTTTTTAATAATGCTAATGTGATTGAAGAAAGTTTTGCAACCACTGATAGTTGGAACTGGAACACTGAGGATAAAAAAGATTCAAATGACTCGCAACATGCTCCTGTCCCTCCGCCTGAGAACAGCCAAATGGCCACACTACCTGTACAAAATACTCCCATTGACAATAATACTGAAAATGAAGCAAATGTACATAGTCAAAGAAGTCCTAGTAGTAATTCAATACACCAACCTACAGAAGAAATTAAAACTCTCAATGACAGAGACATAGTTAAGGAACGTTTACCTAATTTGGCTCTAGGTAAGCGATTCCATTTAGACAATTTAACTCCTCAGTGGTCAATAGAATCACAAATGTCACAGGAATCTAGTGACGGGCCTCACACTCATTCTGAGGGCACCTACAGAAGTGAAAACCAATCTAGAAATTCTAGTAAAAGTAGTCCAGGTCTGAATACCGAAAGTTCAAACTTTAATTATTCTCAATCTGGTATTGAGGAATTGTATCCGCAAAATAGTGAGTGGTCAAAACATTCAACGGAAGAACCCACTTTAGTCGACCAAGCACCAAGCGGCAACAGCAGGCGAGAGAGTCACGACGAACTCTCCAATTCATTACAAGAAATGAGCATAAGTAATAGTGAGAATCCTGCACCTGATACATCGTCTACGAACAAGGAGGTGGAGTCAAGGAGCTCACAAGATAATGTAGGAGTGACTTTGCCTCCTCCGCCTTCCATGTCCCCAGCAAATTTTCCTCCTCCTGCACCATTAAGCCACCCTCCGCTGGCGGCGTCCTCGGCGCACGCGGTCGGCGCTGCTGCCCCTCCTCCAACTTCATCCTCCTCATCATTGCCTCCACCTTCGAGTTTTCCGCCTGTGTCATCTCAAAACCCCTATAAACACGCAGGACCATTCTCACACAAGAATTTATCAAAAGTTCCATCAGGTACTCCATCTCCAATGCAGCCGTTCCCTCCTCAGCCGAATTTAACATCCCCGGCGGTAGTTAGTAAAGCCTCCCAGCACAACAGAGTGCCCGTAGGATATGGGGCTAATTTAGAGACTACCCCTGATAATTCGGAGAGGCCCGACCAGCCGCAGGTTGCACCCTTTAGACCGATGCCTGTGGCGCCGCAGGTCCCCGACAACTTGGAAGTGGCACCTCGAAATGATAGAAACGAATATTTGCAAACTGCACACCTGTCGAGCGGAGACTACGGCGAAAATACCGACTTCAGTCGCAACGCTCCACCACCAGGCTTAAGAAGAATGGTAGTCGGCCAGCAGGAATCCGAATATAGCCAAAATATAAGCCTAACATCTGATGAACCCCCACCGGGTTTCGCGAGGATGGTTCCCGGACAGCAGACCGAGTCTGAGAGTTCATACAATCAACCTAACGATAATTATATGGATCGCCATATTGACGGCGGACCGATAGAGGGTCCCGCACGGCCCTACAGGCAGGCCGAGGGTCAGCAATCAGACGTTTACACTCAACCTCCTTCCAATAGGAACAACGACAGGAGACCGATCGGGTTGGACAGAATGGTGCCCGGGGAGCCCAGCAACGACGACTACTCCCAATACCAAGGCGCGCCGTACGCGGGATCCAATGAGCAGAGGGTCGTGACGGGACTCGACCACGAGTACTCTGTGCCCGCGGAGCCCGGTCCCTCGGACGTCAGGGAGCAGAATATGGATGGGTCGGACTACACAGAGCAAACCGTAAGAAACCCGCCCAGAAGCGTGATCGGCGCGCGGGAGTCGAGCAACGACGTGTCGCCCGATTACGGGAGCAGACCGGAAGAACAGCAGAGGGAAGTCGTGATGGAGGGTGAGAATTTACAGGACTTGAGCGTCATATCGTCCACGGAGCTGTCGTTCTCGCGGGAGCCGACCTTCGACGGCTCGGACGTGCCGGCGCTCGACGCGAGCTCCGACAGGAAGGCCGACGCGCCCGAGAGCTCGGAGCATTCCAGGAGCGGCTCGAGGCGGCAGTCGCTGAACCACGCGAACACCTCGGGGGACGACTCCGAGAGGGACAGGCTGCTGAAGTCGTCGCCGCGGAGGGACAAGCACAAACCCTCGCGGGACAGGGACAGGGACAAGGAGGGGAGGTACTCCAGAGGGGACAGGAAGTACGACAGGGAGTCCGAGAGAAGGTCGGGGCGAGACGAGCGGAGGTCGGAGCGGCGCGAGCGGGACGAGCGGCGCGCCGCCAGCCCGGACGCGCGCCGCACGCGCCGCAGCACGCGCGAGCGCGACGCCAGCCCCGACGCGCGCCGCGCGCGCCGCAGCACCAGGAGCCACCGGTACGAGACCGACACGGACTACTACAGCGACAGGGAAAGATACCAAAGGTATTTCATGCATGTTGACATTACAATCCTCACTTCAGAGTTTTACGTTTATGAATCAGGATTTATGACCACTACGACGCGTTTCAGTTTCAGATTTACGATTGAATGAGTGACGTTGTCTTACGTTAAACTCGCATAACCTCTTGCAGACGGCAACGCGAAGGCTCGTACACCTCGAAGCCCCCGCGACACGACGGCGAGCGGCGCTACCGCGACGAGCGCGACCGCGAGCGCCGCTACACGAGCGACCGCCACCGCGACCGCCACGACCGCGACCGCGACCGCTACGAGACGCACTACCGGGACATCGACCCCTCCAGGAAGTATGGCAACTTGCGCAAGGAGAGGGAGGACGACAGAAAGAGAGGTGAGCCAACTTGGAATAAAGTTACGGTAATAAGAACCACATGTGAAGTTACTGTAAACAGAATTAAATAATTAAGTTCGAAAACAATTTCTTTCTGAGATGGCAATCGAAACAAAAAAAAAATAAGACGAGCATAGTTATTTTATTGTGTGTGTCCACACATAACTCATAACTCAACTGGCAGTCTGCTTAATTTTTGCACAAACAAATCCAAAAATATGTAACCTTTGTCATAATGTAAGTTTTAATAGGAAGAATACAAGAAAAATCCGGATACACATTTATTCAGTCCACTTTTTCAGATACATGAAATTGCTCATGAGAGTGTTCTTTCATTCACGCACTTTTAAAACTGCCAGACCTAGCTGCTACCAGTATAAAGTTGGTTTAAATAACATGAAACATAATACACTGACTACTGAGAGATATCAATCAACATGCTTGGATTTATCTTAAAATTAACTATTTATTTGTGATGGGTTTATCGTTCCTGCTGCGAGCATACCGACTGACGCCATTAAAATTTGTTTTTCAGTTGTGACATTCTCGAGCGATGCGAAATCTAGTGATAGTAGTAGGAAAGAAGGTACCACTTGCTGTACTAGAATGCGTGCCATGCCAGCACATGTATGATATGCATGCCACGACCGTAACACGCAGGACTTGCTACATGTGAAATGCTTTCTTTAAAAAATGTGTTATTTGGATTTTCTTTAAACAAATAGCTTGAAACTCATCTTCCGGCAATCATTATCGTCCGATGCACTCAATAATCTACAGATGTGGCTCAGGTGTCTCAAATACATCACACTATCAGTCCATGGTTGTCTCGCTATCGACAATCTCATGATTTAGTTGCGATAACAAATAATACTTACTATCTTTTTCATTTTCGGTACATTCTCACTGTGGTTTCTTAATGGTTTGTTTTTGGTCTTTGAATAATGTCGTCAGAATGCAGAAAGTCTCGGAAAACATTTGCCATATTTTTTATGATTATTAACTGAGTTTAAACTTAGGCTGGGTGAAATAGATATTAGAAAAACATAATAATAGTTTTGTTGTCTACTACAGGCCGTGTATTTGATTACAACTGCTTTTTAACCTACTGAAATTATTCCTTTGAAAGATGCTTTTTAAAAGACGCGATAATTGTTTACCATTCTCCATGTTAATGTTTATACTTTTTGCGGCAAGCCCGTTTAAGTTCAGTGGCATATCCTACTTGACTCGTGTTGGTCCTACTGCTCAATTCTACTGGGTAGAGAATTAAAAAAAAATACATGAAACAATTTTATCAAAAAATACTTCATTATAATAACTGTATAAATGTTGTTACTTTTCAATTGACTGTAAGGTAAGATTTATTTAGCGATTTTAGTTGCTTTGAAGTCAATACTTACATTGTTAGTCAATTGAATTCGCGAGCTCTTGACGTCGTAAGCCCATAAATTAACAAAAAAGTTTCGAGTATTAGAGATACGAGAGAGTTGCGTTTTGCTCACAAAAAACATGCTAATGAGGGCTATCGTTTTAGCGCTCACCAGTTAGCGCCACTGTAGAATAAGGTCCTGTCACTTGCTAGTAGCGAAGACAGTGGCGCCAACTTGTGAGCGCTTAAGTGGTAGGAGGACTATCGCATTTGCACTCATCAAGATGGCGCCACTGTAGAGTAAGGTCCTGTCAATCGCCAGGGGTGCCAACTGTTAAGTATAAAAACGATAGCCCTCATTGGATAGCGTGTCTACTACGTTCTATGATATTACCAGTAGAACTGAGCAGTAAGGCCGCTCTCAGCGCAAGTTCCATGGTATTGAGATGGTTGTGTCGGCAGGCGAGGCGTACTCCCCGTCGCGCGCCGAGTCGCGCGAGCCCACGGCCACGGACGACGAGCGCGACCCGCGCCGCCGCGACCGCGACCGCGACCGCCGCTCGCGGCACAAGCGCCCCGACCCCTACTACGATGGTGAGGACCGATGCTCATGTTGCTCTAGATGGCTTCATTAAAGTCCGGTCGCCGAGCAAATAGAATTTCGTGCAATGACCCCAAGCTACGCATCACCTTATCGCTCGCGCGTAATTATATTGCTGTCGCGCTCGCATACTCACTGCGGCCGCCCGTCGCACAGTCACGACAGCAATATATTATTACGCGCGAGCGATGTAAGGACGGGCAGCTTGGGGTCTTTGGACGAAATTCTATCTGCTCGGCGACCGGACTTTAGACAAGTGGGCACAGGATCGTAATAACCTTGAACATGAGGCTTAATAGTTTTGTTGTGTTCCAGTGTACGGCAGCGGCGGCGCCGGCGGCTACCCCGGCGACCCGTACCTGCTGCAGCGCCAGCAGTACGAGTACTACGAGCGGCTGCGCGCCACCGACCCCGCCGCCTACATGCAGCTGTACAAGCTCATGGCGGGCCAGCAGCCGCCCGACTACATGCACGCGTACGAAGGTGAGCCGCCACCGACCCCGCCGCCTACAGGCAGCTGTACAAGCTCATGGCGGGCCAGCAGCCGCCCGACTACATGCACGCGTACGAAGGTGAGCCGCCGCCGACCCCGTCGCCACCGCCGACGCTAACTGCACTACGGGAACTACAAGATTGAACTTGTATTCATTTTCTTACAAATAACACATGGACATGTATGTGTGACGATTCACAGCTTTATTTAATATTTACGTAGTACCTTAGCATACCGATACCAATACGTATTGGCCGATCGGTCGACGTATTGACCGGCTTAGGGTGAGTTTACATCAAACATTTTCGCTAGCGACTGCGTAAAAAAATAAATTAAATGTATGACAGATTGTACAGCGTGCCTAGCGGATACTTTCAAGAACTAAAATTTTCATATAATTTTTTGACGCGCTCGCTATACACTACCTTCAGTGCAAACATGCACTAAGCACACTGACCGAGGTATAACTACCGTAGAGTGTCAAAAAAGTTATCGCTCGCCCAATGACACAGTATTAATATCCGCAGGCTACGGCGGCGCGGGCTACGACAGCGCGGGCGCGGCGCGCGAGGAGCGGGCCAGCGTGCACTCGGGCCGCTCCAGCACCGCCGGCCTCAAGGGCAACGACACGTGAGTCATCCCCGCCCCCCACCACACCTCGCAGCGGCCCCTTCAATGGGAACCACTGCGGTTCATGCGCAGTACCACAGAACATAGGAAGAGATCCTCTTTCTATGTTGTGTGCGCAGTACACTCGCTTGCTTTGTTTACACATGTTTGAAAAAGCTTCATTGTAAAGCTCGGTCTCCGAGCACGTAGAATTCTCACTGCGGGCGCACAGTCGCGACAGCAATATAATTACGCACGAGCCATAAGGATGGGTAGCTTGGGGTCATTGGACAAAATTCTACGTGCTCGGCGACCAGTCTATAGTAGGGAATAGGATTAGGGAGAATTTTACCAGAACATTAGATAAACTCGTGTAATGGGTCAGCTAACATAAGTTGACAGATCTTGTTTTAGTTTAAACATAAAATGGTAAAAATGCTTATAAATAGACTTTTATAGAAACTAGCTTCAAATAGAATAGTTGTTGCATACTAGTCTAGACTAAACAACTTATAATGAGCTGCCAAAACAGTATTCTACTTATAGATTTTGCATCGCAGAGATGACGCCACTTTTTTTCCGATTGAATTGATTTATTTATTGATGTCAAAGTTCTAAAAAATCTCATTCTACTTAATTGGAAATTAATTGGTCTCGAGAATTGGAATTTGGGATTCTCTTCGATTAGTTGTGCCTTGAAATTATTAGTTAATGATGTCACCTGCCCTAATGTTCAACTTTATGGAGCTAATGGATTAAATAGTTATTCATCATCGACCTTCTTTATGTGATACTTTTTTTTTTTTTTTTTTTTAATTTATTGTCTCATAAAAGTTACATCGATTTTACTTAATACTAATCTGCCAAACTGCTTAACAGTTTGTCGGCAGTCGTTCTCGTGCTAACTGTTATAAATGTAACTTATTGTAACTAAAGTTCTGCGATAGTATGTTTCAATAACATTGTTCTTTCAATTAACAATCTATTGTCTGTGTCATGTTTACACAGTGTGTACACTGAGGTTGAAAATATTTAGAATGAAACAGTTCAGAAGTGGCACAGCAACTTACTTACGTCAGGGCCTAAAATGCAAATGCTACCGGCGCAACGTGACCCAGTTCCGCTGACCGGTGAGAGTGCCACACATTGTTATTCGCCTTGCGCCACTCGAATGATTATTTAGCGATCAATATGGATTGCGATGTTCTGTCTGTATGGTAATGAGATTGGGTTAGGCAAGGCATTATTAGTAAAGACCGTTTGCTAAAACTGGTTAGGAAACGCTCCGGAGTTCAACACTTTGGTTTTTATATGGTTCAATGATTTAAATATTGTTTGAGCACTCTTACACATAACATTGCGGCAAGACACTCCGCAGTGGCCGGTTTTGTAATTTGAACAGTTATTTAAGATGTATTATAGCTTTATGGTATATGCACATTACGATATGGCGGGCGAGAAACGTTATCCTGTTCTCCCAGCATAGCAAAACCCAATCGAAGGGAAAATGTATGAATGATCTAATGCAAATAATATTTACAAAAAGTTTCTTAGAACGTGACACTTTCGTTCCGCGCACCTTCTGTCGTAATGTGATTATACTATCATACTTGCAAAAGGCAAGCTTTTATGCGACTAGCATCAATCATAGTGTTATCAATTGTATAAATAAAATGTGTACTGGGAATATATTTTCATCGCTATTCTTTGCGCCAAATGTAAGGATTAATCTACAAACAGTATTGATTTTTGATCCAGTACGATTTATTATTTACAAACTATCTTTTTTAATGATATACGATATACATAGAAATCAATACTCTGTATTTTAATGTTTATTTCGCCTGGGGCGTAGCTTCCATGCCATTACTACTAACACGCTTGAAGCACCACACCGAGCTTCACGCGCCGTACGACCGTGCACTCGCAGGAGGCCTTCCAATGAGAAATATACACATAATAAACCACTGTAAATGTTAAACCTTGTATCCACTTGAGCATGCTCAGGCGAATGAGCGGCTCGGCCAAATGACCAAGTGGATATGATAACGTGAAATTCTGAACTCCGTCAGTTTATAATATAACTCGTGAGATTGTAAACAGTGGATTATTTGATTAATGCTTCAACCACACCAACGCGTGCAGATCGCCGATCGCTTGCGCGATAATAGGAAAATGACAAGTCGCGTGAACTGTCATGGGTCGCGCGAACTGTCATTGGCCATTGATCGCGTCGGCGATGGCGATCTGCACGCATTGGTGTGGTTAAAGCTTTAGTTAGTAACTACGGTTAGATTGTAATCCCATCCCTATCGCTCGCGCGTAATTATGTTGCTGTCGCGACTGTGCGACGGGCGCCCGCAGTGGATGTGCGAGCGCGACAGCAACATAATTACGCGCGAGCGATAGGGATGGTAGCTTGGGGTCATTGGACGGGATTCTACGTGCTCACGGACCAGGCTTTACGTCAGATTTTAATCTGACGGAATTCACAATTTTGCGGTGACAGATACAAGGATTTAATAGTCAAAATTTTAAAAACCTCACTCCAAAGTCAATTGAAACATTCTCAATGGAAGTCCCGTGCACGGTGGTGCGGCCACCTGGTCACCTGGTCACGCTTGGTCCCGGTTGCGGCTGTAGGTACTTCGCGCGCGACGCGCCCGCCTCGCTGCTGGACGCGCCGTCGCTGCGCACCGACGTCTCCGACAGGTAACACGCACTACTCACACGCACACTGCTACTGTACAACATTGAACTCAGCTTACAACATACAGCCACACAATAGCCGTGCAAAGCAAGAAATGAAAAAAAAAAACAGGCCTAAGCTTTTGGTTTTTAAATCGTCTTAAGGTGCGTACGGATTGCGTGTACCCTGGTACGCGTACAGCAACTACTGTCATATTGTAACCGACCTAGTATCAGTATAGAAATTATTTCAGGGGTAGATTTGTTGTTTGTAATTTTGTATTATTGCTTGCCAAGTGCGGAATGCACATTGAGTAAGCTTACCTCACTGAAAGCTATAATTATTCTATAATAACCAGTTCACTCACCACCACTAAACAGTTATCTTTATACACTTTACATACATTCCTAGTTTCTTTCAGATGATCTGTTTTGATGTATTCTGGTTGATGTCATAAATACCATATCCGTTACATTATATGGGATTGTTTCATATCATTAAAATACTAACAGCAATGATTCATGATCATAAATCATAGGTTTAAAAAAGTCCTCAAAGTATTTGGTCTAAGTTTAAAGAATGTGTAGTCCATGCTACTTGATGAAGCTTTAATAAGGCTCTGTTCACGATTGCCACAATAATTTGAACCTACAATATATGAATAAGTGAATACACTTATTGTAAAGTTGAAAAAAATGAAAGTTAACAGCTGTTCTGGCTACAGGGACTTGAACACGGACGCGTCGCTGAATCTGCAACTGGAAGAGTCCACCGTGCGGTCGGAGCGCATGACGCCATTCCGCTACTCCACCGCGCACATCAAGGTACACTATTATACTCATTGAAATGTACAAGAAAGTCTCTTTTTTCTTAACAAAATTAAGGAACTTTGATAAGTTGTATAAACTGCTATATCCATTGTAACTGTGAATTTGAATTAGCTTTAATTTCTGGAGGTGAACAAAGATTTGAGTATGGAGTCTAAGCGCTCCTGCACACGACGCCGCCACCGCGCCGCACCGCGGCGGCGTGGTGTGCAGGAGCGCTAACAGCTTAAATCGCTCTCCCTTTGCAACGTAGATAAGTATTTCCAACATTTCGAACTCCTATGTTTTATTTTTTATTTTATTTTTATTTATTATTAGGCATACACAACAAGTAACAATCAATAAATAATAACAATATTCTTTTGTTTGAATAAATTTTCGTGTGGAGTGGTGTTAAAAAGTGGCGGGGCTGACCCCACCTCTTTCTCAAGACTAGCCTTGTATAACCTACACTGTTCGCGTGTACTATAGCTTTTGGTTTGAAGTAATACTCGTGTCCACAGGGCAGCATCTCGTCGCGGCACCTGGTGGTGGTGTCGGCGGCGTACCCGGTGGACGGACGGCCGGCGCGCGTGACGCTGGCGTCGCTGGCGGCCGCGCTGGCGCACACGCCCTGCGCCGCCGCGCTCGCCGCCTACCCCGGCCCGCTCGTCAAAGGTGGGTGCTAGCTTGACCACGCCCACTAAGGGCCTACGATAAAACTTGCGGGTACACTCTGGTCTTCAGTCCAGACGTTCCGCGGCGTGCGCCCGTCTCGTGCTCTTTTGTAAACTCGTCGCACGCATCAATCAACAATAAATTCTATTTACTAATACACTACATTTGCAATACACTATTATTAATAAAAGTTACACCCTAGTTGAACTCTGGTTTAAATTGTCAATGGGCACGTTTGGCCGGAAATAGCGCTTGTTAGAAATTTATTAGCAAAACCAGCTTTTGCCCGCGGCTTCACCCGCGTGATATTTAGTGTCACAGATCGCCATAAATTATAGTCTATATGTTACGGTCAAAGTGATAAATGTGAAAATTATGAATAATCGCCGGTTATTATGAATAATTACCGCATGATTTGGTAAATGTGATTAATATGAGGTCATTTATGTGTGTATAAAACTAAATAGGCGGCTTAGAGGGCCACCCCCGCCGCACCTTAACCTATTTTTCACTTTAAATCAAAACACTATGTTATAGGCGTCATGGAAAAGTAATATTATGCATGAAACATTCAAAAGTCATTATGCCAAATTATATTAATACAGTGTGAGTCACGTTAAAGTGTACATATGAAAATAGATGAAACTAGACCTATTTTTATCGACAAAAAAGAGGTCAAAAATTTTTTGAGATTTTTTTTTAATTTTTTATAGATTTTTTTTTCTTCAGATTACTTATTGTAAAGAAAACGTAATAACTTTTAAACTAAGCGGTATATCCTGATAAAATAAAAACAGTTATAATGCTAAATAACAGGCGATACTAAAAAAAATACATAAAATACACAAAAAAGGCCAACAAATAATAAAAAATGATACTCTTTGAAAAAAATCTGCTTAAAAATTCGTGTTTTTTTGGTTATTTGATAAATTTCTCCAAAAAATGCCCCTATAACCGGTGGTTTTTATTACTTTGTATTATTCTCTATCGTATTATCTTTGTAAAACCAAAAATCGCATGTCTCTATCCCTATCACAACATTTTCTATGATCGTTTGAACAAAGGCCTGCCACAACATTATTCTCCGCTACAGGTAGAAACAATTTTAATTTTAACTAAAATGCTTATTTTACTTCGAAATCTTTTGTTTTTATTTGAAATCTACCGTGTCTTTATCAAAATTACAAATCTAGAGCCATTTTCAGTTTTGTTGTTAACGAAGCGTTGAATGGCGCGCCCGGAGAGGCTTAGTTCAAACGATCATTGCAAACGTTGTGATAGGGATAGAGACATGCGATTTTTGGTTTTACGAAGGTAATACGATAGAGAATAATACAAAGTAATAAAAACTACCAGTTATAGGGGGATTTTTTGGAGAAATTTAACAAATAACCAAAAAAACACGAATTTTTAAGCAGATTTTTTTCAAAAAGTATCATTTTTTATTATTTGTTGGCCTTTTTTGTGTATTTTATGTATTTTTTTAGTATTGCCTGTTATTTAGCATTATTACTGTTTTTATTTTATCAGGATATACCGCTTAGTTTAAAAGTTATTACGTTTTCTTTACAATAAGTAATCTGAAGAAAAAAAAATTTATAAAAAAATTTAAAAAAATCTAAAAAAATTTTTGACCTCTTTTTTGTCGATAAAAATAGGTCTAGTTTTATCTATTTTCATATGTACACTTTAACGTGACTCACACTGTATATGATATCAAAACGTTCAAAAGTTTGGCTGTACACGAGCTCGTACACAAGATGTTGTTCTCTTTTATGAAATTTGTTAGTACTAAGGTTGAATTATTGAATAATCACTGTTAAATGTGATTAATTTATCACTTTTACCGCGACTGTCGGTAATTATTCATAATAACCGGTTATTATTAATAATTTTCAATTTATCACATTAACCGTAACATATACATTAATTTGGGTTACAAACAATAATACTGTAGTTTCAACAAAATCCGTTTAGTAGTTTTTGCGTGAAAGAGTAACAAACATCCAGACATAAAAACTTTCGCATTTATAATTTTTTCGCATTTAAAATTGCCATAGCAACCGTCGACATTTTTGCATGTTTTCGGCGAGGACACGTTTGCTAAACTTCAAAAGTGACGTTTCCTATGCATTTTTTTGACAGTGACAGTACTTACCACTTAAAGGACGCCATTTTTCTTACTAGCGCTAGCTAGCACTATTTTCTGCCAAACGCGTGTATTTAGTAAAGAAATATCATTTTAATGTGTTCATCCCAGGTGTAACTTTTTTTATTAATAAGGGGATAAAAGACAAGATAAAGACGTAGGTATGTTAAAATGTAATCATATTGTGTGGAAATTAACGTCTTTATGTCTTGCAGGTGTAACGCACAAGAAAAGCGTGATCGAGTACTGCGAGGCGCGCGTGCGCAGCGCGGCGGGCGCGGGCGGCGGCGACCCCGTGGGCTACGCGCTCGTGTGGGACCTGCTGGCGCTGCTGCTGCGCCAGAACGGGGTACGATACTTCTCATCATCATCATCTCAGCCATAGGACGTCCACTGCTGAACATAGGCCTCCCCCAATCATTTCCATATCAAAGTCAAAGTCAAAATTTCTTTATTTGTTTAGACTAATTAAATTAGTTCTTGCAAATCGTCAAATGCTCTTAAGGAGCCTATACATGTCTTATTCTTTTTTTGCCCTACCAGCGCTTTGAGACAAACATTTGGCAAGTGCTGAGAAGAAGCGCCGCAACAAACTCAGTCAACTTCTCATCATCATCATCGTTTCAGCCACAGGACGTCCACTGCTGAACATAGGCCTCCCCCAATGATTTCCATATCGCCCGATTGGTAGCGGCCTGCATCCAGCGCCTTCCTCCCACCTTTATGGGGTCGTCAATCTACTTTGTGGGTAGACTGACGCCACTCCTGCTGATAGTTATTTTGTAGTATTGGCTTGCTTGAAGCGAGCTTGTACAGAAGATGTATTTTCAGATATTAGGACTGTAACGCCCCTGGGTCTGCGGGTGTCTATGGGCGACGGTAATCACTTACCATCAGGTGATCCGTCTGCTCGTTTGCCTCCTATCACATAAAAAAAAAAACTTTATCATTCCGATCTACTAGTGTTGGAACTTGTTTTTTTAGAGATTTTCTGGGTCTAAGGACTAATTCATGCGCACGCATATCAATGCGGCGTGTGATTTTTTTTCTAGTTTTAAGATAAAAAAATGTAGTATCTTGTATTGTTTTATCAAGCTTACCTATCTATCAAGAACAATCATCAGTCGAGTGTCACGTCCACTTTTGAGCTGCGTGTCAAGCTCGAGTGTGTATAAATGCAGCCTTAGATAGCTAAAATAAATGTTATATTTATGCAGGTGGTCGTGGGCACCGATATCGCCGAGCTGCTGATGAAGAATACGCGCGAATATGAATACCAAAAGCAGTCCGACAAGTCGGCGAGACTTGGTACGCACACCTTTGATTTTTTTCTTTTTATTCCGTCTGAATTTTGTGCTATTACATGTAAGGTCCAGCCTTCACAACTTCTGTGACTTGTTTAATGCGCTGCGGATATCCTTAACTTGTACTATTTTTTTCTTTTATGTACTTTCATACCTGTTACATCTGCGTACAACGGCGTATGATCTAGTGCGTAACTTTTATTTGGTCAATGGCATTGAAAACAGGTCATCTGATTTGTTTGTTGACGGGGCACATCTTGGAATTCCATCTGCAGTATTTTCTTAATTAATTTTCAATCCTAATCTAAATGCATAAAATTCGAAATACTGAAGGTATCATCCATTGGTAGAGTTAACCCGTTGGCGACCACTATCGTGTCAGATCATACGCGGTGTAGCGAGTAACAGTGTGATTTAATTTCTGCTGGTGTATGTGTTGGTGTCGCTTTACGTGTGTCCCGACGTGTCCCTAGACTCGCGGCGGGAGTCTTCGCTGTCGGGCGCGCGCGACGACGAAGGGCCGGAGGCGTCGGACGCGAACGTTCCACTGCAGCTGCTTGAGCAACCTCGTGAGTAACCATATAGAGTAACTGGGTGACAGAGATGACATACAGAGTAACTGGGCGACAGAGATAACAACGATAGGAAAAATATTTAAATAGGCAACAAAAAAACATTAATTTGACAATTGACTTGATAAAGAGATGGATATTATTAATGTTTTTTATCACATTTTGTCACTACGGGCGTGTGACAAACTTTGAGTTATTCATATTGCTAGTTATCCTAAGGGACGTGTATTATTTGCCGTGCAGGTGCCGAATCGGCGTCACCGCGGGCGGCCACGGATGAAGTCGCGGCGCTCGACAAGCTTCGGGAGTACCTCACGTACGGAAACAAACAAGAAGCACTAGGTAAGATACTCCATTTCTATTTTTGACTGAATTTCATGACGGTCGAAAAACTTTTATTTGAGGGCTCCGAGTTTCCATGTACGACTCTAGGTTAAGTTTTATTTTTGACATTTTGTGGCGTCACATCTGGGGGTTGCTTATGGGCTCTTAGTGTCCACATTATGGCATTTAAGAGGTTAAGCACTCTCTGTTTTTGACATTGACTTTACATTTTTGGGTCCAAAAATGAGCTATCTATCTATGTCAGCCTTTGGGTTCGCCTTCGAACATAGGCCTCCTCTTCAACCCTCCACCGTTTTCTGTCCCTGGCCACACGCATCCAGTTCACTCCAGCCCGCTGCCGGATATCGTCTGTCCATCGTTTAGGCGGTCTTCCCCTGCCGCGGGTGTTGTTGCGGGGTCTCCACTCCAGGGTCTTTTTGGCCCAGCGATCCTGGTTCATCCGTGCAATGTGCCCTGCCCATCTCCATTTACGGCTCTCAATCTCCCACCACGTCGCTGATCCCCGTCTTTTCTCTAATCCACTCGTTCGTTTTGTGCTCTTGTAGGGAGACGCCAAGCATCTGTCTTTCCATTGCTCGTTGTGCGACTCGGAGTCTCTCAGCAAACTTGCAGACCAAAAATGACCATGTCCATTTTTTTTATAGTATATTTTTTGAATTAACTTTTACAAAAATGTATGTTTGTTGTGCGCAGAGTTCGCGATGAACAATCACCTGTGGGGGCACGCGCTGCTGCTGGCGTGGTACGGCGAGCGGCGCACGCGCGCGCACGTGGCACAGCGCTTCGTGGGCGCGCTGCCGCACGCCGACCCGCTGCACACGCTCTACGCCGGCCTGGCCGCGCGTCTGCCGCCCGTCGCCACGGTGAGGCGCTGCTGCTACGTGGTCCTTCGAGCCGGATATCGTCGTCGTTTCAGCCGAAAGACGTCCACTGCTGGACAAAGGCCTCCCCCAAGGATTTCCACAAAGACCGGTCCTGCGCCGCTTGCATCCAGGTACTTCCCGCGACCTTCACCAGATCGTCGGTCCACCTAGTGGGAGGCCTGCCCACGCTACGTCTTCCTAAGCTCTTCGCTAAGAATCGAGCCGGATATACGATACAAAAAATAAAATCATTTATTCAGTTTAGACCACAAGTGGCACTTATGAACGTCAAAAAAATAAAAAAATAAAAGGTAGCCCTTATGGGGCACTTTACATGTCTCCTTATCTTTTGGGCCCTACCAGCGCTTCGAGATAAACATATGGCAAATGCTGAGAAGAAACGCCGGAACAAACTCAGTCACCACTTATTGCGAGTAATTATCAAACATTGTTTTGAAGTCAGATAGCCGAACGGTGAAGGGGTCGGACTGGCCATCTCGTGAACCGGGGAACGCGGGTTCGAATCTCGCCGCCGCTCGACTATTGCGGTGAGCCCACTCGTGACATAAACATTTAGCTTAGTACGAGGGGCTAACGGGACTATTAGTAATTTGTGCAATACAAATTCCACCTTAGTTTCCTTCAGTGGTCAATCTACATATTCCACAGATGAATCTGTCAAGCTTAGCTTAGCTTCACATTCTTCTTTGATTTCGGAACATTAGAAGAAGGAAATGTGTTTATATTTGTTTTTGTTTTAGTGCGTGTCAGACGAGAACTGGGGCGACTGGCGGCCGCACGCCGCCATCATCCTGTCCAACACGTCGGCCAAGCCCGAGCAGGACCGCCGTACACTCATTCAGCTCGGTAAGTTGACCTTAACCATATAACATTATTTAAAAAACTGCATGTCAAAAAAAAATATTATTATACTTCCAAAACACTGAACTGTCCTATCCATGACATTGACAGTGGGGCGCCACCGTCAATACCGGATCGCTGGTTCCGATTTTTGCCATGTTTAAAACCATATAGTTGAACGATAGTAGCGCCCCCCTGTCATTGAGTTTGGTGGGACAGTTCAGCGTGGGTCATCTATAACATAACTGACACTCTGGGGTTCTGACTGAAACAGTGCCTTATACGTTTTTATTTTAATCTTACAGTACAAACAGGTAATCGTATAAAATACTGCTGTTTAATATAGCTAGCCGAGTTGGGGTATTAAATAAATAAAATGAATATCCTTGGACATTTTACACTGTGCTTCTAGTCCCAAACTAAGCAAAGCTTGTACTATGAGTACTAGACAACGGATATAAACATACTTAAATACTTATACATACTTATCATATATAGAAAACACCCAGTCCAATACAAACAAATATGTTCATCGTTCATGCACACAAATGTTTGTACTGTGCGAGAATCGAACCCGCCACCTCCGGAATAGTAGTCCGTTTCGAACCACTACACCAAACGGCCGACGATTAAAATTTAATTTTTACGTTGCGACGTTGAATAAAGTGCCCGATTAAGCACCCGCTACGTCACCCCACAGGCGACACGCTGGCATCGCGCGGTCGATCTACTCGGCGCAGTTCTGTTCGCTGTGATCTATACTATAATATTATAAAGAGGAAAGATTTGTACCTATTTTTGTATGTTTGTAATGAATAGGCTCAAAAACCATTGAACGGATTTTGATGAAACTTTACAGTATTATTGTTCATAATCCAGAATAACATATAGGCTATAATTTATGACGATCTGTGACAAACGAAAAGACAATGCCGGAAATTGGCGTCTTCTTTTTTTCGCGCGGCCATCGACCAAACTTTGTTTTTTGATGCTTTTTGCGCGCAAAGTTTTGTAAGAAATTGCAACAAACTAGTGAGATTGTATGTGTAAACAAACAAAAATATCTATTATAGGCTCCAGACATCAGTATGGAGCAGAATCAGCGCAATAAAAAAATAGCGCAATATTTTGTTGCAATTTCTTACAAAACTTGCACACAAAAAGCAAATCTAGTATGAAAATCATCAAACTTCTAATGCTCGTAACTCAGTTCAGACTGAGTTTAGAGGTATACATGCCATAGTAAGTTTGGTTTGTGTAATACAGTGTGAGTCACGTTAAAGTGTACATATCAAAATAGATGAAACTAGACCTATTTTTATCGACAAAAAAGAGGTCAAAAAATTTTTGAGATTTTTTTTTAATTTTTTATAGAATTTTTTTTCTTCCAATTACCTATTGTAAAGAAAACATAATAACTTTTAAACTAAGCGGTATGTCTTGATACAAGAAAAACAGTAACAATGCTAAATAACAGGCAATACTAAAAAAATACATAAAATACACAAAAAAGGCCAACAAATAATAAAAAAATATACTTTTTGAAAAAAATCCGCTTAAAAATTCGTGTTTTTTTGGTTATTTGATAAATTTCTCCAAAAAATGCCCCTATAACCGGTAGTTTTTATTACTTTGTATTATTCTCTATCATATTACCTTCGTAAAACGCAAAATCGCATGTCTCTACCCCTATCACAACGTTTGCAATGATCGTTTGAACTAAGCCTCTCCGGGCGCGCCATTCAACGCTTCGTTAACAACAAAACTGAAAATGGCTCTAGATTTGTAATTTTGATAAAGACAAGTTAGATTTCAAATAAAAACAAAAGATTTCGAAGTAAAATAAGCATTTTAGTTAAAATTAAAATTGTCTCTACCTGTAGCGGAGAATAATGTTGTGGCAGGCCTTTGTTCAAACGATCATAGCAAATGTTGTGATAGGGATAGAGACATGCGATTTTTGGTTTTACAAAGATAATACGATAGAAAATAATACAAAGTAATAAAAACTACCGGTTATAGGGGCATTTTTTTGAGAAATTTATAAAATAACCAAAAAAACACGAATTTTTATTCAGATTTTTTTCAAAAAGTATCATTTTTTATTATTTGTTGGCATTTTTTGTGTAATTTATGTATTTTTTTAGTATCGCCTGTTATTTAGCATTATTACTGTTTTTATTTTATCAGGATATACCGCTTAGTTTAAAAGTTATAACGTTTTCTTTACAATAAGTAATTTGAAGAAAAAAAATTCTATATTAAATTAAAAAAAAATCTCAAAAAATTTTTGACCTCTTTTTTGTCGATAAAAATAGGTTTAGTTTCATCTATTTTCATATGTACACTTTAACGTGACTCACACTGTATTTTGTAATCAAAAAACAAAGTTTGATCGATGGCCGCGCGAAAAAAAAAAGACGCCACTTTTCATACAAAATCTGGCATTGCCATTTCACGCGTGCGAAGCCGCGGGCGGAAAGCTAGTGTTGAATAAAGTTAAGCACATTCACTTCCACAGGCGATACGCTAGCGGCTCGTGGGCTGATCTACTCGGCGCAGTTCTGCTACATCTCGGGCGGCGTGCAGTGGGCGCCGCACCCGCTGGCGCCCCTCCCGCCCGCACCCTCCCCCGCTGCCCCCGCCCCGCGCCTCACGCTCCTGCTGGCCGACCCGCGCGCGCAGACGTTCGGCCAGCACGCGACCAACGAGGCCATCTTTGCGACGGAGATATATGAATATGCGCTGTCGCTCAACCAGGACTACGTTATTAAGGAGTTACAGGTCAGTTTAATTTACAACTATACGTTTGGTTGTGGGGCCGATGGAGCTGCAAGGTTCTGGAGTGGAGGCCGCGTACCGGAAAACGTATGGGAGTAGTATGGAACGTCGTATGGGATGTCTGTTCACAAGGTGGCCGACGACATCACAAGGTGGCAGGAAAGGTCTATGTTCAGCAGTGGACATTCTACGGCTGAATTGATTTGGTTGTGAAGCCCAATGAGGGCTATCGTTTTTATACTTAACAGTTGGCACCCTTGGCGATTGACAGGACCTTACTCTACAGTGGCGCCATCTTGATGAGTGCAAATGCGATAGTCCTCCTACCACTTTAGCGCTCACCAGTTGGTGCCACTGTCTTCGCTACTAGCAAGTGACAGGACCTCACTCTACAGTGGCGCTAACTGGTGAGCGCTAAAACGATAACCCTCATTCCATTTTCAAAGTCTAAATAAAACATGCATGTTTGTCCTTAGGTGTACAAACTACTGCTGAGCACGCGTCTAGTGGACGCGGGACTATACGAGCGCGCGCTAGCGTACACGGAGCAGGCCGCGCGCGCCGTCACGCGCTCGCCGCGGGATTACTCGCCGGCGCTCTGCCGCAGCCTCGCCTCGCTCGCTGACAGGTGAGATAAACCCATAGTACACAATAATAATGTGTACTAAAGCCTGGTCCGTGAGCACGTAGAATTTTGTCCAATGACCGCGCGCGCTCGCGCGTAATTATATTGCTGTCGCGACGGTGCGACGGGCGCCCGCAGTGAGTGTGCGAGCGCGATAGCAACATAATTACGCGCGAGCGATAAGGATGGGTAGCTAGGGGTCATTGGACAAAATTCTACGTGCTTACGGACCAGGGCATCTACCATCAGCTGATCTGACATTAGGCATAGTCTGGCTTTGTTATTCAATTTTCAACTGTATTACCTTGACAATCAGTTCAAAATTGATTACTAGAAAATTATTTGACAGACGATTTCTACTCTCGACAAATGCATTTGAATTAGCCCCCAGGCTTTACATACAAAAAGATTTCTTAACGAAGATATTTGAAAAAATGTCTACTCAATTTCTTCAACAATATGGTGCAATTTGGCTTGCCTCAGAGTCAAGCACCGTTTCGTTTACATACGTCAGTGATCGGTACTGTACCCATGCGATAAGGATGACTGCTACAAGAAGCTACTGATGTGTCGCCATCTAACGCACCACACGCGTTTTTTTTTTCTTTCCAAAGTGAATATTTTACGTGCGCGCGCTCGTACCGTAGTACGTCACTCACTACTCGCTCGTGAATCCCTTGTGGATTATACCCGCCGGCGGGTACGCCACGCGTGTTTTGTTTTCGTTGGCTACTCGGGGAGACGAACAGGCCTGTGGCCTAATGGTCTTATTTTGACAGTCAAGATCTCGTTGATGACGTTCAGAAGTCGTCCCATTGAAAAACACTTCTAAATTCGTTTTCACAAGGTCATAGAACGATTACTCGATAGGATCGGAAGTTCGGAACTCAGCGATTTGTTTTCATTGAAGTTTTGTTACGTCGTCCCATTGAAAAACAGTTCTATATCCGCATTCACAGGGGTCATTTTACTCGATAGGAACGCAACTCAGTGTTTTGTTGTCGTTAAAGTTTTGTTACGTGAATAAGGCCACTGGGCAAGCTGTGATGGCAGTGGTTAATGGAAATTTGTCGCAGGCTACGGTACCACGACCCGGTGCTGCAGGAAGACCCGCCGCTGGTGGAGGAGGGCGGCGACAGCGAGCCCTCGCCGCGCCACCAGCAGTGGCTGCACGACGTCACCAGCGTCGCCGACGCGCTCACGGTCAGTACACAATTTATAGAAGAATAGCATTTTGACAGTTCGTGATAAGGGACCCCTCACCTTAGCGCAGTGATTCTTAACCTTTAAGTCATGAGGGACCATTTTACCAAATGGCAATGCCAGATTTTGTATGGAAGGTGGCGTCCAACCTTTTTTTTTATTACAAAATAGTGTGATAAACCAAACTTACTATGACATGTATTGTAACTTACTATGGCATTGTCTTTTCTGTCTTGTCAGGGACCACCTCATAATCGGTCAAAACCAGTTTGACTGCAAAAACCAGTTTAAAGTGGTTTTGACCAAGGTGTGCAAGTGCACATCGTGGACCACTTGGAAAGCCTCCAGGGACCACCAGTGGTCCGCGGACCACCGGTTAAGAACCACTGCCTTAGCGCCTTTTGAGCGTCGTCGACTTGGCAGCGGCCGCGCAACGTCGACGCGGCGTGTTTTATTTTTCGGAAAAATCACGCAATCTCCCTCGCTGCGCGCTTTGCTCAGCGTTGTCGACGCTGACCTAAGCAATAAGCATGTCAATTGATTGCAGCGGTCGACATTTATAAGTTTTGCGTTCAATCACAAAATTGTATTATATGCGCATTTTCTGTTTATTAACCTGACTATTAATTTGAATGAACACTGTGTGTCGTACTCGTACGTAACCCAGCATGTGTAGTGCGTGCCCTAACCGATATTCGTGTACTAGGCGGAGGCGTCTGCGCACAACACGCCGCAGCACAGCGCGCCGGACGGATACTATGCGCAGCAGCAGCCGTACGCGTGGCAGGAACAGGTGAGCGAAATGATGTTTATGTTGTTGTGTTGTAATTGATATATTTTTTATGTAAGACAAGACAAGGCAGGTATGTGTTTTAGCCATATTTTGAAAGGATGTTTTACACAAATACCCCCACTTTGAAAAAAGTATTTTCATCATCATCAAGTCATTTAGTCTCACTGCAGGACAACTTGCCCTAACTTACAAAGCCAAGTGAAGGATTTGGTCTTCATTCCGCACGCGCTGGTTAGATTAGATGGGATGGCCCCTTAGTCGCATATTTCTCCCGTCGCCTTTTACTTTAAATAATATACTATTCCAGGCGCAGCAACAGCAGCAGCCATTCCAGCAGCCCGCGGCGAGCTTCCCGGAACCAACCGAGGAGACCGCGGACTACCCGAAGTACTACGGCCAGGCGGACTACAGCCAGGCGGACTACAACCAAGCGCCCGCGCCGCCCGAGCCCGCGCCCTACCAGTACGGCTACGAGGACAACGGCTACTGGCAGCCCGAGCCCCAGCCCTATGCTTACGCAGAGGTGGGTGCCGCAGCTCCCGGGCGGACGGTGACTTTCTGTGGCAATGAGGAAGGCTTACACAATTTATCAAAAGTTTTTCCTTCCTTTATATATGCCTTCTTATCGATATTTTTTGGGAGGAATTTTTATCAGAGATTATCGCTCATGTATAAATTATAATAATATACAGTCAATGCTATCATTATTGCTACAAAAAGTCACTGCAATTCTTAGTTGAACACATTTTTATTAGAATTAAAATATTGTCACACTTCATTTCGTATCGACACGTTAATTTATTTAATGGCAACGTTTATCTTGCTCGACGTGGTGATGGTGTTTTCGTAGTTGATTTAGATTTATGTATTTTTTGACATTGATGTTTTAAAAGTAAAATTAAAAAGGAAACAAAGTAAAACACTACATTCCTGAGATTATACAAAAGCGTCTTTTTTGTCGCTCATTGTCCGCATTTGCAGCTATTCAGCTGACGTGCTCGTATTTACATACAAATCGGAAACCTCGCGCGGAACTAATTCAGAAAAACGAAGTCGCAAGCCGGCATCTCGTTCGAGCACAATCGTCAATTTCACACCTCACACGCGCGCGGCCGCGACGCCGAACGACCGTCCATTCCGAGTCGATCCGCGACGAGCGATGCGCGACCGAGCCGCCGGCAAGTCTAACGCAGTGTTGTGGCGGCGGCAGGAGACCGCGCGCCCCGACGTGCTGGCCCCGCCCGCCCCCGCCCCCGCGCGCCGCCCGCCCGCGCCCGACGTCCTCCACGCGCCCGGCCTCCGCCGCCGCCCGGGGGCTGCGGCCGGGGCGCGCCGCCCGCCGCCCGCCGGCCGGGCCACGCCTGCAGCGCGTGCTGGGCTTCCTGCGGCGGCTGGTGGCGCGCGTCAAGCCGCGCGAGCCGGCGCGGGAGAAGCTCGACTGAACGAGTCGCCTGACCCCGCCGCCCCCGGGGCGCCCTCTCTCTGAAATGGCCCCAGAATAACCGATGACCTCCCCCGCTGAGAGTGCCCGTGATACCGAACCGATCCTCGCTCGAGTGTCCCGATATCGTGAAACGAATTAACCGATGAATTAATGACTGTACTGTTTAGTTGTAGTGCATATACGTCCCGCGCTGTGCTAATATTTATTTTATTCGCTGTGATATCTATGAGATCTGAATTATTGTTGTTGTCGATGACTTTATTGATCGGCATAAATTATATTGATGTCTATTCGCTAACGCTTGTGTCTGTCTGATCCAGAATATTGATGTTGTAATAGTTCAACTAAAAATACTAAGTGTCCATTTATATCGAACTAGAACTACCTACTAAAAAAACTAGAATCTCTAAACTAAAACTACTTCTAAGTATTCTCCATTCTTCTATGGTAATGTATCTTGCTTCACCTTCGGCTATAAGCTATAAGTATCCTGATGATTTGCGTGCCACGGGAGACGAGAGGGCTCTGCGAGAGCCATTCGATGTGGTGTGCGGGAACTGAAAAATAAAATAAATTGTAAGACCTATTAGCCGTAATCGTACACCTCCCGCGACACGTACTTCAACAGAATGGTCTTGTGTAATAATTTCAGCAATACCTACTACTAAAACTTAATATCCATTTAAAAGAAACAGTTATTTAATTACTTTGAAATCAAATAAATTGGCTTGGTGTTTCTTTACCTGTTGATTCACCAACTATTGCAGGACAATAAACAATCATTCCTGAAAATGTTCACAAATCAGGCATTTGACGCATTTACAAGACAAACTAATATTGTTGTTAATTTAATATCATTCATACCAAACATAGTTAATTATGGATATGAATCTATGTGAGATTGAGATATACAATTATTCAAAATAGTTTTTGTGGCATTAGTTAGATCAATAATGCTTCGTTGTTACTCGATATTGTGTCCATGTATATTACTGTTCACAAATAAATGTTTAGTTGAAAATATACTTTGTTATTTATTTTCAATAATTTTTCGCGGTTATTTTGTTAGACGCACTATTCACTACGGTACCGGTTCACTGTGTTGTTGTTGTGTATAATGAGTTTTACGTCGAAATTAATTAAAACGTTATGACGCTATAAACTGCGAAGAGCCTTATCAAATCTATACCTCTTTATGGAAACACTTTTATGTCATTCTGGGAACAAATAATAGAATACCAGCTTGATAATGTCGTAGCCCCCATGCAAACGGATACATTACTACACGACTTATGTGTGTGTATATGTATAAATTTGAGGTATGTAAAGAATATAAAAAGTAGTATAATGTTTAACAAAAACGCGTAATTTTGTGATTTGCGATTTTTGTAATTTAACTTAATTTTATTTTTCGCTGGTTTCGGCCCTCTGTCGGTCTTTCTACTACTGAAAGCAGCTTCATTCAGCATACGACTCATGACTTATAAAATTACGTTCACCTGGGAACCCAAAACGATAGGTATTATCGTCAGTGGACTGCTATTCTCTCGTGTGAATGTTTCCTGGGTATAAAAGCAAGACTTGAATAGTCCGTTAGTTATAAAAAAATACTCGACATGTATTTTTCACTTTTTCAAACTAGTGAAAATTTAAAGAGATAAAGCGCGCCAAAGTTCAAGAAAAGAGGAACGTTACGTCAAGGAGTTCTTAAAAAGTAGCACAGTGACCTCACGCGGAACTTCATCGCACCATAACTTTGTAATTACTAGTTTGATTGACAAATTAAAATATACGTGTCCAATATTTTTTGATAATATAATTGATGAACTTATAAGTTTTTCAAATTCAATTCAAATTTTTATTACATGAAGCACGGTACATAGGTTGGAACACAAAATTGATAATACAACTAAAGTACGGCCAACTAGCAGCGATACAAAAGGTCGATTCGACTGTCAAACTGACAATCTATTCTCTCTTCCCATCTTGTGTATTTGTCGTAATGTCTCGTTCTCCCGCCAAAATATGTCAAAGTCAAACCCCTGCTATTCCAAATGACCATGACTAGGTTAGGATTAGGATAGGTTTGTTTACATTTGGTATCGCTTCTCGTTGGCCGTACTTTATACAGTTCTCTTCTTTAGGAAGTTATTTTCTTTAACCTTTGATATGTTAGTAGTTAAGCAAGCCAGTGTTGTTTCTAGCAGCCGGGCGGCGAGGCGGGCGGGGCGGCGGGGGAGGGCGAGGCGGGCGCGGGGGGCGGGGGCGCGCCGGAGCCGCGGCCCATGATCACCATGCCGGGCGCTGCCGGCGCCGGCCTCTACGCATACGACGACGACCGCCCGCCCAGCCAGGAGGTGAGACACTTGTACCAGGCCTGTTCATCTCCGCGAGTTTACATCGAAAACAAAACACGCACGATGGCCCACAAGCAGGATACTATTCGACAAGGCCTCACATACGAGCGAACGTTGACTCACGCACGCGTATTCTTGTGTATGATGGAAGAAAATAAAGAAAATGCTGTACTAAATACTGTGCAGTATTTAACTGCCTAAATAATAATAAAAACACAGAATGTACTTTTTTAAGTTGCCTCAAGACACTGAGAGGTAAATAAGTAGTTAATATTATTCATGATAATTCATGCTAAATCATGTATATCCCTCCGCCATTTTCCGCAGTTTGGCACCTCACGTCACATCATTTTACCGAAGTCAGCCCTATAGCTTCGGCGCAGTGCCGATCACTGACGTTTGTCAACAAAATGGTGCTTGACTCTTGAAACAGGCTAAATTACACCATATTGTTAATGACATTGAGCATACATTTTTTTAAATACCTTCGCGAAGTAAAACTTCTGTACGTAGTACTTATTATTATTCTGTGCTTGTACTAGCACCGATGCACTTGTGTAGTAACTTGTTTACATGTGTCACTAGGATAACATTATTACTGCTAAAGGAGGCCTTTGTCCTGTAGGCCTAAGATGCGCGCCGTGATAGGCGGTTATCACGCCATTTTATCGATTTTACCCATACAAATTGACGTCGATAAAAGTTATCACGGCGCGCATCTTAGGCCTACAGCAGTGGGCGTCATTTGGGAGAAACGATCGAACTGCTAAGGAGGGGTACCGACCTGCCAGTGTTTAGCCAAACTTTACCGAATAAAAATATAAAGAATATTCATTTTTCAATGTATGAGTGTTTAATAATATTTGCGATTAGTTAACGAACAATTTAGTCTTAATTTAATGTGAGAGGAAAAAGGTTATTACATCTTTCACTTAGACGTTCTTTTCTATAGTCTGGTCTGTGAGCACGTAGAATTTTGTCCAATGACCCCAAGCTACCCATCCTTATCGCTCGCGCGTAATTATATTGCTGTCGCGACCTAGCGACGAGCGCCCGCAGTGAGTGTGCGAGACAGACCGGGCTTTTGTCTAAATCAAGTAGAAACACGTGGAATTTAAAATGTTACGTAGACGTTTCTATGATAGTAGACGCAAAAACTTTAAGAATCAATAACTTACGTCAATTTCCCTGCAGACTGACCGCGAGACGGACACGCCGAAGCCGAGCAAGAGCGCGGACAAGCAGAAGGAGTCCGGCGACAAGCGCTCGGGCTGGCTGGGCGGCATCCTCACGCGCCTGTCGCTGCGCGCGCCCAACCAGATGATCCTGCCCGACGACAAGAACCCCACGGTGAGTCGCGCTCGCCAAGCCCACGGCAGCTTCGACATGCCCACGCTCTTGTGAGCCGGCTTTTAGGCTTGATTTCTTCATAAGCTGACGTCTGTGACGAAGCACCGTACTGCAACGCTGTTGTCAGTGGCAGATGATTACATAGAACTAGTGTAAATCGTACGCGCCGCCGACGTCGGTCACCAACCTCAGTCTAAGAGGAAATCAAACCTTAGAATCGCGCTGACCGCTCGCTGATCGTCGGCGCTGACAGATCGATATGTATGTAATTAAAGGAAATGTTCCTGAGTGACCCTGATCGCTCAGCGCCAACTTACATTTCGGTTGTCAGCGTGCGTCAGCTCGATTCTAAAACCAGTCTAATTTGTGCTTGCCGCAAACAAAAGCACTTACAACAACTTTATGACACGACTTGTTCTGATTCTGGTATGCACGCCACGATACTAAATGATGTCCTAATCGATTTTAAACGACAAATGCTTTGACTTATTGCCTAAAATCGATAATGTCACTCGATAGGATTATATCCTAGCGCGTATCGTAGTCATGCAAGTTTCAGTTTTGAAAATGTTAAGTTTGCAATCGATGCCATCATCTCAGTGACCAAGGCGTGGCCTATTAAGTCCATGCCCATTTTTAGCGAATACGTCATAACCATTAACATTGCGAGTACTTTTGTAAAGAATGCACCTTAACTCGATGTTCTTTCCTTCTACTATACTCACATTTAAGTTTCCCCGGTTTAGCTCATGTTTATTTGTATATCCTGCTGTATAACGATTGTATGTATTTTATCCTAAAGTGTCTATTCATAACCACCCACATTTGTTAGCAAGAGTTACCTATTTTGTTTTATTACTTGAGAAATATTATAACTCTCATATGTTTAGTTTATGTATGAAACTCATTTGTTTATTTATGTATATTGGAAAACAAAAAAAAATTCTTACGAAAGTTGTTGGAACAGGATTGTTAAAAAATATTATTATGTTTATTTATATGTTATATTTTTTCTTTGCAATAAATTTTTGTTATTATATTTTACTTCTGTTTGGAATAAAGGCTTTATTTGGTGTGGGTCTTTTATTTCGATAGCTTCTATTCACACAACACACGCACGTAGTTGACACGCAAATGTAGGTAGGTATACCGTTTGTATTTGATTTTCAGAGGTGAGTGCGAGTGTGCCTTGTTTCATGTTTGCTGTACTGATTGTGATTGTTTTTTGGATTTTGATCACTTGCAAATTGCTTAAGTTTCTCAATCAATTAATCTTTGTGACTTAAGAAATACTTTTTATGAGATTTGAGCTTAAAGATAAACATTGTAGTTTGTTAAAGCGTCATTGATGATACGGATATCATTTATTCATATCATGAGTGTGGTTTTGTGTTATCCGTTTTTGTATGACTTATACGAGTGACATAAATGACAAAACTAACTATGTAATTTCTTTAGTACACCAATGTTGCCAAACGGCACTTAACGAGAAACGGACGGTGGCACATCAACCTAAACACTGTAGCATCTTATTTAGTTGTAATAGGTGCAGTTTTACAACAAAAATTGTAGTTTGATGTGCTGTCGTCTACACATTTTGCCTCTAGTTGAACATTATCCATCGCGTGTTCTGTAAAAGAGTATTGTTATAACATTGGGTTCTGTGGGTGTCCGCAGATCGTGTGGGACGCGGAGCACAAGCGCTGGCGCAACCTGGACGCCGACGACGACGCCGCCGCCGCGCCGCCGCCGCCGCCGCCGCGCGCCGCCGACCTCGCGCCCGCGCTGTGAGTCCTATTTACCAAAACATTTTGCTCGCGACACACTAGGGTCACAGAGCTGAATTAAAAAACTGAAACAGCATCATGTTAACGCATAGAAACTACCTCTTGACTGGAGGAGGGGGGCGCGTCTCAAATAAGTTTGGGAACCAATGACCTAGAGGATCAGGAATTGGACACACCAGCCAATGTGACTGATTCTTTTAGAAAGAAAGAAAGAAAGAAACATTTATTGCCATGGACATCACAGAAGACAAAGGATGTAAATAATAGAAAAAAAAAGTAAATAAGACATAGGTGACATAAAATAATACATACAATGAAAGTGAAAGTAAAACTGAGCAGTGCCACCCTGTCGCACAGCGATGTCCATCGCAATGGGACCCCACTCAGCATATGCCATGGCCCCCGGTGAGGGAGGCCACGACGCTGGTTTTCAGTGTGCCCCATGCCGAGTGGGAGNAATACCTGCATGCCAAATTTCAAGCGTCTATCTCGCTTTCATTTCATGTACGGAAAAAACATTTGTATGAAAAAATCTAAACCGCGTAGGTTTAGATTTTTTCATACAAATGTTTTTTCCCGCTAACTCCCGTTTCCATGGGAATTTTGAAATATCCTNCTTATGTGCTACGTCGTGATTACTTTTAATGATAACGTTTTAAGAATTATGAAAGTTGAAAATGGCATATATTATATGCCAAATGCAGTTTTCACAAAACTTTCATAATTCTTAAAACAGGCAGTTTAGATCATATTATGATCTAAACTGCCTCATCTATTACATTATATGCTGTTTATATTTCACGAAATGAATAAAAAAATGATGTATTATGATAGTTAACAAATGTCAGCATGACTATCGTACGTTGTTCGCAGGGCCGCGACGCAGCCGGCCGGCGCGCCGCCCGGGGGCCCGCCCGCCGCGCCTACCTCCAACATCTTCAAGATGCAGAAGGGCAGGCGTGAGTATCCCTTCTAATTTAGTAATGGATGAAAACTTTTTCGTTCATTCTTTCTTTCAGCCACATGACGTCCACTGCTAGACAAAGGCCTAAAGTTCTACGCTACCCGCATCCAGGTTCTTCCCGCGACCATTACTAGACCGTCGGTCCACCTAGTGGTAAACTGTTTATATTAGTCATATTGACTACATATATCTCTTGACCACCATCGGTGAAGACAGGCCCAACTGTGGAAAACGTCTTTATTAAGAAAATGACTACAAAAAAAAAAGAATAAGCTATTCTCAGCAGAACTAAACTTTGGGACTCGGATAACCAGTGGATGATATTGAAGTATTCCACGTTTGACAGTCGTTATAATGTCACCTTGCGCTTGCAGACATAAAGAAGTCGTACGTGGACGTGTTTAACCCGTCGGGTGCAGCCACCAGGCCGCTGCCGCCCGCCGCCGCCGTGCTGGGGCCGGCCGCGCCCGCCGCGCCCGCGCCCGCCTCGTACTTCGTGCCGCAGCCCACGCACCAGGTAACGCCCACTAATAGTCTAGGAGCCTGTGAACTTTTGTCTCCTCTCATCAATCCACGAAAAATGTCCCCCACCGATCCTATCGCAGCTCCAGGTCTGAGGAGTCAAAGATATTAGCGTGCCATTCCCATAATGGTGCTAGTACACTATGCAGGAAGTTGACTAGACGAAGCGCGAGTCTGTACCCTGAAGTATGGGCGACGTCCAGCGAAATTAACCGAAGTGCATGTTTACACTACGTTTCAATCAATTTCCCGAATAGTGTACTTGCGCCATATGGGCCATTCTAATGCGAGCCACTGCGTCGAACTGAAGATTTTCTAGATCGCTCTATCGTAGCCAAAACTATCTGACTGCCGACTGGCTACAATTAATTTATAATTATTACCTTTTCTCCACCAGTATTATGGAGATCTAGCATATTATCTTTTTAATCCGACTGACTCGGTTCAGTAACAGTATAAAGAATAAAAATAACACAATATTAAAGCTCACCCAGCCCTAATTCCAACTCAGATACAAATAGAAGTGTTGTCCACTCCCCGCGCCACCCCTCCCCCGTCCCTCGCGCCCTTCCCGGACGAGGTACCCCTAGTTCTATTCAATTTTTTGTAATTTTATTATATTCAGCGTCCTCAGTAGTTCATGAACTTGTTATTAACTTGTTTTAATGTTGTACACGCTGCCTAGGAAGTAGAGAATATTCCTAATGGACACTAGCAGGTATGTAGTAGTAGTAGTAATAAAGTAGTGATATTAGTAGTAGTAGAAGTTGGATAGCTGACACCATAAGCACCAGCTGTAACAAATAACTTTTAACTGACATAACTTTTTATGATCTGATTTGATTTTGTGACTAAGTTAAATTTATTTTACAGTTAATTTAAAACTAATGAAGAGTAGTTATGTTACGGAAAGGTGTCAACTACCCTATTTAGTAATTCGAACTGTAAAGAGGTGTACGGCGAGATGTAAACTCGTGTAGTCATGGGATAGCGTTAGTTTTATGGCCGTTGTCTTTCTATATGTTTTACTGAGTTTATAAATAACTAGCTGACCCGGCGAACTTTGTTCCGCCTTAATGGCAATAAATAACGGGATAAAAAGTATCCTATGTCCTTCTCCTGGCTCTAAACTATCTCTCTGTCAATTTTCAGCTAAATCGGTTCAGCCGTTCTTGAGTTATAAGTGGAGTAACTAACACGACTTTCTTTTATATAATAGAAGATAAAAATATTGAAGTGTAAGGTAATATTTTATTGGATAGCCATCTCAAAATAACTGAAATCGTTTGCAGAGCGGCATCTACGACCCGAACCAGACGGCGACTGAGGACGACAAATTCACCTCCGGCATATAGCCGGCCCCCCAAACAACAAAATGACCTCTCCGGCTCTACCCATCTCGCTCACTCACAGCCACATCCCCGAGCGAGTGAGGGAGGCGGACAGAGCCGACGCCGACGTCCTTCTGTGGACCGGACCAGTTGATCTCGCGACACGACTCACGACTCATTCCGCGAAGACGCTCCACATTTGTACTTTCATACACCTCATCGCAGGTCACATAGTGACACTTACAATATTGTATTAGTAGTCCACGGGAGCGCCTTAAGGCCACACCGAGCAGCTTAGCAACTAAGTGACGTTAGTTGTGATGTAGTGACGACCGCGGGGCGCAGGCTGCTGCGCTCTCCCGCCATTTTATTCCCGAATCAGTTTTTTCTTGACTAAATTATAATGAGACGCGTATTCCCTATTCTTCACCAATTTTGCAATAATCGGCTGTTTGATAATTTAGTGTGAAATTTTAATTATCGGAATTTTATTTATTTTATTTTATTCCTGTGGTAATGGTTTAATCATTTGATGTATTTTCTGACTTCGTATTATGTATTTTTTAAATTCTATTGATAATTATAATTATTATATTCTTTTATTGCAAAATTTATATGTAATCTAGTGTTTATTCTATTTTAGCGTAACGTGATGAGCATATTTACACCGTTATGATAGAATCTTTTCAGTTTGTTTCTCTTAGTGTTATTTGGGTGCAATTCTTTATTTTTCTATACTGTAGACAATAATATCATCAGATTTATCTACTTATCTCGAAGAGTTTTATTATCTTTGCTTTTCATTTCCATGTTATTAGGTAAGGTGTACAGATAGATAGAAGTGTAAAGGCGGTAGTGGTGGATAGTCAGGTTGTATAAACTATGCCTTAGAGGGGCGAGCGTGTCTGTATATGTTGCCGCGGGGGCTCGCTCGCGATGTATTCGAAATGTATTATATTGATTCAAACTTACGGAAGATATTTAAATAAACTGTTTACGTTAATGCTTACATTCGTTTTATTATTACTTTTTATTTGTACTACCCTTCATTACTAAAATACACGTGACAAACGAAATCACTACAAGCGACATCGCTAACAAATAAAAGCATTAATAAATATTCTCAACGGCATTTTCACGTATCGCACGGCACGTAGAGACAAGCACATACAAAAGATCGATTGCAGCACTATAACGTGTTATCACGGCGTATGCAAGCGCCGCTGATTTCTGTGTAAAGCCTGGTCCCTGAGCACGCAGAATCCCGTCCAATGACCCCAAGCTGCCCATCCTTGTCGCTCGCACGTAATTATGTTGCTGTCGCGCTCGCACACTCACTGCGGGCGCGCGTCGCACAGTCGCGACAGCAATATAATTACGCGCGAGCGATAAGGATAGGTAGCTTGGGGTCATTGGACGGGATTCTACGTGCTCACGGAGCAGACTTTAGGCCCCTCGTGCTACCGATGCGGCTAGGCGTCGTAGTCCTCGGCCTTGCCCTCGGCGCCGGCCAGCAGCTGCAGCACGGCGGCGGCGACGGTGCCGGCCACGAACACGCCCATCACGATCGAGCCCGCCAGCAGAACCTTGTTCATGGCTCTTAGTGTATCTACGTTTATGTATAATTATTATTCTGTCTAATGGCTTTGAAGCACACTGGTTTTGCCAATGTAGAGTGTTTAGAGAGACACGGTGGACAGTGGAATTAATGTATTATTTGGGTTGTTTAATTGAATTGTCATTGGTGAAGTGATTGAAATCTAAAGGTGACGGTTGGTGACAGAAGTATTACGCCCAGAAACCAGAGTATTCACAGAGTAAAAATCTTTATTTCTGGGCGTTGTTTTAGGCAAATTAACGGAGCATGGATTGGGTTTTCGTTTTGTGTAATTCGTAGACGCATCTTGTAGGTCCTAGCGGCGACATTAGCCAAGAAAACAAAGTCTCATTGATTTTCCGTTTATTGCATTAAATTAGATTAAGTTTGGTCGTCCCCCGCGAGCAGCGCGTCGAGCCAGGCCCGCGCGGGCGCGAGCGGCGCGTGCGGCGCGGGCTCGCAGTCGCCGCAGCGCGCGCCGGCCCGCACGCCCAGCACCAGCCGCGCGCGCACCAGCGGCGCGCCCGCGCAGTAGTTGCACGCGCCGCCGCGCGCGTACAGCGGGCCTGCGCAGATCTGCACAGTGCACACGCTTCCATTCACACGTACTTCTTGGGTAAATGGATACTGAGGCAGTAGCGGCGTAAGAGGGGGGCGGTGGGGGCGGTCCGCCCCGGGTGCCAAGCATTAGGGGGTGACACAAGACGCGCAGATTAGTACTCACTGGCACATCTGTATGGCAAAATCTGCGGTCTATGTAATGATACGGGGGGGGGGGTACGATTGTATTTCAATCTTCGAATCAGTAGGTAACGGTACCAGGGGGTGCCATAGGACTTATGACGCGGGGACGGGGGGTTGACCGCCCCGGGTGCCAACTCATGCTACGCCGCCACTGAGGCTCTATGACCAAAATTACATAAAAGTACGTAGGTACTTCAAAAATAATTTCCTTTACGACATTATCTTTAACCAACACTACTTATTTATTAGCAGAAACAACGGGCCATTGTGCGCAATTTGTGGTTTATCTTCCTACTCCAACCACCCTTGGGATTTGCCCCCAGAAAGCAAGCAGCCTATCTAGGCTGCCACAGGCCTCCTGCAGCGACTGGGTGGAGAATTTGAGCCCGTTGTTCTACGCTTCTGCCTTTTCCTTCTTCTTTAGTGTCGTATCATCAAATAGAATTCAAGATAAGTACCGGTCCGATGGCGCCGGCGGCGGGCAGCGCGGCGCCGGGCCGGGCCAGGTGGCGCGGGCCCTCGCCCTCGCACGCCTCCGCCGGCAGCGAGTACACCGCCGCCGCGCGCACGTGACGCTCCGCCGTAGTTTCCTCGGGCGTCCTAACGATTAGGCGTTTGTTAATATACGTTACAAATGATAATATTGCGGAACGAGTTTAGGTAGGCGATAGGTAGGTTTAAATAAGGTCATTCATCATCATCATTTCAGCCATAGGAGGACGTCCACTGCTGAACATAGGCCTCCCCCAATGCTTTCCACGTTGATCGATTAGCCTGCGTCCAGCGCTTCCCTGCTACCATTACGATGTCGTCGGTCCACCTTGTAGGTGGACGTCCCACGCTGCGTTTTCCGGTACACGGCCTCCATTCCAGAACCTTGCTTGCCCCATCGGCCGTCAGTTCTGCGTATTATGTGCCCTGCCCATTGCCAGTTCAGCTTGCTAATCCGTCGGGCTATGTCAGCGACTTTAGTTCGTTTACGTTACTTTTAGTTAAATAAGCTGCTGTTATGTAATTTTTCGAAGCGAGCGAACGAATAAGTCACCTGAATTTGCCATATCCAAGCAGAGAGAACCGTTCTCCTATCGTGACGAGCGAGTGGTCCAGCACGGTGGGCAGCCGCGGCGCGCCCAGCGGCCCGAGCCCCAGGGGCGTGTCGCTGCGCAGCGCCGCCAGGTCGCGCGCGCGGCCGGCGCGGGCGTAGCCGGGGTGCACGCGCACGGCCGCCACCGCGTGCGCCGCGCCGCGCCACGGGCCCGCGCCCTCGCACATCGCGAACGCGTCCAGCGAGTCCGCCTCCTCCACCGCCTCCACGCAGCTGGCCGCCGTCAGCGCCCAGCGCCGCGACACCGCCGTCAGCGCGCAGCCGAACTGAGGCTCGTGCGCCGGCCGAATCTTCACCAGCGCCAGCACGAAGCTCGCCGCTCCCTCGTCGACCTCCTCCCCGTCGGAATCCTCGGTCGCGGCCGGAACCTCCAGGCGCAGCGGGTTGGGCTCGTCTGCGGACGCGCTGCCGGGCGTGCTCCCCGCCCCGGCCGCCGGTGCCCCGTCCTCGTAGTAGTGCGTCGTCGCCGCCGTCTTCTGCGACGGCTTCCACGTGCACTGCACGTCGGCGGATAGGGTCGTTCTCGTTGATTTTGAAACGGACGACGAGAACGATGGGAACTCAGTTGGTGGAATGGACACTTGACGGATCTCCGGTTCGGAACACGCCAGATAATGCATGATCAAAAATGTCAGGAACGCCACGAATACCGACAGCAAGATTGCCTCTAAAATCGACAAGAGGGCTTCGGTTCTCGTGAACGATTTGCACCATCCTCTGAACTCTTTGCAAAACACATTGCACATCGTTTTTGAGCCATAACATTATTTACAATGACTGATGTATCATGACCTACTCGATTTTATGTACTGTAATTGTAAAGACTGAAAATACGGATTTATGGTAATAGTGTTTATTAGGATATAAGAAAGGGTCTCCTGAAGGGTCGGTCCCTGCAGCCGAAGCGCAGCTGGCCGGCCTGCTTGCGGCCGCCGAAGCCGCCGCCCAGCCGGCGCGGGCGCCAGCCCCGCAGCCGCCGCTCCGCCTCGCGCTCCACCAGCACCTCGGCTCCGTCAATATACTCCTTGTGCATTTCCCGTAAAGCTTTCTCCATGCTGCTGGACGACTCGTATTCTACAAACGCGTATTGTTTCGATTTCCCGGTAACTATGTCTTTTACTAGGCGACACGACAAGACTTTACCAAATTTTGAAAATTCTGCCAATATTGTATCCTGAAAAAGAAAAGTACAGTTTTGAACTTTATTTTAAACTTTATTATGGAATAGGTACATTATAATATTCAAACGAATGTTTTGTTATGTGAAATACCTGTGTAGTTCTAGGATTGAGTCTGCCGATGAAAATCGTGTAGTGTTGGTCACCTTGTACCAGTTTATTAGGCGTGTACTCCGAGTTCAGCGCCCGTACGATGGCTCGGTCGTGAGGCTCCGTATCAGTGCCTAGTGAGTGAGGTAACATTTAGGTATTTGAAAATTAATGGATTCACCAAACATTATTAAATTATCGTTTAATATGTACAAATAGAAACAAAAATTCAAATATTATACGCCCTAATGCAGTCTTCATGCAAGGACTTCGTCGTAGTGAGGCAAAACTCATAAATTAGGTCATCGTAACGTAAGGAGAATTAGTTATTAAGTACTTACCATCTATAGAACCAATTTTGATGGGGTTATAGTCAACAGCATATTTTTGAAAATCAATATCATCTTGAGCTTCCCGAGACATGTCTTTAAACACGGATCTGTTATGTAATTTAATGTAATTAAATTATTTTTTACACAAAATTAAATGGACGTGGAAAATAAAAATATCAATCGGCCTACCAGCTGTAAGATGTTTGTTTGTTTATGAACTGTCACCCATAGAGAAAAGTAATACATCTGTCACCCAAAAAAAAAAAAAAAAAAAAAAAAAAAAGCTGTCACCTGTCACATAATGACATTTATAGTTTTTTTTTTAATTAAGTGCTGTAAAAAACCGGTAAAATCAATTGGCGAATGAAATAGTTCTATGAATGAAATTGAAATATCGATTTGTAAATGTACAAAACCTAAACCCATTTTTTGTCAATAAATATCTTACAGATACTTACCTAAAAACACGCAACTTTAACACGAGAAAACCATTATAAATTCCCAACGCCCAGAGCGGAGCGAAAAAAGACTTGTCGCGAGTTCTAAACTCAAATCCCATCGCCAGTGCCTAAGCATAAGGCTCGCCATACGCGGACAGCTTGAAGCAGCTAGTATCAACAGCTTCGATCTGCCGCAGTATAGCACAAATTACAATATTCTACGTAGTACACATACACGGAATCGCTCGAGCAGTTGCTTGCGATAGTTGCGATGCGACTAGAGTTGCGACTGTTTCGGGCGGTTAGCAGCAGAGAAGACCATGAAGTTGAAATTTTTACACACGATGTATATTTCTGTTACCACTCTAACAATAACTACTAAACACATCCAATACAAGCAACAGGTTTGAAATATTCACAGAATATTTAGTTGTATATTCACTTTAGATATTTATGAGATGGCTCATGAGAATGGAACCCCTCGTGTGCGAATCCGACTCGGCAGTCGACCGGTTTTAAGGTCCATGGTCCATCTTACTAATATTACATGCGAAAGTTAGGATGTCTGGATGTTTGTTACTCTTTCACGCAAAAACTACTGAATGGATTTTGATGAAACTTTACAGTATTATTGTTTAGAACCCAGAGAACATCTGTGACTGACTAAATTTCACGCGGGTGAAGCAGCGGGCAAAAGCTAGTTTAAGTGAAAGAAACTCCTTCCATAAAAAGTCAGCATACACTGAGCGTATTTTGGTTTAGATTAAAAATGCCCATGCTTAAAATTGCTTGAAAATTGGAGGGTAGTATGGATAAACAATAAATATTTGCTGTTGAATAAAAACCACTTTATAGTTAAAAAAGCATGTTACACTATTTATGTTATGACTAACTGAAAATATATTTTATAATTATAATCTTTATAATGCGACACTAATGTGCACAGCTATTTTACATGAGTTTGAAAAATAATATGTCAATACATAAGTGTATACTCAAGTACAAATTTTGTACAAACCAAAGTTAAAATACATTATTTATTTAAAATCACATTTTTTACAAGTTTCACAAAGGATCGTTGTTGGATCTGAAATCAAGAAGTTACTAAAAAATTAGGAAACAAAAAGAGGTGCCAGGAACCAAATCAGTTGTTGGTGATTGTAATGAAAAGAAAGAAAGAAAGATACAAAATTCATGAAGTCAAATGGTCTCATTGCATTCAAATATTGCTTTAGGATCCCACCATACAAACTACTTGTTGACAAAATATTTCTCTTGTAATCAAAAGTAACCATTTTTTACAACATACAAATTGATATTCTAAATATCTTCTATCCAATTTTTATAAAATAAAACTGTATTACAAATGTTGGTTCTACCACTTTTTAGATTTAACAATGATACAAAAGTAAATTTCCTGAGATTGCATGGCTGTTTACTGGTACAGTAAGAGGTACTTTTAAAAAATTATGAGAGCTTGTAAGGAAAATGGGGAGGCACTTAAGGAGGTAAAATCATGTAAGTACACTAATGCAAAAGCCTGCAATAACTGAAGAACAATTTAAACATGATCACCTCGTATAATAATACTTGGCAGAGCATACTAATATCTCTCACTCTTATGAAACAGCACAGCGAACAATAAGTTAGCAGTTCTATGTTTACTTGATGTCTGCTACGTCTAAGTGGATGTTAGCAAGGCCAGTGTTCATGATGTTGGTGCTGTGGGTTAGGCGACAGTGGCAACCATGACCATTCATATCGAAACACGATATATACATTTAACATAATTTTTTTTAAGTCCAATTAGGTATAGATATAATTTGTGTCACAAATTTCAACAATGGAGTTGGCTATAAAATACCATTAAATTTAACAGTTTTCACATCCGCAAGAAGCTTATTGCTTAATCGATCAGATCACTCTCTGCACAGGTAGTCCGCCGAGCTAAACTAGCTTACCCGACTTTAAACTAATTAATCCTATACAAAATGATATCATATCACTTCTAAGAGGTCACCGATTTATGCAAAATAGCTGCTCATACCAGTGCAAAGACTTCCACATGGAGCCCTCGTTTTCCGATACAATTTATACATAATACAATAAAGTAATGGAATTTTCGACACATTTTTGACATCCAATGTGTGTTTCGATACTTCCTCACTGCGTCACAGTACGAGTTCAAAGTCAAGGGTCGTCAGTGGGAGGCGGGGGCGTGCGCTAATTGAGCGAGGGCGAGTGGCCGTCGTCCCACACCACGTCGATGCTGGGCCACTTGGTCTGCAGGCACGTCAGCATGGCGTCGGCGCTGGCGGCGCGCAGCGGGCACTCCAGCAGCGCCGCGCGGCCGCCGCGGAAGCGCACGCGCGCGCCCGGGTTGGAGCGCGCCAGCCCGTTGTAGTGCTGCAGCGGGAACGTGTCGGGCGCGCCGCGCTCGCAGCCCGGGAAGAACTCGTCCATGAACGAGCTCAGCAGGATGATGCCCAGGTTCTCCGAGTCCAGCTTCCGCCGCATCAGCTCCACGTACTCGGGCTCACTCACCAGGTCCGCCGCGCACAGCACGTCTTGCAACGCCGCCGACGGTATGAAATTGTTTCCTTCCGGATCGAACGACCGGAAAATACGTTCGGCCGATTCACCGGCGGTCTCGGGTGCGGCGAGTCTTCGTTCGAGTGAAAACAACACTGTTAGATGTGTTTCGGAAGCGAGCACCCATACGGGATGTTTAGGATTCTTGTAAAATGAGCCCACCGTGCAGTATTGCATATGTTCCATTATGGTCAAGAATCCGATGTCATTTTGCCTTTCGATTCCTCGCAATCTCAGTCCCCCGACGACTTGGTCGTGGTCCCACACGTGAGCCACGGCTCGGCCCGTTAGCATCAAATTGATGAGTCCCTGAGATCCATAGCCATAAACGGAATGAATGAGAGGGTCCGACAGCTCCGCCAACTCTGCTTCCACTGTTCCTACACCCTTACTAAGAATGACACTATACAGCAGTAACAGCACACCATATTTGTCTTTCAAAATACGAATATTTCTTGTATAGAACGCTTCCACTTCAGATAACGTTTGGAACGGATGCACCTCAATCCTTCGATGGAACTGTTCAATGGCGTCACACGATTGTTCTTCTACACTGACATTGTGGTCGCTGCTGGATTCCGCATCGGTTTCATTCTTCCTATACACGGCCACATTGTACTTAGGCGCTAGACACTGGCTTAATATAGTACACACGGCCCTAACAAGCAGAGAGTTGCATTTCTCCGAAGTCAAGTCCTGAAAACTGTGTCCGGGCGTTTCGGACAGCAGGATCTTGAGCAGGAAGCCCTGCACGGGCGCGATGGCGGCGCACGGGCCGCCCTCCTGCTGGATGAGCGCGCTGGGCTCGTCGGCGCTGAACACGAAGCCCTGCGCCCAGCGCCGGAACACGTCCTCCTTCACGCCCGCGCCCCACAGCAGCCGCCGCGCGCCCGCCAGCTCGCTCTCCACGCGCGCGCTGCCGGCGCTCATGTTGCGATCCGAGAGCGTCGAACTGTCGAGGATGTCGTTGGATCCTTTCAACATTTGCATGAACGGCCGAGAGATGTCTGTGCCACCTGGAAATTAACGTCATGCGTTACGACCGCACAGGTACACGATAAAAATAATCGAGCACGTAGAAATAGATTGACGATGACGATACGTAACGGGAAAAAATATTCGATCTGCAAGATTCTAACCACGTAGTACTTACTACAATACGAAGTGCATGACTCTCGACGTCTGATAGTTATCTTATTGCTTTGTTTATCAGGTTACCCATTGGGATTGCTTCAAAAAGCATTATAAATTGTCCGTAAACTGGTAATAAAAACTTTTTATTACGTTTAGAAAAGAAAAGCTTACGACATGAAGGCTGCCATTTTTAGGAAAATAGCAGCATATTTTTTTTCATTTTATGTAATTAATTTTTATTTTTATTGTTAGAATGCCGTAAAATATCATTGCGCGCGATTAAATGCACCTTTTATTTTAATTTAATTAAATTTTTAACCATAAATGCAAGCTTTATAAATTATGAAATTAACTCAAAGCAGTAAAATATTTTGTATAAAATATGTGTAATGCATGAAATGAAACGTTCTCCATGTTTTTTTCTGTCTACTAATTTCACAGATAAAATATAACGCAGATTGTTTATAACGGTATGAAATAACGCTGAGGATTTGAAAATTCCCCCTCGATCGGGCCCACTAGAGTGAGACCACCGTGTAGGTTGGACTTTGGTCCAACACCGCGGTGGGCAACCGTCTAGTTGGGTTCGCCACTGATCGGGTCGGATCGCGAAGCCCACACTCGGTCGCGTCGGCTCGCGCACCGACGATCGCCAAACGGCTAGAGTAACTTCTGTACTCGCCACTCTACCCGGTGAAGCTGGAAAAGCTCTTCAAGCTACCAGCGCGCTTCCCTTAAAAAAAAAATAGAGGATTTGAAAGATGAAGCTTGATAATCCAACCAATGTTATAGGCTTTATTGTTGATGGACTGTTCCCAAACCTGTGTAGCTGCATAAAAATAACGAAAGGTGAGGTCAGCCGTAACGTAAGGCAGGAATTAAGCAAAAGTTGCATCGTGAAATCGTATAGTTCCAAAATACTGGACTGTCCTATCGATGACATTGACAGTGGGGCGCCACCGTCAATACCGGATCGCTGGTTCCGATTTTTGCCATGTTGAAAACCATATAGTTGAACGATGGTAGCGCCCCCCTGTCATTGAGTTTGGTGGGAGTTCAGCGTGGGTCATCTATAGTAACTGGTAACGGTATTGTTGTAACGTCCACGAAAGCAACATTCATTCGTTCCATTCATTCATGGTCCTCCTCCGTTTTTCATTCATTCAATCAATCAGTCAGTCATGAGCTGTGCAGGGTGAAGTGTCGCAAACTTTTTTTATTTTATTGTTTGTAAAGCTTTGTGTTTTTCGTATGATTTCGTTTATTTTATTTAACGTTATTTTGCCACAACCAAGTGAAATATGTTTTAGAAAACTTTGAGTGTTAATTTGATGTAGCAGTTTGTTTATGTGTGTTTTGATTATTTCGACATAAATGAAGGTGGACATAGTTTGGAGGCGACGCGCTGCCGTTAACGTCGCAGGTAAGTCGATTTTACTCGTTTTCACGAGTTTCTGCATTCACTTCTGCCACTGGTTGAACGTTGTACCTGAAAAACTGTAGTACTTGCAGTAAAGTGGATGTGCAATGTGCAGCAGTAAATGGGGCGTCTGTGAAAGGGCGAGGTGAAGGCAGGCAATTATACACTGACTAATAATAAAAACTTTGTGTAAAACCTCCTACTAGTATTTGAGTAACTAGAGCAAAAAATCAAACGATCAAATACAAAATTCTTAGGGAACATTCCTGGAACATATGATTTAGGGTCAATGCCCTGTCAAACTAAAAAATAAGTGATTTCTGATGCAGAATCTGTATCTTAGACTGAACAACAACTGTGAATCCTTGTTTTAAAAGTAATATTATATTTTTGTTTGATTACATTGCACATAATGTTTTTGTTATTTAATAAATAAATGCTTTAAAAATATTGTTTCTGGAGAGAATTAAGAAACTTGTAACATGTAGTCATAAAGTATTAGAGATACACAAATTACCTACCTACTTTTATTTAATTTCTTTATATGTAGTACCTATTAACTCACAATCATAATTTAAAAATATATCAGTAAGCATCCATAAGAGATTTATCACACACAGGTGTACTAGTTCATTTTGAATATACTGTCATGCTTGTTGACTCTCATTTGGACTAGATAGCATGTGCACAGCGAAATAATTTACAAGTGTGGCAAAAGTGAAACCCACTGGCTTGGCTCTCTCAAATGAAAGCACTCATTGTTGCTTTGGAGCCTCAACAGCAATGGAAAGTGTTTTGTTTCTACTAATCTTTAACACTTTCTGGTACTACTGTATTTAAAAAAAATAAACTACACCACCAACTACTTGCTGAAGACCTTTTGACCAATTAAAGAGGCAATGCATATTTTTTGGAAATATTTTTAAATATTTTTAATGGACTTGCCTTGATCTCTATCTTATCCCAGAAATCACCAATTATAATTTGAAAAAGTAGCAAAACAGAAAAAATATTAAAATGAAACATGATTAGAACAGATTGATAAAAAGTCTGTTAGATGTTGTAAGATTGATCTTGTGTGTTAAAAATCCATAATTATTATGTAATGTAATTACTTATCCATAAAACTTTGATGGTACATAATAATTTTGATACATAGTGCAGGTATTTATTTGTGGATTCTCGTTTTCATTCACACAGGTTCCCTCGAAAATGTTCCTTGTTTTATTCAAACAAACTTAAAAAGCCTGCAAGTAGGTACCCATCCAATCGCTGTACCGCGCGATCCCGGTATCCCGTGACGTCGTACAATACGAGATTTGCGATACCTACTGAAGGAAAGTACCTACATAGGAACTGGGTCTTGATTGAATGCTGTGGTATTTTAGAAGCCCACAAATCCCGATATTACCGTTATCTTGTCGATGTTAAGCCATTCTCGTTTCACTCCCTCTGCTCACTGGATCTCCCCAATAAATAATATGATTGAATGCTGCCTGTAGCTACTATCTTTGTGACTAGGAATAAACATTGCTTGTCCAGTTGTATATGAAGTAACATTTACAAAAGCCAAACCTCTCTTCTGGCAAGGTCAGCCATTATGGGTTGCGCTTTTTTCTCGGCCTATTGTATTCCCGTGCCTGCTCTGCCTAAAAGGGCGCGGAATGCGAGGGCAGGTTTCACCCACCTGCAGGCGCGCGCCATAGCCAGGTGTCGCCGCCAGTCGCAAGAGCAGGCCCTGTTCCAGAACAATCGATTTCATTCATATTCTAGGTATTTTGGGAAGGCTCAAGTCGAATCGGACTCTCGCATCTTTTTCTTTGTTTGGTTAATTGTAAGCTACGGTAGTCGGTAGTCGGTAGATTTGATCATGTCGTGTAGCAGATTACGGTCTTCATTCTGAAACGAAGCTTTAGAATAATATGACACGCTAAGAATAAACTCAAGCCTGTTTAAGCTTATCAAGAGGTCAGCCGAAATACGTCCTTATTTAAAAAGTCACCTGTTCATATTCGATACGATAGCAAAAAAGAAAAATAAACTAGGCAAGAAAGAAGCCTAGTTTGGCAAAGTACGACAAACGACAAGTAATTACAAGGGATTCAAGGTTAGCGTAATATAATTTTGTTGATGCAAATTGGTCTCCAAGCAACCCGCCAACCAAGCGTGACGTCAGCGCCTGCCTGCACCCCTTATTACTCATTAATCTTTGATTTTGGGTGTATTAATGCTGCAAGGAGAACTTGAATACATAATTTAGTGACACCACGTAGTTCGTTTCATCAATCTTGTTGTAAAGAATCATAAACTTGTTGGCTCAAAAAGATTTAAAAAATCGTCACTTCGTCCATTCCCGTCAGATTATAGAGATTTCTCCACCGCTACTTTAATCTGCTATTGCTATGAATTGCTCCACGTTGACTGCACAGGGTGCGCCGAACTATAAGTCATTCATAACCGGACGGTCCGAGTAAATATTCTAACTACATTATCAACTCTTAAGTCTAATCTCTTCTAACCGTTACATTCTGTAAGGTAGGTAGTAAAGCACTAAAATAGTTGTAACCAACTGACTACTGAATAATATTTATTCTTAGTTCATCTGCTCTTTAGATTCTAATGTTTACTGCAGACAAACTTCATTTTCCTTGAGCTACTAGGTATACTGTATACTTTATTTATTACGCGGAATTTTATACCACTTTGTCAAAAGCAACACCTTAGATAGAAGTAGGTATGTTCATAACTTCATAATTACCTCGGTGACCTCTTCCAGCATGAGCAAAATCACAATCATTTGGTGGATACGTTTGCGTTCATAAATAAACAATGGACGTGACGTCGCGTGTGCCTTGCGGAGTTTCACGGTGAGAGAAACGGCAGTTCTTTACCACTCTGAGTGTGTTGGGTTACAGAAACAAGAATTAAATGTTTAGTTTACTCGAAGACCTAAATGAAAGCAACTCGAGCACATGAATAAGACAATGGATTGCCAAAACGGACATTGTGTAACTTATTCGAGCGTCTGCGAACTGGTTCTCCGCCGGTTAACGAGCTGTAGTGCATTCTGCTGTGTATTCGACTAGTGACTAGATGCATCTTACTTTGACTTCCAATTAACTCTATAATGAGCTGCTAATAAAGTCAATTTAGAAAAGTGCACGAACTTGTCGTGTAAAACAAAAAAGTCGTTTCCTTCCCGTACATGGGAAAGATAGCTTGTTTTGAGAAAAAAAACTTTCATCTTTAAACATAAATTCAAAATGCCAAAGTATTTGCTACATTAAAGCGTCCCATAAGTCGTTAAGTATAAAAATATTAATATATCGTGAAAACTAGACAAGCTAATTTAAAAAGTCATGGTTCAAGTGGATTTTGTTACAGGCGTTACGGCTGCCGGCACTTGACATTTTTTTCCCTAATGAGTTTGTTATGTTCTTCTTCTGAGAAAGCAGTTATAACGGCACTGGATGGGGATTGTGATTTCACGTGTGTCGAGCGATAACGACGAGATCAACGTACTCGAGTGCGGCATCCATAATTCCCTTTAGCATCCACTTCAAACTCATAAACGTCATGAGAACCTTTTCTACTTGAGTTCCTCCTCATGATTTGCCATTGTTACTTGTATGGTTTATGCCGCTGCTATAGTGTTTCCAATTATTTTAATTGTCTAATGTCTCGGAGCGTATTTAATTTGAGTTAGAGGCGAGGTGGAAAGCGTGTTATTTTCGGGGCCAGCAGTGCCACGCGGGTCGACCTGTACTTCGTAGTAACGTTGTACTAGCTAGCTAGCACTAGCCTGTGCTATGTAGAGGCCAGCCAAACAGCCCCGCCCTGCAGCCGGTGCACCGGCCGGGTTCCATGGCGGAACAATATTATTATATCGCGTATTGATTTCCAGTGCACTCTGTTTTGCCTGGTGGGACTGGATCTCCGCTTTCACGTGTAACGTACAAACAAGCCTCATGGTTTTCTATTTGTGCTCTGTATTGACTGAAATCGTAAAATATTCTCTCGCTCGAGAATTTATTGATCAAAGTTGCCGTTTTGTTTTGTGTTTTAAAAGGTCGCCAGTCAAGTATTTTTATTTTTTACAATATTTTAACCAATAATAGTCCAGTCATTATAGTAAGTTCACCTCGGAATTCGAGATACCCAGCTGTAAGTCTGTAAATACGTGTATATTGACACCCTAAAAGTTGTCTCAAAACCTACATATGGTAGGGTGTAAGCAACTATTAAATGGCAATGCCAGATTTTGTATGGAAAGTGGCGTCTTTTTTTTTTCGCGCGGCCATCGACCAAACTTTGTTTTTTGATTACAAAATAGTGTAATAAACCAAACTTACTATGGCATGTATACCTCTAAACTCAGTCTGAACTGAGTTACGAGCATTAGAAGTTTGATGATTTTCATACTAGATTTGCTTTTTGTGCGCAAGTTTTGTAAGAAATTGCAACAAAATAATGCGCTATTTTTTTGTTGCGCTGATTCTGCTCCATACTGTTGTCTGGAGCCTTTAATNCGCTTATAATAAAAATGAGACCGCTCGGACACCGAGCCCACAGCGTGGTAGGGGTGGGGTTGCCCGCTCTTTTGTTTTTTACTACTACTACGCTGAATATTGTGTGCGGATTGGGTTGTCGTACAGGGGTACTACATGGTAAAATAAATCTCGGAGGCGAAAGCAGGATAATAGGGTGTCAATATACAAGTATTTACAGACTTACAGCTGGGTATCTCTAATTCCGAGATTCTTACCTAATTTAAGCTTAAATGACTGGACTATAATCTATGACAAATTGTTAGGTTTATACAATATCTCATTATTCGTACACCATTGTACACTTTTTCCACTTGTTTCATTATGAGACATTATTTGAAAATATAGACATCCCAACTTATGAATAATCTAAAGTAGCTTTATCGGTTTAGTATAAAAATCCCACCAAGAACCTAATTATGTTAGTGGTGTTTCTACTGAGTGAGACCAACTACA